AAAGAATTGCACTGTCGAGAAAATTAAACTTTAAGCTATTATTTTCAATCCTTTTCATTTTCCTCTCCCTCATCTCGGGACAACCATTTGATCTTTATGTGACAACAACTTGAACTTGTTTTTAAGTCTGTACGCCTTACAAGTGTATTAATTCGTGATCACTTCCAAGACAATACAATATATTGAAACGTAGAGTAGGCTACGTAGTCGAAGTTAATTGTAAATAGAATCAGAGGTATTCCTTTGACTTTTGCCAATGATTATTTTGCCCCAAAAAACTTGGCTAAAAGTAACTCATCATAGCTTGACTATTTTGATCCATTCCTTTCCAATAGGTTTACGTACAACATTGGCTGCTAGTCGTACATTTTAGTATGTATTGATGATAAAAAATTTGCAATTTTTTGCATGAAGCCTATTGATAATTATCAATACGATCCACGTCCGTATGATTCATTTATTCATGTTTACATTGATTTCGGCCATGACAGTAAATGAAGTAGTTGTATCCTCAACTACCGTACATTAGGCGCCACATAGTCAATAAACTTAGCATATATTGGAGCATAGTAAACATCACGAGCCAAGTAACAAGCAGTAAAAAAATGATAGCATCAGTTGCATTTGTCTAGTCATGTCCTACACATGATGGCATTGAGTTAAACAACAAGAAAGGAAAAGTCTTTTAAATCCGCGATTGTAGTATGATCAACTACAATCTGTGTTGTATCCGTTTTCTAAGCCCTTTACAATTCTATTGCCCACATATAATGATACTCAATTTCTTAGCTTGAATCTAATCTAAGCGAGGGAATGGTGCTGATCACTCACTGTCGATTCCTTCCATATCGCATAATCCTATATAATACTATACAGTAATAAGCTTTCATTGTCGGTAAATGTGCATTCATTTCATTCTTGATCATATTATCATTTACACATATATAATTGTATTTTACATTCAATTTCGACCACAGGCCGTTGTCAATGTTTTTTTAATTTTTCAAGTAACACATTGACGATGATGAAGCATTAACACCATGCTGTCTTAATACGCAATCGACGGATTGATAGCAGCAACAGTCGTAGTCGAGTTTTTGGAACTAAGTAGTGAGCGCCGTGTTTGTAGTTGAAATGTAGTTGAACAGTATACTCATCCCAAATATTGCTTCCTTATTATACGTTAAATAAAATTTAAATTTAAAATGTACCCACAGTATTATTCTATCCAATCCTACTTGATCTTTTTATTCCCAACTGGTCCAACTGAATTAACCTGTACTCATCTTATCAATCTATATCAAGTTAGCATTGTCATCTTTTCAATCCTTGATGGCAAAACGGCCATCAAAAATAGAGAATGTTGTTTTCCTGCAGCTGTAGGTACATCGATTAGATATTTTTTTCTACCATTACGTGGAATGCTGTTTGAATGCAAATGATTTTGTACTTACCTGCTTGCCATGTCAATATTTTAACAAATTACAATCGATATTATCAAGTAGCGTATAAATAGCATTGGCTGAATAAAAATGAATTGAGCGTTTTTATTATTATTCCGCGGCAAATTGAAGAAAGGATGATAATTAATAAAAGTATAGGTAGCTCGATGAATTGAAAATACCATCTCAGGGCAGATGGTAAAAGCCACATATTATTCGTTGATCGATCACTATCGAGTTGATACTTGTAGATGTTGCTGTTCGCCTAATGGATTGAATATTGTTCCATTACTATACAAGTATATTGTTTATTTGCTATTGGTGCTACCAATAGGATACATTGATCAACAACAAGAAAATTTTTTTCTTTTGTAACTAGTATTATACCGATTCTTGTATACTCTCATTATTTTGATTCTTTTTGATTAATACAGTGGTATTATCAAATTTCTTAATCATGCCGTGTAGTGATATTTTCATATGGGAAAGCAATGGTAGTAATACTTTGACCAGCAGTAGATCAGTATAATACTAATCTAATTTCCGATGAAGCTCTGTTGATATTGATGTGGATATTCGACTCCACCTTTTTGATTCTCAGCTTTTTTATTATGTTTTTACTGGTCACGTACTGTCCATGGCTGATATTTATAATGAAAAGGTCATTCATTTTATCTATTCTAATGAAAGGATGATGAAGATCTCCATTCTTCGAAAAGCGACAATGAAAGTACAGATTGGATCTGGGATTGGTCGGGCAGACCTGAGCCAGAACCGATGCAGTATGTCTACTCTTCATCAATAAACTCATTGCTTTAGAGCATAAATTTAATGTCTTTATAGATAATCGATATTCGATATAGCATTCTTATAAAGTAGCAATGATAGAAAACAACTTTTCTGCACTACTTGCTATACGATCATTATATCAGCTGTCAATTACTATCATGGTATCTTTGGATGACTACAATGTTTATAAATTGATATTTATGATTCTTCCTACTGACGTTTATTTATAGACCATGGAAATTTAATCATCGCGGAACTGAAAAGATATACAACTTTAGTTTTAGGAAGAGTAAACTGATAAGACGGTAAAATTTGATCATAGTCACCATAGCGTATACTGTGATAGTCATTTTATCAGAACAGTATAATCTACTGTACTGTATACTTTTGTATCAAATTATTGACTTGTACAATGTTTCCTATAAGTATCATTCTTTACTGAATTAAGTATTATCGTAGTATACTTGCTAATGAAGAAATAGTAATTAATTTTAAAATTTTGACAGATGGAAACTTTTGCTACCAACGTTAATACTAACTCATTTGTTAACTCTTGGTATTGGGTATGTAATCTTGCAATTAGCCTATACTGTATTACTAAATATACCATTCTATATCTATTAATTATCAACACATTCATGCTTTCATAATCGTAGACCTAAAAAGGGATCGGTATTAACATGGTTCTAATTCTATTTAATACAGTTTCTTTATTGGCAAACGTTTTGCAAGTTCCAATGGCGAGGGCATTGAATTATGGTAACAGACAGGTTTTAAATTACTTGGAAAGTTGATCAATTTGTACAGTGTTTTGGACTAGCTCGCTGATAGGATTGAAATCGTGTTTCAATTGGTGATTCTGTCGCTAAAGATTATTTTCATCACTTATAGTTTAATGATACAGTAGTTTTATCAATGTAGAATGTGTGATTGTATTTAGCTTGTTATCCATTTAAATAACAACAAACACTAACATTTTTGCCTGCTTTGATACAGTAATTATAAGTTAAATCAAAAAGTACAATCCTACGTAGCAAAATTTTGCTCATAGCGTAATAGGAATAGTTCACTTTAATCGCCTGCTGTAACATAAGATATTAATATATTAATTGCAGTCATGTGAAAAATTTGTACCCATACCGAGAGCGCTTAACATATTAAATCAAAATTAAGTCGATATATTAACAAATGGTAACAGTTGAAGCTTGTGTCGCCTAACTTTGCGTATCATGGCAGCTCATGTTATACACCATTGCTTGTATGAGAAAAAATAGTCAAACGTTTATGTCAGAATATAAATTATCGGCTATGATATTCCGTTTAGTGGCTAATTATAAGCGATGGCTGAAGCCTCATTGTATGTAATAACATTGATTATAAAAATAGCTAATGGGCGCATTCAGAGCCGTGATTCAGTACCCTAAGAAAATTTAGAACGAATTGTAGCATGTTGTACTAGCACTTAATTGTGTTTAATATTCATTATATTGAGAAAATCGAATGCATTACTAGTAATTGCTATTGGTATGCTTTCTGCCGTTTTAATAGTAAATAAATTAGTATGTTTTGAAATATTGTTAAAGATAACAAGAAGTCTGTACCTGCATCTTTCCATATTATTTACTGTAAAGAGTAATTTATTGTCATTATTCATTACTAATGATTGGTAGTGGTCTTCAGTAAATTATTCAGTCCATATTTATATAGATAATTGCGTTTTAAGAAATAAAATGAATGAATTAGATAAAATGGCGTTGTGAGTTTATTGAAATAGATTGCAGTATTTGTCGGATCGAGCTTCTCTATTTACTCTTGCATGCGGTATACATTCTAGATCTAGATAGTACCAGCAAGCAAGGCATTGCATAACAACCTTGACACTTACCTTACGTGTATTTTAGGAAAGTAACACAATATACTATTTGCTTTTTAGGAAATACATTTTAGACATGGATGGCCAAAGTGCGCAGGGTATTATACAACATAGCAAAAAATCTAAAGTATTTGGGATAGTGACACAACAGGAACTACTTCGGCTAGCACATAATAATAATTTTCATGTGTCAAAGCATATAAACGCTGGATTAGAAACCTGTATTACTATTTTCATTCAATTTATTAATACTGTAAAAACAGACCTACGCAATTTTTAATTAATTTCATCGTAAACCACCAGAAAAATTAACCATGCTCTACAAGTTAGGAAAGCACTATAATTTGATTACTACGAATGAATTAATGTAAAGTTGATGTACTCTAGCTATATACGTAAGTTCTAGTTGATGAAACAAACGTATACATGGCACAAATTCTGCGGTTTACGCTTATAAGATGATGAGTGTTTAAGTCATAATTCTAGGTACAATGTGACGTTACAAAGAGTAACACTGACAAATACACATCAAAAAGAATTGATATCTTTTCAATATAATTAAACAGAATTTTTATGACATAGTAAAATTCAATTATTTAGACCTATGTAGCTTTCATTTACACGAGCTACTAATGTAGTAGTCATCTTTACTTTCATCATAATATTTCACAGGCATTTAGAAATCCTTCATTTGGGATTTGTAGCCTGATTTCGACATTAAGCGTTATTAACTGCAGATATCCATTACCAACGGATATTGCAGTATATTCCACTAGTACTTAAAATTTCTCGAGACTCGAAGGTAAAACGCGAGTTAAATAATATAAGTTAAGTTAAATAGTACTAAACCAACCTATCGTGACCGCTATGAATAATAACAATCTTCAGCATGTTGTTTATAATCCCTTGTTGAAGTAAACCTTTTCAATGGAATTATCGTACTTTTTAGAAATAATTTCCTGCAACTGTGATTCCAACTTGTCAGTTTGAAGAGAACTAAAAATAGAGAATGGAAATGGGATACTTTTTTTTAGAAGTGCTTTGTGTATATTAATCAATCTTGATTGAAGATTATGGTTTTTTCGGTATTTCATAGAAATATGAGCATACCTTTTTTGAGGGAAAATGGCACAAGCAGCTGGAGTCATTACTATTAAGCTGAAACACACAGCGGTAAAACATTATGATAAGCCCTACTTACAAGATTTACCAAAATTACAACTACAAGCTAGTGCAGATCAAAGAATCAAATAATTAGTCGCTATGCCAGTGAACGCTAAGCTATCATAATAGTATTTTATGAAAACTTTTAATTTGATGGTCATCTCTTAGAAATTAAAACTTACAACATTCCGACGAAAAATGTTTGTATTGGGGCTCCAAGAAAGGGAAATCTCTATAAGACATAATTTCAATGAAATTATTTTACATTACCTACATCTTGGACAAAACGAATACATTGAACGAACCTTCATGAATGGTGTCTTATCAAATCGTTCCATAAAAAAGGGTAAAAAAGCTAGCAATGAAATTTTAAGCGTTTAATTCAATTATTAAAGGGCCATTTACTCATTAAGAGTGACAATTATAAACTGCCTAATTCACTTCAGGAAACTCACTCATCCCAGGAGCAGCCATAGTTATTCTTGAAACGCAAACCTGAGAGATTGCTTTTCTAGCAGCGACCTAATAGTCAATAGAGTCTGAATATCAATATACAAATTTGATGTAGTAGCTCGTTTGTCGATGTATCAATATACATTTGTGTGATACAGTAGTCTTTAAGTTAGCCATATCAACAACATTGTTATTCTCAAGTTCGAGTAACCTTAGACTCCCCAATGTTGTTTCCGTCTTGATCGGTTACTATAATACCGTCTAGTAGTTCCCTAAACAACGTCACAGAATAGAACGCTATAAGATAGAATATTCTATTCTAGCACTGCTAGTGAAATTTAAAATGTATCCGTTACCTTTGCCTCATAAGAGGAATGTTGACACAGTTCGCTGCAGCAACAGCAGCAAACGGGACTAGTCTAGCAACTACTGGGCGGGCTCGCTAATTTGGCATTGATATATGTTGTACAGAAGAAGAAGTAATTACAGATAATATGATATAGTGTTTGTTGGTACTCGTATATAAGATATTTATTTACCTTGGTTAAAGAATTTAAAGCTAAAGCGGTAGCAACTGCGGCGCTCGTAGCCGAGACATAGGCTGCACCTAATTGTCTAGTTCAGGGTTGGATATGTTTGATGTTAATAACGGTGCAAGATTAATCTAAAACTCTGCAGTTTATAGACGTACAGTCTGTCAGTATCTCCTATTACTATAAAGCAGTCTAACTTACGTGGTGGATATAGGCGATTTAGCATTTCGATTAGTATAGTTGGCTAAGGCATTGAAAGACTGATTAATCCATTGCCAAAAGACAACCGCCGGCATCGTCCTAAATTGATCATTCATGACGATCAAATAATCACGCTATAGTACATCAGAATCATATTACCATCTTGTAAGCATGATTCAACTATGATTAGTCTACTGTTTCTTCTACTATCGAATATACAGTAAGTGATTTACGTCCGAAATATAACATGAGTGTGGGTCGAATGATACTAGGCTGCAAAGCTTACCTGTACCACTGCAGCATACAGCCAGTAATGATCATACCGCCAGGGACTTGAAAAGACATTCTACCGATAACATTCATTAAATCTCCAGAATCGGGGTGAAAGGCTGAATCGTAGATGGTTTTAGCCTGGCGGATTTGCTGTAAGGTTGTTCCTGGAGGTTCACGGTTTTCCCTAGTGTTGACAGATGCACAGTATTGCTATCGGTGAGGACGACTAGGCTATTACAAAGTAAGCACAACTCTGATTAACGATGCATTGAAAATAGTTGAGGAACCTGTATGCCTCCACGAGTTCCTTGGCTTGAAATAGTTCCTTATCGGAGTGTAGTCCATTCATGGGATTGGTAACATTGAAAAAACGTTTAAATCTGCCCATAAATGTGTTCTGATCCCATCTTGGTTTATCAATATCGATACGATCGGTATTGGTGGACATTTTTGGCGTTGCTTGCGGTTGTATTCTTTACTGTGCACTATAATAGAGAGTATGCAACATCATTATGAAGAGTTAGTAACGGGCCCGTATGCCATCTCTATAAATTCTTCATTTTCTTCAGTATATTAAAAGTACTGGAAGGTGTGTCTACCAAATTATCCCCGCGTAGGCTCCATATCAGGAGTACAGTACTGTAGGATCATTCCATGGGCTACCGGTAATCAAGTAGCTGCGAATAATATTGTCATTATTATTACATACAAGATACTGCCTTCGATTTATAGCTCACGATTAGACTGCAAAACTATGGACGGATTCATGGACGATATTGAAGCATTCCATGCCTAAGCTACAGTATGGAAGTGATCTCAATTTCTTCGGAGGACTTTTGCTTGCATAGATTGATGCATGCAAGTTTTTGAAGAAAGTGATCAAAAAGCTACCGAGGGTGTTGGCAAGTAAATGAATGAGATGAAATGGAGAATGAAACTCCATTCTGCTGGTCACAGTCGTACGTTACTACTTTAAGTTCATGACCATCTTGAAGTGGCACAGGGTGGAGTCTTCCTAGTCAATTTTGTAGTCATACTCGAGGAAAGACTTTGGACTCATTCAGCAATAGAATAGAGCTATAGACCCGTGGAACTAACCTTAATGAGCTAGATGTAGGCAAAATAAGGCGCTTACCTGTCTGATCGCAGTTTGTTATTATTGTTGCCCGCACTCAGCAGGTATTGCAATTGGAATCAGTCGGTCAAAGCGATTTTTCAACAGGTAAAATGCAGTGTTGATCGGCAATTTTGATCCAATAAACAACTTCAAGCTATCCGTTCCTTTAAAGGGAAACGCGCTGATCCAGCTCGGATTTGATCTTATTCTATTCGTTTCGCCCAGGTATCAAGCTGGCGGGTGCAGCAATCATCGACGCTTGGTGCTTGGTACTGCCTCAAGAAAGCTTCCAATCAGGTTTGCAACCGGATTTGCAGCTTGAAAACGGTGGTCGTCCTGTTGCTCTAGCTGGCCTGTCTTGTCACCAAATCACTTCTCCATGGCAGACTAGTATCAGACATGCCATCCTGTTACACAAGTATACTATACAGTAGACTGTCGATTGATGAAATCGCCTTTCCATTGTGCGGGGGGGGGGGACAGGTTCAAGATTCCTGTTATTGGACGCTGTGCAATACTGGTGTCACTGTAGAGTCAAGCATGAGGGATTCCTTCTATCGTGACACATCAGTGTACGGTACAAAACTGCGTGCAGGACAGGAATCCTGTCCAAGATTTCTATTATTGAACCGTGTGCAATACTTGTGTCATTTCTTCATCATCATGACCAGTTTACAGTGTACAGTGTACAGTACCGTGCAGCGCTTGTACTGTAAATTGGACACTCTGTACTGTACGGTACAGGAAGTGAGACTTGTGTAAAAAGGAGAACGACTTTTGGAAAGGAAGTGCGACTTCTGTATTCTCACTGCTGTATCATACCCATTGCTTGTACAGCACTGTCTATCTAGTTGACTGTATGCTACCTCAGGCCAGACCATTCAATAGTGCTACTGAAACTCTACTCAGTTTGGCTGTGAGATAGACAGTCGAGGTAGGTAGAGTACGCGCACACTAGATTGTATCATTCTCCATCACTGCAGGCGGTGGAATCAAGCATTGAATCCTGTCCTACAGTACAAACTCTAGTACCGTACCACTGCCTAATGTACTGTACATTGTACACTGTACAGGCTAGGCCATTCAATGGTGCTACTGAAACTACACTCAGCTCCGCTACTGTCAGACAGGGTGTCGAGGCTGGTAGAGCACGCGACCACCAGATCGCATTGTTCTCTATCATTCCAAGTGACCGTGTTTACGTCAAGTGGCACCGGTTCGGTTCGGTCCGCCGCATTGTTGTGTACCATATTTCTTCTTGCTAAACTGCGACTACCCCTGGTGGATATTAGTGGACAGGCATCTGTTGTCGACGACTAGAAATGATCAGAATTGCAATTTCGTCTTTACGTGATCTTACCATCAAGAAGGTAAGAAAGAAATACTTATCATCATGCATGACTAGAGCGTGAGGATGGCTAGAAGGAGACGGTATCATCGATAACGTGAATTCTCTTTCTTTCTCTAGTCACTACCCGGCGTGACAACCTTGGCTACACGATCACTCCATGTTGGCAAGCCATCATGCCAGGTAGGCAAATTGGCAGAGAAAATGCTTCCTTTGCCAATCCAATGGATAGCAATTCCATGCCCATCAGACTAGTGATAGTAATAGCAGGAATCGATGACACCTTGTCAGCCACAAATTGATGCATTGGTTGTAGGGATAAGGCTATACAGGCCATCAAGGGGCAACATTGCATGATTGTGCTTGCCCCCACGTTATAGTCTGACCACCTATGTAAAACAGTCGTCTGCAGTCGTTGACGTAGTAGAAATAACAGTCTAAATCTTTCTGCTACAGATTCCATCATGACCTAGCTTACCACTCCAACTTATTCGAATGGAGTCAAATCGTTCCAACCATGTCTATACCTAGAATAGTCTGCATCATAAGCTTGTACCATTGCTTCGTAAACGACAAAAGGATGGTGATACTGTACAGGATGCGACCCATTAAATTACCACTAACATGAATTAATGAAACTATGTACTCTATCCATATCAAGAATCAATCGTATCATTATTTTACAGAAAGGAGAAAAACGGATTATCACAGTCATACCTGGAGATGGAATTGGACCGGAACTCATCGATAGTGTGGCAACGTTGTTAAAGTAAGTAAGTTGGATCATAGGATCAGTGAAGTAATAGCGTTCACCTTTGATTTTGCAATTTACCGTAATGACAATCATATTCAATGGATAGATGGACGAAAGTTTGTGGAATCGATCCAGTTGTGTGATAGGACTTTACTTCTAGGCTATTTCTCCTTCTCTTAGCGCTAGTGTTTTATCAGCCAAAATAGCCAAAAAAATGATTGTCTCCATAGATGCGTTCATTAACCAATAATTTATCTTCTACTCCAACTGCCATCGTTGTGTTACTTTTACTTGATCGATTATTGAATCATGTCTGCTTGCGCATGCAAATCAAGCACATTTTACATTTTCTTAGTTATCCTCATGTCGGGCTTTCTTTCTCTCCATCGATACTTTTGCTGCTCGTGTAGTTTTTGCAGTGAAATAAACCAATGGCTGGTGAAGTTTTCTGTCGATAGATTGATTGATTACTCTCCATGATTCACTTCGCTGCTCGTACACATTTTCAATGAAATAAACTAGTGGCTTGTCAATTCAATTGATTACGCTTTTGGATAGTTGAACCAATTTTACCCACTTTGTTGTCCTCATATCAGGCTCTCGCTCCATCGATTGCTTTGCTGCTCGCTCGTGTACTTTTGTCAATAAAATAAATAAACCAATGGCTTGTAAATTCAATTGAAACTTTTGACATCATCATTTTTTAGTCATGTTAATGCACCGATTGAATTTGAAGAAGTTCCAATTAGGTAAGCAGAAGTAATTCCAACGAAAAGCTGTAATTCTATAAATGAATGATTTAAAGGACCAACATGATTTTTGAATGAGTAAAACGTATAATACAGTACATACTTGATCTCTGCGCCTTACTGTTCTTCATTATTGCTATACTAACGTCAATGGAGGCTTCGTACTAACTCACTTGTATCGTACGACATCATAATCAACAATTATATCGACATAATCCGAATCTCATTGATAGTGATATAGCAGGATCAAGACTAAGAGGAAGTGATTCCCTTAATAAGGCTGTCGATTCCGTACAAAAGAATAAGATTGGCTTGCAAGGTTATCAAACTCTTTATCATACCCGTATATCCAGTGAATAGAATTGATAATATCGATATTTTAAAAATTGCTAACTGTCCATTTGATAAATTATTATTATTATTTTGATGTACCAAAAAATGTAACCTTTTCAGTTCAAAATGGCCGATACAAAATAGATTACGTCTGCTAGTGCTGCTGTTATTGCAGCTTATATCGCTATAGCAATTATTGACCAATGTTCAAGAAAAATAGAATACTGATCAATTGACCCTTTATCGGCATAATGTAATAACAGGTTTTGTAGAAACTGCCGTTCATGGAATAGAGAGACCAGTTGGCATGCGGCTTATTAATAAATTGGAACTCTTTGCCAATGTGGTAAACGTCAAGAGTATTCCTGGTATTAAAACACGTTATGGTAACATTGATTTTACAATTATACGTGAACAAACAGAGGATGCATTTTCCGGCCTCGAGCATGAAGTAAATAACCATTGTACATTTAAAACCATCAATAGGATCATCTACTAGCTATTAATCAATTGAATCATGTTTTTTATCAGACGGTCCCTGGAGTTGTTGAAAATCTTAAAATTATTACTAGGAAACAATCATTAAAGATTGCTCAATTTGCTTTCAATTATGCACAGAAGAATAAGCTATCAAAAGTGACAGCAGTTCATAAAGCCAATATAATGTTTGTATTGATGTACATTAATTTGACCATAAGGTTTTACATGGTTAACATTGTACTGTATACCAATATTTCCTCAACAGGAAATTATCCGATGGTCTATTTTTGCAATGCTGTCGAGAGGTTGCCGAATTATATCCTGCCATTGAGTTTACCGAAATGATTGTAGACAATGCATGTATGCAGGTTAGACCAATATTTGTTCAATGTTGCTACTACACTTTTCCTAATATACTACTATATTGAAATAACTTTGGTAGATGGTTATCAATCCTTATCAATTTAAAGTATTGGTGGTACCCAATCTTTACGGTAGTATCTTAAGCAATCTGGGTGCGGGCCTAATTGGTGGAGCAGGGTTTGTCCCTGGATACAGCATTGGCCGTGAATATGTTCTTTACGAGCAAGTTAGTTGTTAATATTTCCAATTGACACTATTTATATTTGTGGCTATAATTTCTAAAGTTGGCTACTTTGATGTATCAAGGGTGCTAGGCATAGCTTTGGCCATGGGGCAGGAAAAGATGTTGCTAATCCTACAGGTTTTATCATCAGTGCTGTTGCAATGCTGCGTCACATGAAGTAATTGGATAAACTATCTAATTAATACATTGTCGATAGCGTACATGTTGAAAGTATATTATTATAGAATATCAAATTCTTAAAACTATGATGCATTTAATTTCTAGCTTACATACGTATGCTGATGCAATTTACAACGGCTTAATGAAAGTTATCAAAAACAAAAAGGTAATACTAAGAGTATGCCAGATACCTACATACATTCCATTTCTTGACATTATTCTTTCTTGACAGATTAAAACTATCGACATGGGCGGCCATGCAAGCACAACTGAGTTTGTGCAAGCTATGACGGAACAAATTATGCCTATAGTATAATTTTTTAATGTATCAATCGGATTTTGAATGAGTATTATTCAATAGCTATCGATACAAAGCTGCTATGATGTTGTGGCTGCTTGATATCTTAGTAGGCTTCTTAAGTCATTTTTTTAATGTTATAAAATTTGTAATTTCATGCTTGTAATTTATTTAATCATTTTCGCCAAAACTAACCACCTATTTACGGACTTGTTATCAGATATTAGCATATGTAATAAACAACATTGTGATCCTTCAAAAAATTATAATATCGATGTCTAATGTTGGCCATGCTGTTAAAGATATCATTTTGTTCAATTAAATAGCATCCCTATGATATGCATATAAAATAAGCAGGCACTATTTGCCAATTCATTGACAGTTCTAGTATAACAAAGCCTTGAAATAAAGTGATATAAACTTTGTAAGAAATGAAACCAATTGAACTTTAACCTAGCAATGCACGATAAACTTAATTATATGTAATCCGGTAAACCTTTTCTGCCATGGACCACAAAATTGATGCCATCTAAGTCGGTCACAGGTTGACAGAGAACAACTATACAGTAGTAACTACCCTACGTAGTAAACCTTACTCTAATAGTTCCTCATAAACTACAATTACAGTTAAATTAAACGCAGTCTTTCATACCGCCTGCTTATTATTTTCAAACCAATAAGGTTCTAGATATCGCGACCTATATTTCCCGACTACACTTATATGTATCAATACATTTTGTAATTGATGTTAATAAAGGTCTAAATTGGAGACATATAGAAACAATCAGTAAAAATGCTGTAAAGTAAGGAACTGTTACTTTAATTAAACCAATATTACGAAATCAGATCTAAACCAAGATACGAGTATTCGCTAATACAAATCATACTTTCACGAATGATCAACTGACCAACGTTTTTACCACCATACACGCAGCAAGAAGTAAAACGCCAATCGATAGACATTAACAAGATTCGATTGACAGGATTAATTTTATTACATACCTAAAATAACAGTCCAACATCGTGATTTAACATTGTAAAAGTACCCTTATACAATGAATTAACACTAGCATAATGTAAATTGCAATCAAAAGTTAGTAGTTTGGAAAGTTTGCATCGATAGAGTCAACTGTTGTAATATCGGTATATATCGAAAGGCTACGATTATATCAATTTTATTACAGTCGTACCGTATAGCGGTATTATAGAACTATATCATAATAAGATTATTACAGTTTTCTTAGCCATTGAGTACAAAACAAGAGGCAATCATAAAGAAGTGCTTCAACGGATTGAGAGTTGGATCTATAAGGCTATATAATAGAATATAAAATAAAATTATGATGTATCGTGGGCCAGCAGTAACCTGATTTATTGGTGTCAACACCAACAAATAAGGAAATAGTTGTATTTATAATAAGATTATACTATCACTAGTTCTCACCTTTGATAATGTTGACAGCTATTGGTTATTTTAAACGTTTGCACTTAGCCAATCAAGACCATGCTAAAATAAAGCGACAATGATAACTGTCAAATAGATTTATTATTTCTAACATAGGCGCGCTATAAAATAAAAATTGACTACATCATCATAATAATCCTAATATTTTTATTAAGCTTCTTTTCTAAATTAAATTGGTGGAGAAATAAATTTTATTGGTCATACACGTATATATCTTGAGAAATGAAAATATTGCTGGACACTGATGTTGTTACTATTGATAGTTAACTAAATGTAGATACTAGTATAGTAAAACAGTAGTTAATACTTATCGCGAATTAGGTGACGATTCTATGAGTAGTTTTGTATGGTTGCATAAATATTTTACGGATTGTGGTAAGTTCTTTAGAACAGTTGGATTTAAAATTTTGTAGACAATCTACACTATATTTTAGACTTTATCGTTAGCAAGAAGTATCTTGAGATGCAGTATAGAGATTAAGAAAGACCTTTCTTATTATACGATTTAAGTTAATAGAGATCTTTTTCAGTCTATAAAATTGGAGCACTAGTATATGGTGTAATATGTTTTGTAATGACTTAGCTGAGGATCACAGAGAGTGAAGTACGTACTGAAGGACACAGCATAAGTAAATAGGTTTATTGATTTTTAAGAACTCACGAGCATAAGAACAATATATCAAAACTGGTTAATTACGGAATGCCTTTAGTTTATAAGTAGTATGTGGTCACGTACGATACAGTGCGATTACTGTATAATAATGATGAGAATGATTAATCTATAATTAAGAGTGCACTATCAATTCAATAAATCGATAAAATACCTCATCTTTTGCACGCATTAACTAACAGATGTGAAATTTTAGAAACACGAATATATATAATTATAACGGATATAATTAATAATGTAATGAAATTATCGGAGATTGTAATGAAATCAAACTCAAAATATCGTACTTTATGATATACGATCTTGTTTGCAAAATAAGGTAATGAAAGCTTTATTTTAATACTGATTTGTGAACGTCTTTCGGAATTAAGCACTTACCGAGATGCCCTCTCCTGTTGTCGCTGAGCAAGCTTGTATTTGCCATTTACGATCACGAATTTTATGAAGATTAAGATTTTCAGCAATTTCAGATGCAGATGCAGCACTTAACAAATCTTGTTTATTAGCAAATACCAAGACAGGTATACCAGCTAATTTATCTTCATCCAATAGGTCGCCAAGTTGCTACATGATAAGTTTAAGTAAAAATATTAACAATGGCCATTAAATATTAAACAGGTTATCTTTAAGTTAAGACAATTGATCATAACTATCGAAATTAGTTTTCTTTATATTCTTGGCGTCATCGAAATACCAGCTAATAGCAATTCAATAGTGGTAATGCTGTAGGGCTAATTATAGTACCAAATAATTATGAAATGAACAAAAAATCAGTCTTAAGAAACTAGATAATATTACAGATTAAGACTACAAATCTTGGCAAGTTTTTTTTGATACTGAACTTCGTCTATTTTGTAATAAATAAATTTGAATAATTGTGTTTTACAAATACACTCCATCTGTAACTACAGCCTGCAGTATACCTGCTATAATTATGATGCATAATGATTGCATAGATAATATATATGTAAAACTATAAAAGTATCTTCTATTAATTACTGTAGTGATAATCAAATAAAAATTGTAATGGTAGGGAGAACAAGTAGCTTAGAGTAATTAAAATAAGAGAAAATAAGAGAATTATTCAAATAAAATGGCGCTTCAGAATGCTAAAAGAGGCTATTTTAAAAAGTGCTCTGATATAGAAAATAAAATGAAACTATTGCATGTTTTATACCGCTAGTGAAAACTTCTATTGCTGAAGGTGTTAAAAATTTGTATTGGAACATAATGAAATTTTTTATGACACCCTGAGAGGCCTTTCAAGCCTACACACATTCTCACATTTTGCCTGCCTAGTACCATACTAGTACGTTATCAAAGTGTTTGCGTCAATGTCAATTAATTTTGCAATATGTATGCCACGTAATTATTATAGATATCGTGGCCAATCGCGTTAGCATATTCTACTGTAGGTGTATCATTTCAAGAGCTTTATATTTTACTGCATTGATGTATTTATGGCAGACCAAAATGTCATCCTGTAGTTGTTATAAACTTTGGTGAGTTCGCTGGAAGTAGAATAAAAAGCTATCCCCTAAATATCGGACAATCGGAGTCATATCACTGTAATCCTAATTACTAATCTTCTTTGGTATGCACCCAAAAATATTACAGATTTAAGGCGTACTTAGAGTGTATAATCCGAAGCTAGATTACCAGTTTTATACTCAGAGTTTTATAGTTTAGGATTTAATTTTAATCATTTATACAGTATTTGAATTATAACTCTTGCATGTTGAATGTGAATCTTTGTGTCTGTCCTATTTGTATATTTCCTAAATTCTGAATGATTCTGATATTAGTTTTAGATATATGACGGGTATTTCTATTTTTGAACTCAAGTAGAAATGAAAATAAGGTCTGATATCATATGAGTCTAACGAATTAATCGGTAAACGGCGTAGACTAAAATATTCTTGGAAACTATAAGATTGATAACTTGAAATTTATTCCTATTTGATGTACTATAGGATATATTTATGCTATAAAAAATAGAACTAATTCAGCACTGGTGCCGTAGGTAGTATAAACTTTATAAACCACTGTTATAGCGACACTTAACTATAGTCTTAGCTACAATATTAAATCCATATGGTACGTAATTAAAATTTACTAAGAGCGTCTTTTACGCAATTAAAATGATAATTTTGAATTAAATCAATAAACAAATATTACTTTCATAACAGGGGAATTACTTTAATACGCTAAAAGGGGTAGAATTGTATTTTATCTTGATTTTAGGGGGATGAAAACAAAGGCTGCTTTGAAAGAAAGTAAAGAAATGTCTGACATTTGTATCATAAATCGTATATCCTACAGAGATGTATTTATAGATATCAAGATGGCTCCAAATTTGATTATTTGCAATCAAATATAAGGATAACACAGGAATAAGAGACAATAATAACCAAAATAATAAGGTAACATTAGGTATTGCATCGCCTAATATACGGACATTAATTCACCAATTGCCAAATGAATATGATATTTCTACAAATTGATTAGTTAATACCTCGCCAGTTTCATCGAATCTTTTGCGGTCGGCGCTATCGATAACATAGATCTATTAGGGATTACAATATTAATGATATATTATGCTGTCAATTGCAATAGCTCAATATTCAAAATTTGGTATATGTACATACGAGTATACACATATTGTAATGAACTACGGTCCTATCTCCGTTGAAAAGCCTTCAAGATGGGCTTACGACAACAGACAATAGTAATAAACTTATCAATCGAACATATGTGAATAATTCGACTGCAACTATTACCAGAACATCGGTATTTTCGAAATAATTACGCCAGTATGGCCGAATTTTTCTTTGGCCTGAAAATTAATTTGGGTGTAATATTAGTTTCATCTCGATAATAAATTTTCTATCAATGCATAGTGAATATTTCGACGTAAAGATACAATTAAGTGTCTAATGTACATATAATATAAATCCTATTTTTACTATTACTAGTATACTTAATCGCAAATTTTCATATGATGACACATATACAATAAATAAGATTACTCTTATAAATTGTTTCGTGATAATAAGTGAAAAACACTTCTAATAATGGGTTAGTAAACTAGACTTAAGATTAATCGTAGATTTGACGGTTAGAAATCATTACAAAGGTTAAATGTTATATGTAACATTTGTATTATTATTATAGAAATAAGAAAGATGGTGTGAACGAATTTCTAAATTTAAATGTTGTATGGGTAACTGATCGTTTCTCATTTGATACGTATTGATATATTAAATAGTACAACACTGCTAATATTGCCTTAAGTTAATGATAATCAAAACGTTTATGATGGTATCGAGTAATGTTGGATCATTATGATTCAATCAATTTTTTTTTGGGGGGTTCCTGAAATCATTGTTTACGCATTAGCCAGCCATACTAAGTGAGTATATCGAACATTATCCAGAGATAATATCTTTTAAGCAAATGGTGTACTACAGTATTGGACTGTAGTATTGAAGCATACCTCCAATATCCCAAACATTTAAACGAAATCCAGATGACTGTACTGTTTTGATATTGAATCCCTATAAAGTAGAAAGGAATACGATAAAATCTAGAATGACGGATGATAGATTGGATGAATTTAGTTTTTCGAATACATTATATTTACTTGTCAGTATAAGTATAACAAGCAAAAATTTTTACTAAATAATGAAAACTAGGTATAATCCTTGATATAGTACGAACAGCGGTCCATACTCACGGGAAAAACATTTATGATCAAGTGATTGCGTTAGCATTGAAATAGCAATGAAATTTGACAACATTAACGTAAATTGGTTAGGAAATATTCATGGAGAAGAAGGATACTTCACTTCATAGCTGAAGTAAAAGTCTAGTGTACTCCTTAAAAGGTCCAGTAATATTATACCTGTGTTGGTGTGATATGGTTAATGTCTTCAGAAGCCAATTTTTTTAGTATTGTTGTTTTTCCTGCATTATCCAATCCTAGTAGTAGTATTCTCAAGTCCTTGTTGCTTTGCTTTTTCATCTTTTTAATTAATGCCAACAGTCCCTATCGATGATATTGGTCATGAGAAATAGAGCCGTTATGCAAAATTTTCATTTTTCCATACATACATCCTATTACCACTGACATGCCTAAGTATGGCTATCTGATATTGACTTATGAAAACGAGTCAAGTTTTTGCGTGATGAAAGAATACGATGAATCAACATAGACTGAAAGGTATTCTACAAACTACTAACGCTACAAATACGAGTATAAAATACAAAGTAAAGTCACGATACATAAAGTTGTATGAATGTATTATGACAGATCATAATTAGGTCAGTGTTATTATATACATAAAAAATACATATAGACCACTTGGCTACTTAATCGTTAGGTCGTTGATGAACAATCCTTTTTTCCTGATTTAGAACAAATTATCCCATTGATATTATCATGACTAAGCCGTTCTTCAATCTACCGTTGATTAGCATGTACAGCAATGAAATTGAAATTATTTACCATTTTGAAATATTATATAATCGGGATTGAACAACCAACCGAGGAAATCTACCAGTTTAATAAAATGATAAGCTATAAGACAACGGATACGTTAGCGATAAAGAAGGTTTTACTGCGCTACTGGTTACTATGATACCATGGGCAGCGAGTGTGCGCAGTCAAGGAGAAGACAGTTTAAAAAATGGTGAAAAAAAGGATCGAGGCCGAAGGAAGAGATGGCAGTTTCCATTACTGTTGTCTACCTCAAATGGTAGTTGCCTTATACTAATTTACTATGGCTTTTATTTTTGTTTCTCATACTTGTATGAGAGCGAAGTCACACACAGCTTCCCCAGTGTATCTTCTGTACACTACAGTACTCTACACTGTAAAGCACAGTACTGTACATTCTAGAAATCTGCTTAAAAGTGTACCATACAGTACTGTAGATCGTATACGGAAGACTGTCTAGGCAAATCACCACTTGCTATTAGGGGTTAGTGGACTACTTCAGACATTCTCCTCAATCAAATTGTACAACACCTGTTCAAACAGAAGTAGTAGCTGAGCTCAGCTGCAGCAATGATTCTCTGGTGAATGGCAAGTGGATTAGCTCGCCATTACAAGTCTGGTTTTACTGCTAGTCAGATATCAATATACAAATTAGAAAGGAACTTGGATGATGCATCTTCAACCATTGATTGAGTGATACAGAATTGGAGAATCCTTGTAAGTTGATTCATGTCTTAACTCGATTGCACCTCTGTCTGTTAATGTCATTTGCAGCTGCCAGCCATGGCAGCTATCGTAATGATAGTGAACAAACTTTAGAATCACTTACTAATGCACTCATTGTATATGCAATGACATTGGTTGCAGGTGAAATGAAATGTCAAGATTAAGGAATCTCTCCGTTGTGCTCAACACGTTGCAACATGAATTATTACCAACTGCTGATAGAATGCAAGCTATTCATTCTACGCGTACTGTCTGGTACCGAGGTGGATGGACTTGGGCCACCTGGCTACCAATGAAAATGCAATCGAGATATCTTGTGCAATCATTTCCCCGTTGCTACTGTAAGTTCTTCCTGCCATATAAACTACAATAACCATGGCTAAATGATTAATGCATGGATAATGAGCAATAGCAAAGGAGATCTTACCATGACCAAGATATTAATAGCCTTGAGATGTTTAGCAGTTAGGGTAATCTCTACAAATGGTATTAACTGTAACTACAGGGCGTCCCGAACACCTGTACATTACAATGGAGACGGCTTGATCTCAATAACTACCAAATTTGTTCATCTAAAATTGTACGACATTTTGGTCACAATTATAAGTGATAGTATAGTCTTTGATATCCATCAAATGGTAGTCATAAAAGATTTCGATCGTATTTTAATTCCCTTCTACATAACAGTATTTATCTAACTACCGTGCTGTGCATGTTTCTCTAGCCAAAAAGCTATCTCAGCATCAACAATTGCAAGAAGTTATAGCCGATGAATTAAAATTTGCAAGTAAACAGCAAAAACAACTAGTAGAGCGTATCAATGCCCAGGTAACCAAGGAAAGACTACGAGTTGCCATTTACTATTGTCATAGTATACAATGCGTTTGGATTGTTACCTAACTTTTCTAAAGCCTACTTCATTCAGTATATACTGTATTAGGCAAAGTTAATAAATGACAAGACATAGCTTACTCTAATAGCACAACTTGGAAAAAATAATCATTTTAATTAGGCCAGCATTTCTACTCTGGAACGGAAAGAAATTTATAAAAATTTGCGTAGAATCGCTCCCTTAGCAAAGCTTTCCGATACTATCGAGGAAAAGAAACAGGTTTTGATTCACCTTCTATGCCCGCTTCAATATTTATCGATGTTGACATGGTTAATGATGCTAATGCGGCTTTTAATGATCAGCAAAATATTAGTTCATTGATAATATAATGCCAAGATACTAATGAGGAGCAATTAAACTGCTAGAAACTTGAAAGATAGCCTATCATGAGCTGTAGATTTATATTCAATTATAGGCAATCAACGAGTTAGAACAGTTAGCGAACGAAGAAAAAGAAATGAGAGAAATCGCCTTGGAAGATCGCAATAAATTAATGTCAGAAGTTAATGCTCTGGAAGTAAGATAATTACTCCCTAGTTTGTTTCAACTTGTTATTTTGAGATACTGTAAGTGAGCTTTAGAATGGTCATCATTTCTAGCAAGAAGCAATCAAGGAATTAGCTGTCAATGATGAAGCCGACGATAGTAATGCTATTATTGAGATACGAGCTGCTACTGGTGGCCTTGAAGCAGCACTTTTTGCTGCTGATTTATTCCAGATGTATAAAAGGTAAGTAATATGGAAGCAATTCTTGTAGTTTTTGGTTGGATACTACTTATTCAATTAGACGTTTTGTCCCGGACAACTAGCTGACCTGTAGCCTTGATTCATGAATTCCATTAGGCATCAATCTAAATTAGTTTCGTCTAAATAAATACTGTTACCTTACGATTTGACTATCTGTTTGTCAATGTTAGATATGCATCCCATCGAAATTGGAAATTTGAAGCATTGAGTTTTCACGAAAACGAAGTTGGAGGTTTTAAGGTCAACAATTTTATGCTACCTACAATTGTATTGGCTCAATAAGTAGGCGTATCATCTTTTATTTATTTTACTTGACTACTATTAGGAAGCGATTGCTAGCATTGTTGGAGCTGGAGTATTTGGTGAAATGAAAGTAACAGCCCTGACTATTTATAGATGTTGATATTACGTAGCAGCGTTCAATTTACTGCTTAGCGATCATCAATTAATATATCCTAAGAGCTGATTCACTCTTTTAGTTAGAATCTGGAGTTCACCGTGTGCAGAGAGTTCCGATTACTGAAAGCGATGGTAGAGTGCATACAAGCACCGCTACCGTTGCTATTTTACCCCAACCGGAAGAGGTAAATATTTAAATAATTATGTTTCATTGTTGTTGCTTAATTCTTAATATTATTATACTGTATCTTATCATCGATAGAAGTATGGTGGTCACTTATTGCTTCGATTGCTTTTGATGTGTTTCAGATTGATATTGTTATAAATAAGAATGACATAAAATTTGATACTTTCCGTGCGCAAGGGTAAAATACAATAGCCATTTATTTCCATTACAATTAAGCGAGTGACTGCGGTTACATTGTAAAGTGAAATTGGTATTACATTCAATTATTAGAGCCGGGGGCCAACATGTTAATACGACAGATAGTGCGGTGCGACTTACACATATTCCAACTGGAATGATTGTGGCCGTTCAAGAAGAAAAATCTCAACATCGAAATAAAGCGAAAGCAATACAAATTCTACAAGCAAAGCTATTTGATGAACAACGGCAACAAAATCAGACAGATCGTGTTCATGCTCGTAGACAACAGGTATCTAGAAAGTTGGCACGACTCATGTAAAATTTGCATTCAGCTTACAATGTCCTAACTATAGATAGGCACAGGTGCAAGATCTGAGCGTATTCGAACTTACAACTACCAGCAAGACCGTATTACCGATCATCGCATAAACATGTCACTTTATGGTATAGACGATTTTTTAAGCGGAAATGAATCCCTGAATCACCTCATGTCTTCACTGCTGGAAGAGAATCGCATGAAGGCAATACGCAACTTTTTAGATGATAGTAAACGTCGGGGAAGCGATTCCGTGAAATAATGAAAAGTATTTGATTATTTTGCAGCTTTATTCTAAATTAATTGGTTGATTCATTGATTATGCCGTGTAAGTTGCATTATTTTTCTGGTTATATTATCGATGACTTTCTTACGATATTAACCAGAAAAAGTGATTACTATACTGCTGATTGGCTGGTTTATAAAGGCATACTTTTAATTTCTGTATTTTTTAAAATGACTGTAAATATTATGATATCAAAATAAATATAATAAGAAATATAATACTAATGCGAGAGTAGAGAGTACGTAACCATGAAATAATCATATAGCAGATTCTTCTTGTCACGTTATATCGATGGATTTTTCATTCATTGATGTTGCAGTACTTCAGTAGAGAGGACGTAAACATAAATAGTCATTAAGCGTGTTCATCTTGTCACGTTATACGTATGGATTATGAACGATAATCCATTGTTGCACTACAAATGTAGGAAATCAGAGAGATGACCTAACGACCAGGTCCTAGTAATCATAGCTATCATTACTTCTGTAGATCAGCATGTCCTAGTAATAATCACTATTATTACGACATCTTGCAATGGATGTGTACCCGATGCACTAGTAGCTACAGATGACCTAACGACCAGGTCCTAGTAATCATAGCTATCATTACTTCTGTAGATCAGCATGTCCTAGTAATAATCACTATTATTACGACATCTTGCAATGGATGTGTACCCGATGCACTAGTAGCTCCATTAAGAGGATCTTCCTTCCTTCCGATGTCCTGTTCATTATCATCCTGATTATGGCTAGACTTCTCCCCATGCGCAGAGCGGACTGTACAGTGCAATACAGTACAGCGTCTATAGACTATAACCGCTAGTGTAACCTGTGTACCGCACTAAGACTTGGACCACAGCGACGTCGCCTAGGCGTCTGGAATGTGCGACGTGTCAAACTGTGGGTGGACACTGGACACCGGACAGCCGGCTTATTTTCGTTTGCCTATAGGATCCGAGCCACGCTGGAACGATTCTATAGTAAAAGCTTTATTCGAGCAGTCCAATCGAGTACAGTACCAGCGTCAGTCAGCACGATTCGTTCGACTGGGAGAGGTACTGCGCATCCTCGATGCTTTGCATTTCCTCCCCTACAGTACAATACTGTAGGCGAAATACCATGGACTGTAAATGACTGACACGCTATGGCGACTACAATACTTTACCTACAGTACGCAAGCGCCATGGACTGTAGGGAAGGTAAATAACAAAATCGATCTTATCCGTCAATCCTACAGTTAAAAATCTGCAAAAATGGTGAAAGTGGATAGCAAAGCAGCAACACCATCGCCATGATTATTGCCTGGATAGGGTAGTGGTTAATTAATATTTTAGTTCTTGTTTTCTACTTAGTCTTACTGCTACTACAATAATCGGCTAGAAGAGATTTTTGAAATCGCAAGGCATTGCCATTTTCAAGTGCCAAGATTGAGAAGAGGAGTGCAAATTGTTCAATTGACTACGATTGCCAAATCTTTTTATGGATTACCAATTTCGTCGCTCTTGCAACCTTATGTTAAAGCAATTTCGATGCCATCTTGTCTTCGTATGGATTATTTCATTATTATTATGTCACGCTAATGGACTGGATGATTCAAAGAGTGTTTCTACGTTAAAATGTAGCGCTGGTTCGTGGTAAGTTTTCCAGTCATGGGGTGGAAGCTTCTCGATTTTTGTTTTTCCTTGACCTATACCTGACGTCATGCCCATCATGACTGTTTAGTATAGCCCTGTCAAGACTGTTTTCAACAGTAGAGTCTCTAAATAGTAGAAGTCATAGAGGAGAATCGCCATGACCATTTTTTCTTATGAGTCGTGATCTAGCCATCATCAACTCTTGGCTAATGAGGAGGAAAAGCATCACCAAAACTGATTATCCTTTATTTTTTTCCCCTAGCAATTCGTTGATTATTGTTAGCACATTGGATGGAAAATTAACCGCTCTAGACGCTAAAGGAAATGGGCAAAAACATTGGATTTTGCATTCGTTATTAGGACCTCTAGTCTCTTCATCAACAACGACCGTCAAGGTAAGATCGAAAGATACTTTCTTTCCTTCTTTTACCGAGCTAATACATGGCTGCTGCTTGGATCTTTAATATCAGTCAGTCAGCATTGATGTCGGCAGCAGCACGCGTTACTGGATAGACTTATTGGATAGTCTTTCTAATTGATGTTATTTGTAATTCTCCAAAAAAATGCCTGAAATAATAATCCTAAAATAAGCTATGACCGTAATGAATTACATTTACCTTTCATTGACAGAGAGAAGTCGATGCCCCTAAACTGATTCCCTCTCTCGATGGCCATATATATTATCAAGAAAGAGGACATGTCAAGGTACCGCTATGACATTAAACCAAACGAATTGTATTAAAATAATTTCAGTAACCATACCATCCTAGCCCTAAGAATAGATTGCTATCTTTAGTCAAAACTGTTCAATTTCTTAACATTACTGTATCAATTGTGTCATTGCAACAAGGACGTTATTATTATATTATCATTTTATGTGAAAAATCGGCCCGATAAACTGTGCCATTGCCGTTTTGCTAGACAAATCCAAAGATATTGCTGCTGTCAATGATATCGTCTTTCTATTATTGCTTCTGCAAATACGAGTTGAATTGTATATGACAACTTTTCTTATAACACAATAATATTTCAGCATGATTTGTAAAGTGACATTCGATCAGCTGAAAATTTTTTGGCTATTTTCTTTAATTTCATGTATTGCAATAGGGTGTTTTAGTAGTATTTTTAAAAATTGAACAAACAGAAATTATGATTTAATCAACAAGGACATCTTAATATCCAGTAGTATAACAGTAATATTCGATGACTACTTAAACAAAGGATTAGCACTTACATGCCAAGTTGTTAAATGTCCTACTTTAGAAAAATGCAAACTGCATCATAACAAAATACAATTCATAAACCGGTATTAAAATTAGAAGTACATTATATCGCCTGCAGTATATTGAATTATACTTTATGTAGTTAATTAATAAATCAATATGAAGTTGTGAATGAAAAGTAGATTTTCTTTCTTGTAATCTATTTTCATGAGGTCATGTACACTTCAGTAAGCGCAGTAAATTTTGGCTAAAAGTTACTAAACTCTTTCTAATCCTACTATTTTAGTTAATGCCGTTTACAGCCGAAGATATGCTCTCCAGATCGTACAAGGTCAGCGATAAGTCGGTTCTTTCTGGCAGCAAGCACGTGCATCTGTATGGAATAAACTATGTAACAGGAAAGGTACTGTACTTCATTATTCATCTCTGCGAGCAACATATTTAGTTGAAATTAATACATTACTTTTAAATTTGCATAAAATGAATGATAACATCCCTTGATTTTGTTCGATGTCAATTCAACTGTTCCTCGGCTTTTGTAGCTATTTCTAGATTCAAGAAACGAGTGAATGGATGTTATGATGTATGATCAATAATTAAATATCTATTCACAATTCGAAAGCGAGAATGTGATTGGTCTCTGATAATTATATAATAATACATAAAATTGAAACTGCTATATCATTATTTCATATAATTCCAATCGATTTTAATGAACAGTAAATAACTTTTCGTAGAATATCGTGGTGAAGATTTATTGTTATAGTATCCCTTCTCGACATAAAATACTCAAATGAGCCATTTCACTGTATAATTATTCGCTTTCTAACTCTATTCGTCAATTTCTTTCACCATCAAAACACGTGGCAATATCGTGACATTTTATTATTGTGCAGTATTATAACGTGGCGAATATGTCGTTGAATGCATATGTGCGCATGTTGGTTTTATATCATCCTCTGCAGGCTAATAAGTATTTTAGTACTAATCCCCTAAAAAAGAATGACATAATAAATTATATGATGTAACACAAAGCAGACTATTTATTTCAATAGCGAATATTTTACTCTAAGAGTAGACAGGCTGAGTTAGAAAATGATTTTACGCATATTATATTTATTAATTGCTGCGCAGTGTCATGGCTACTTTAAATTATGTTTGCTTTGTGCGTCTGACAGTATTCAAACCCGCGATACCCAAATTCTTTGGCATGAGGGAAAATGACTAGCTATCTTACGTAGCACATAAGACTCAAATTTTTAGTATTTCTTTATTAACATTGCTATCTTGTAAATTATACAGATTCAGTATATATGCACTGGGGAAGGTTGCAAGTCTTCGGGAACTGAAGCGGTTGCTGATGAAATCTTGATTGTTAGACGGGAACAAGAAGGTCTACGAGCTGTTGATATGGTATCTGGATCAGAAAGGTATTAGTTGTATAAGCTAACGTAACTTTCTTTAGTCTCAGATGATGCTAGTACCAATATTAGATTTACGCAATATAAAATTATGTCTGTGTTTTGTCGTAATCTGTCATGCAAGTAATTCTCTTATGTCATCAATATATTTCCATAACGATAAATCAAAATACATTGCAGATGGAATTTAACTGTTGGACAGTATAAGCTATCGTTACCTAATGAAGACGAAGAGCATCATTGTGATTCTGACGGCAGGGCTACGCCTGTTAGTATTGAAACAAATGATGGGGAAAAAGTATACATCAGCTTTTCCAAAAACAAAGTATATGCATTCTCAGGGTATGGATGGTATTGTTTTACATATGCACGTACGAGTACATGTAGGTTACATTGCTGTAGAGCTAATAATAAAGCTGTTCTTGTAACACTATCCGCAGATTGGGTTCCCTAAGTGACCTTATTTGGGAAAAAGAGGTAATAAATTGTCGCAAGATTAATTAATTATAGTACAGACATCCAAACGGGTGTCTACAGGCATTATCATGCTTCCATTTGTTAATCATCCATCGTATTTACAGCTTGAAGCTCCTGTAGCGACAACCTGGGTGTTATCAAATGGCAAGCTGCGTCAAATTGATATGGTCCTTTCTGGTACCGGAAACTCACAAGGAATTGACTTCTCAACCTCCTCATCGACTGATTCAAATCATAAAACTACCGCTTTATCCCGTGTAGATAATGCTATTTTTATGTACATAGGTACGCCGTTAATTTGTGCACGATGTTTTCTAATAAGATCAAAATGTCGAATGTAAAATGTTATTATACACTTCGCTTTGTAAAGTTACTGTCAAATTTTGCAGGAACTTACAACAATCAGCTGTACATAAATCCAACTATCGATTCATGCACCGTTAATAAAATGAAAGCAGCTGATACTGCTAGAAAAGAACTTCTTCAAATGAGGGATCATCTGACGAGCGGAGATGAGAAAACATTGATTACTAGTGATTTTTCAAAACTAGCGAAAGCCGCTGGAATGGGTTGGTATATGTATAAACTTTCTGCCTTGCATAGTAGAACGCCCATTGTGAAAACTAACAAGTATGGAAGCAATGAAATTGCGTTAAAAGACAAATCAGTTCCTTATCCATTCGGTTTGTATAGTTCTAAAATTTGAGAACCTAAAACTTTACCATGTTTAGTCATTCTATTATGCTTTCTTAACTAATTACTAAATGCTGTTTCATAGATGATGGTGAAATTCTAGTCAGTCAAAAAAAGCCAAATCAACAGCTAATTAGCGATGGAAATTATGTTTATTATGCAACTATCATGGGAAACATTAAAGGTTCAATCTGGGATTGGTGGTAATTGCATATCCTTTTTTATAGTACTGTCGCGACTTTCTTTAGAATTCTTCTACAATTCCTAAGTTCATTTCTTTGTCATTGTGACGATTAGGAAAGAGATACTAGTGATTTGTAGCGTGCAATTTCTTCTCACATCCTATGTGGTACAGCGCTGGATTAGAAGACGTGAAACAGCAACTGATGAACCTAAAATAGATAATGATACCTCGGAGACAGAAAAGGAATCGCCAATGTTTAGCGAGGACAAGGTGCTTAATTTCGTTGAAATTGTAGTTCGAATGCTTCATAAATACATCTATGATAGTAATAATTATAATCGATAATTTTCAGGATCAAAGCTCTGTGCCGCCTTCATCTGATACGTTAACAACATCTACTACTTTATCAGGAAGCAATTCGGTAATACGAAGATTTAATTATTGACATGTTACAGTGCAATATTTCTCATATCTTCATCGTAATGTCTTTTAGAATGGTAACACCGACAATGGAGAGATGATTCAAATTTCACGGTACTCCATTATGCTGACTACAAATGATATGATGCCTTTTTGTAACCTTATATGTCAACTTTTTCGTTAGGCTGGATAGTGAATTTGAATTAAAAGAGAAGCTAGGACGTGGTGGATATGGTGTTGTGTACAAAGCTAAAAAGAAATTTGACGATCAGGATTACGCCCTTAAAATAGTGCGATTGCCTGATAGGTAAACAATGATTGTATTGGTAAAAGATTCGATTCGATAACACTTTTTCAAGAATATCTCTTAATGAAAGCGATTATGTATTTGCATTCTTAGGGATGAAAAACGTGAAAAAGTCTTACGGGAAGTAAAGTTGCTAGCCAAATTGGATCATATTGGAACAGTACGTTATTATAACGCATGGGTAGAGGAATCATCAAGCAGCTGGTCAAAGAATTCTGACATACTTGCTAGGTACAGCACTTGACAATAGCATTGGCAACTAAAACAGTGTTGAAGTTTGTACTGCCTTGGTAAAAATAAAACTTAATTATTCGTTTAATTTTATAGTGAAGAAAGCTCACGGGCTTTTGCTACCGAAGACGATAATGAAAATTTTGAAACCGAAAGTTCATTTCAGTCCTCAAACGTGAACCGAAAACTAAATTATTCTTGGTCCTATACTGACCAAATTACAGAATTGGAAAGCAATTCTCTCAATGGAAAGTTTAAATCATCAGTACGATTTGCACGAAACTCTCTAGAGTTTAGTTTTCGCGGACTATCAAAGTCGATCGATCATAATAATGACAATAATAGCGGTGATGATACATCGGGTAGTATAATTTTTCAAGAATCCGGACTTGGAGAAGAAAGTGCCAAGGATTCGATGGAAATTGCCTTTGAGAATTCGGAAACGAGTGACGACCTTAGAATGAGCAATTCCAACTCAGGGATTGTTTTCGAAGAAGATGCAATATTACCTGGTACTAGTGGTAAACCTTCCAATAACAGCGTCATTGGGGCAACATCATCATCCTCTCATGTTAATTCAAGTGTTAGAAAAGCGAGAAAACGCCATCAGTCTTGTCCGACAGAAGTGGTAAAACCACCTAGCTATTTATTCATTCAAATGCAACTTTGCCACTCTGAAACATTGGACAAATGGTTACAAAAAAATGTTGAAAATCGCAGTTTTAGTGAATGCTATGATATATTTAATCAGGTAAACCTATAAGTGAGGAGGATAATTTTTGTGGTCGTCTTTCTAATGAATCATATCTAGCTGGTACTCAGCTGTGCTATCATATGTAGTGCAAAAATTTTCTATCGCTTGTTAATTTGTAGATTCTAAAGGCCCTAGTCTACATCCATAATATTGGATTGATTCATAGAGATTTAAAGGTAATGCGATAAATTGGATAATTTTCAGTACCGAGTATCATTGTCTTTCAACAAAGGCATAATAGCATTAATGTTTATAATATGAATTACCTGTTGACATTATAGCCTGCTAATGTATTCTTTTCAATGGATGGCCTTGTGAAAATTGGAGATTTTGGTTTGGCTATTGATTACGGCGACTATGGTACTGTGACCACTACAGATACGAATCAAAATTTTAACTGTTTTCATCTTGATTGCGTTGCGTTATTTCGTATTGACAAGTTAATTTTGTTACCGTAGATACGATAGATAGTTTATCCCAAAGCACGAGTAAAGGTCATGAACGTAAAAAGTATTCTAGAAATGTGGGCACTATGTTGTATATGAGCCCTGAGCAGGTAATTTATATAGGGTAACGTCCCGTTTCTACACATTGCCGGTAACAATGTCTTGTTTGGATAACTCAACTAGGTGTCGGGGAAACGTTGTAGCCAAAAAGTAGATATTTATGCATTAGGCATAATACTTTACGAACTACTTCATCCAATGACAACTGGAATGGAACGAATTAAAGTAAGTGCAATCAACTATAGTTTTTCAATTATAGTGGTAAAAGTAATGAGGGTAGACGATAATTGAAAATATAATGACCTACTTTATAGCTCTTGTCCAATTTACGAGAACAAAATAAATTTGATAGTATGTTTAGCAAGGAGAGACCATTAGAGGTATGCTATGTTATCGAATCAATAAGATTAACAATACGAGTCAACAAAAATTCACTATTTGCTCTTGCTGACTGTACTAGGCAAATTTCATAAGGTGGTTACTTTGTGGAGACCCCAAAAAACGCCCACTCGCTGAAGAAATTTTAGCGAGCGAAATGTACGCTAAGATTGAAGTTGAATAATAAATTGTTATATATAATGTAATAATAACGGCGCTATTTACAAAAACTTTTTTCTAGTTCTCGTCATATCCATTGTTTAGCACTTAATGTTCTCTGCAGCTTCAGAGATAAAACTAAATTGTACCAAATACACGTAACTTACTGTTCAGCATCCAACTCGACTGGCCATTACTGGTCATGCTATAATTATTAGTAACTATCGTCATGGTTATAAAAACGCAATTATGGCTCACAACACTGCACTGTAAAGAATAAAATGAGGTATATTTGTTAGCGGATGGGAATATTGACATTTTTATAACCTAGATAAAAGATTATTTTGAATTTTAAATTTGTTCTGTAAGGCAATTTTTATAATTAATCGTAGTAATAGATCTATAACATACACACGAAATGATAAATGTGGAATTATGGCTTTAAAAAAAGAATACTTCCAATAAAATATGATTATTTCAGTGTCCAGGCGTTGCTCCATTTTGTAGCATGTATTGCTAGAGGTCTTTGCTTTTCCAAAAGAAAGATGTTTTTGAAACTATGTTCGCAAATTACGACATCGTTTGAGAAAGAGATGTCCTACTAACATCATCATAAGAAAAATTGATTGCGTCCATAGCTAGACACGGAGCTATGAAATGATTATCTTTACATTGCGGTAATCATCTATTCCATTTCCAGTTTTGAAGCTCTCTAATAGATCCGGCAGAGATGACGTTACAGACTTCGACTGATCCAAATAATCCAATTACAGCTTTTTCCTGTCCGAACGATATTGCTTTTGCGTGTATGATTCTCTTGTTCATTTATGTATTAATCATTTCGATGGAGTATGCTATCGATTAAATTATAATAACAAACACAGCTGCTTTCAATGTAGTTTCATGTTGTATATCTGCCATCTATTCTTGTACCATGAATAAAATTAAGTGGCCTATGCTGCTAAGAAGGAACTTCTTCAAATGCAGGACGATCTGATAACAAAAATGAACAATACTTTCCATGTAGCTACATGTCGTATGCCTATCATCAATTCTTGTACCACGAATATACTGTTATCTAAGTGGTTGATGCAGGTAGGAAGGAACTTCTTGAAATGCAGAATGACCTGATTAACAGAAAAATGTTATTCAAAACTAATCATTTTAAACTAGCAAAACCCAGCTGGAATTGGATAGAATACATATACAAAACTATCGGCAGTTTACTGCAAGGATGGAAGTAATACAATTGTCTAGGCAAATCAGTTCCTCATCCATTAGATCTGTCTAGCTCAGCAATACAGACTATAATTACTAACTCTACGCATTCCTCGTCTAGTTTGATCATTCCCATTAACGGAATTCGGGTATCCTACTATTGATAATGATGGACGCTCTGGCTGAGAACCTTTCTTGGCTGAGATTGACTGTTTGTAGAATACTACGCTTAACATGGCTCTTCATCTACACTCCAAGATTCGGCTACGCAATATTTAGTCGGCTAAATGAAACAAAATTAATCATTGGCGATGGATATTATGCTACTTTGATGAAGGAACATCAAAGACTCCAATAGGCACTGTGGGTTAATTTGTATTGCTGCCTTAGCATGTTATTCCTAGTTTGTTCAAGATAAATCTGTAATACATTCGATTTTTGATGTTTCCATGGCGATGATGATGATGAGGATGGGAAAATACTGTCTATGGTTAAGGACCAGTTTAGAAAAGGTGAAAGGTGGCAAGGTGGCTGATGATGAAGTTCAAATTGGATCCTAGTACCTCAGAAATAGCTAAGGAATCGCTAGTAGCCATTGAAGACCAAGCTCCTGATTTAGTAGGTTCAGTGATTGTATCTTACTCTCGATAATTATATAATCGATAAATCGTGTATCGAATATTTGATCATTCTTAGCTATCACAATGCTGATGTGGCCTCTCTTTCTTCGAAAATAATCTCCGAACTTGAAGGATTCCTTAAATGATCATTATTTGGTTGTGAACTACTTTTCTAACGCTTGAATTGACATAAGATGGCGACCTTAACTCCACTGCTATTAGAAGGCTTACCACGAGTAAAAGGCGATATACGAGCGAATCTTCTTCTTTGAAAACAATTCTTGAGTTGCAATGACTCAGTCTAATGTCATTATTGGTTTCAAAGGCAATTTGTATCGAATCACTACTATTTCCTTCTTTAAGTAAAAATTCTAGAAATAGGAAGCTACTCCACGCATCCTTGTTGCTAGTATTGCCACCATCGTAACCCATCGAGCTTGATAGCTTGAAAATAAAACTGTAGCCCATCTTCTATACCACCAAACTGATCATCGAATTGCCAAAAATGTTGGACAAATGGTTGCAAATACATGATCAAAATTGGAACGTTAGTAAATGTTATGATATATTTGATCAGGTAAGCCTAGAAATCAAGGTAACATATTGTGTGGCACTCTTTCTAAGCAATCATATTTATCATGTACTCAGCTTTGTTAGCGTACACAATGCATAAATCTTTACCGCTTCTTAATTTATAGATTCTCAAGGCCCTCGTCTACATCCATAATATTGGATTAATTCAAAGAGATTTAAAAGTAGTACTGTAAATAGGATAACTCACAGTATCAGAGTCGTTTAGTGAAATCACGATATCATAATAGTGTTTATAATATGAATTACCTGTTGACTTGTAGCCCGCCAACATATTCTTTTCTATGGATGGCCTAATAAAAATTGGCGATTTTGGTTTGGCAATTGATCACAGTGATTATAATTACTAATAAAAATACTAATCAGAAATTTAAATTATTTAGAAGTAGATAGCATGAATTGGCTATAGCTGCGTATCGACAAGCTAATTTATGACTGCATGATAGATAACTTACCTCAAAGCACGGCTAAAGGGCATGAAGGTGAAATACGAATATATACTAGGGATGTGGGTACTATATTATATATGAGCCCGGAACAGATAATTTATGCAGTATTTACCGTTTACTTCTTCATTTTGACAGTTGATTGAATCATACTCGATTTTGGATAACCCAATTAGGTATCTAGAAAATATTATAGCCAAAAAGTAGATATTTATGCATTAGGCATAATTAAATTGCTTCATCCGATGGCAACTGGAATGGAACGAATCAAAGTGAGTTCAATCAACTAAAAGTTTAAATAGAGTGTCAAAAGTAATAAAGGTAGAAAATGATTGAAAATATTGACTTTATAGCTCTTGTTTAATTTACGAGAGCGGAATGAGTTTGATAATACGTTTAGCGATAATTAAAAACCTTGGGAGTTATGCCTCGTTATCGAATCAATACAATTTATAAGTCAACAGAAATTCATTCTTTAAACTTGCTAACTATGCTAGGCGGATTTCATAAGATGATTGCTTTGCAGTAACCCAAAAGAACGCCCGCTTGCTGAAAAAATTCTAGCGAGCGAAGTATATGCTAAGATTAAAGTGTTATAATGAGTCGTTTAATCAATTAATAGCAGTGATATATAAGGAAAATTTTTTCGAATTCTCGTCATATCTAATGTTTAGCAATTGATGTTTCATGCAATAAAACTGAATTATACCACATACACGTATCTCACTCTCCAGCATCCAACTCAACTGGCCATTACGACCATGTTGTCATTGCTACTAACTCGTCATAGTTATAAAAACGCAATTATGCCTCACAGCATTATAAAAAATAGAATAGGGTATATAGCAGATGGGAATATTGTCATTTTTATAACCTAGATAAAAGTTTAAATTTGTTCTGTCAGGAAATTTTTGTAATTAGCTACGGGAATAGAAGAGAACGTATTTTAAAATTAACGAATAATTAATGTGGAATTATGGCTTTCAAAAACAATAATTCCAACAAGTAATAAATAAAATACGATTAATTTAATGTCTTGGCGTTGTTCCATTTTGTAGCATGTATTGCCACAAGTCCCTGTTCTTCTAAAAATAAAGTATAACCATTCTCCTGGTACGGTTGATATCAACTTTTGGTTAGCATTGATGGGTATGTATGGCCTACATTACTGTTATAGAAGAGAAAAGATAGCTGTTTTTGAAACCATGTCCACAAATTATGATATTATTGGAGAAAGAGATATCCTACTAACATCATCATAAGAAAAACTAGTTGCATACATACTCAGACAGGTGGCTATGAAATGAGCATCTTGATATTGCACTGATGAATTCTGTTATCTATTCTAGTTCCAATTTGAAGTTCGCAAAGAGATTGGCCATAGATGGAATTTTCAGACTCTTTCACTAATCCAAAGGATCAAGTTACAACTTTCTGTTGTCCGAACGATATTGCTTTATTGTGCATAACTCACTTGTTCATTTAGGTGTTCATTATTTCGATAAAGAGTATCCGAGTATCCTATCGATTAAATCAATCAAAATAACAAGCACAAATACTGTCAATAGCACTTCATTTTGCACGGCGATCATCGATGCTTGGACCATGAATAAAATGGAAGTAGTTGATGCTGCTAGAATTCTTACACCAGGAATAAAATTAAAGTCGTTGATGCTGGTAGAAATGAACTTCCTAAAACGCAGGATGGTCTGACTAACAGAAATGACGAAAAATGCTATTCTAAGCTGATTATATAAAACTAGCCAAACTCATTTAACATATACTGTAGATATAAACTATCGGCCGTTTATAGCAAGGACACTTATTATGGAAATTAGCAAGGATGGAAGTAATGCTGCTGTCTTCTAAGGTAAATCAGTTATTCCGGACTACTATAGCCATAGAGATCTCGCTATGACTATAACCAACTCTATGCGTTACTTATCTACTTTGATCATTCCTATTAACGGAATTCGGCACCTTACTATTTATGATCATGGATGCTTTGCCTGAGTACCTTTCTAGGCTGAGATTGACTATTTGTAGAATACCATGCTCAACATAGCTCTTCATCTACAAGCTAAGATTTGGCTGCTCTATATTTAGTCGGGTAAAAAAACCAAATCAATCATTCTAGTCATTGGCGATGGATATTATGTTACTTTTATGGAGAAATATGAAAGACTCCAATAGGCACTGTGGGTCAATTTGTATTACTGTCTTAGCATGTTATTCCTAATTTGTTCCAACTATTGCTGCAATTCATTCGATTCTTGATGTTTCCATGGCGATGATGATGATGATGAGGATGGGAAAATACCATCTATAGTTAAGGATCGGTTTAGAAAAGGCGAATCGGTAGCTGAAGAAGTCCTAATTGGATCCTGGTGGCTCAATAATAAGTAAGGAATGGCCAGTAGCCATCGAAGACAAAGCTCCTAATTTAGTAAGTTCAGTGATTGAAGTTAGTCTTGATAATGAATTATAGAATCGATAAGTCATGCATCGGATATTTCAAGGACTTGATCTACTACTATTTATTAATCTCTCGTGAGCTTATTGCTATCGCAACGCTGTAGTGGCATCTCTTTCTTGGAAAACAATCTCAGACCTGGAACGATTCCTTAGATGATCGTTTTTTGATGGTGAATTACTTTGCTAACGCTTGAATTGACATAAGATGGAGATGATTGCATCCTAACTCCACCGTTATTACAAGGCTTATCATAAGCAAAAGGCGATACACGAGTGCATCTACTTCTTCGAAAACAATTCTTGAGTCTGAATGACTCAATCTAATATCGTTCTTGGTTTCCAAGGCAATTTGTATCGAACCATCGCCACTTTCTTCTTCAAATAAAATTGTAGAAATAGGATACTACTCGGCGCATCATTGTTGCTAGTATTGCTACCACCGTGGTGGTCCATCGAGCTTGATAGCTTAAAAATGAAACTGTAGCCTATTTCCTTTACCACCAAACTGATCGTCGAAACTTATTCGTCAATTACTAAAGTTACCCTCAAGAGTTAGAGCAATTGTTGAATCGACTTATGGATGATTGATTCAAGGATTGTGACTGCTGCAGATGAGCGATCTAGCTTAGAAAGTAAGCGAAAGCGATGGAGTTAACAACGGCAAAAACATGGCATCGACCATTATAGACGATAGGTATGCAATAAGTTTGCTGTACTGTGCTGTAAAAAATTACATTGTCGATTTGTTTTTCTCTTTCTTGAACGCATCCTTGAGTGGCCGCATTTAGCTTATTGATATCCTAGATAGGCGAAATAGGTCAAGGTGAGGGAATATTCTGTCAAGGTTCAGCGTGTAAAACATTCATTTCTAGCTCGGAATCGTCTACACAACATGAACATGCTTGAATCCTTGCTTGACTGAACTGAGTGACAATTTCTGTCAACAATCTAGTTCCAGCTAACTTTGTTGACTCTTTCATTCTTTGAACCTATTTTGTTAAAGTGGCTACATTCAACTTATGATATCCTAAATGGGCGAAATCGATCTAAGGTGAGAGAAATTTCTCTCAAAGGTGCACCATACGAAATATTCATTTTTGGCTCAGAATCGCCTACAAAAAAATGCTTGGATCCTTTCTTGACTAGACTGAGCGTAAATTTCTATCGTCAAAGTAGTACTTTTTAGCTTGGTCTACTCTTTATTCTTTGAATCTATTTTATAAACATAAAACTATACAGCAAAATGGCAGTTAAAGACTAGCTCTCTGTCGGCTAGTAGCTTGTCTAGCCATCGCCGGCAGTCTTGTCTACTGAAATCAACTATGCAACAATTGGCAGTTGGACTTGCTCTCTTTTGGCTAGCAACATCAATAGCAAGTCCTGCTGTCACTAGCAGTCTTGTCTACTGGAATCAACCTCGACTAGGATGATAGTAGAGGTAATGGAATTGATAAAAATAACAGTTGCTAACTCTTGGTTGAAAAAAAACAACTCTACTGCACATTTTTTACGCTTCCATGCTGTGCAGATGGAAATCCAGACTGCCTGACTTACAGTACTCAAGTGGCTTGACTGTAGGAAAGGTAAATAAAATGATGCTGTCCGTCAATCCCACAGCTAAATAGCTCCAAAAATGGCGAAAAAAAATGATTCCCAAAATGCTACCGTGATAATCATTGGTTGGATATGGAAATGATGCACTTAATTTGGCTCTTCTTACAATCCTACAGTTCCTACGGTACTTTGACGTGGCTATAAAAGGATTAGCAATGACATAATTTGCCATTTTTCAACTGCCAATATTGGTAAGAGGACTGCCATATTATTCCATTGATATTGACTACCAAATCGACAAATGGATTGCCAAGTTAGCCGCTTTTGCAACCTTATATCGATGCAATTCCGATACCGCCTTGTCTTTGTATGGATCATTCTTCCATTGCTTCTATGTGGTACTCATGGATTGGACGATTCGGAGAGTGCCTCTAGGCTGACATGCAGCGCTGATTCTTAGTAAGTTTTCTCGATATGAACAAGTCAAAATTCCACTTTTTTACCCATTCCTGATAGGATAGTACAACTATAGGACGACTAAATATTTCAGAAGTACAGTTAGGATATTTCCTATTGACTTGCAGTGGTCCATGATAGAACTATGGATAACTTAATCACTAATCATTCAGTATTTCGATATTGAGATATAGCGTTGATTCTGAGTCAGTTTTCTCAATATTAAAAAGTGAAAGTTGGACTTTTTTCTACCCATTCCTGATATAATAGTAGAACTCCGTGACAGCACAATCGATGATTCAATTACCGGTAATTGAGTAATCGATACACTGTTTCGCAAATAAGACAGGAAAAAGTGAATATGATGCAATTTTGACTCATTTTACCGTCATGTAGCTACCATGTAGACATTTATGACTAAAAATGATGAAGGGAACGTTAATAACAACAAATTGTTTCTTCTTTCTTCTCCAGTAAATCATTGATGACAATTCGCACCTTGGGTAGGAAATGGACTGCAGACGCTAAAGATAACGGACGAAAATATTGGTGGATTTTGCATTCATTCTCCAAGCTATTTCTCTCATCAACGACCAAGGTAAAACTGAAAAGTATTTCATCATCATATAAAGTTCATCCAGTTGTACAACAGCAGTCCGTCGCTGATATTGGCCAGATAGCATTTATGTCTGCAGTATCGTCCTGAAAATAGATAGATAATTTGTGCAAGAAGCCTGTAGTAGAAATATTTTTTAATCTGAAAACACTAATCTATCATTTCTGCTCTTCATTTACAGGAAGAAGTCGATGAGCCTAGATTTACTCTCGACCATGATGACTGCAACCGTGTACGGGTAGATGCTCAAGAAAATGGATATTTTAAGGTATGGCGATCACCAGCCTAAAAGTGGATTGATAATCAGACAAATTGATTTAATTTCTGATCAGATCTCTTGAACTGTTGCATTGTTGACTTTCTTCGCCATGTCGTCTTGATATATAAAATAGAATTTAGAGGTAAAGTCTGCTATAGTCATCTGGCTAGATAGATCAAATTACACTACATTCATGTTACTGTAAATGATATCTAGATTGAAAACATGCTTACTTTACTGCTGCTCATGCCGGTTGAAACCGTAGGTAACTGCAATGCTTACAAACTACGATTCCTATCCGGTATCGAAATTATTAGAAATACCTATCATACTATATGACGCTTTTTAACACTAGAATAAATTACTAACGGGAAATTATTTTTGGGAAATACGTATCCCTACGATAGCAAACCATAGTATAAACTGCGTAAGGGTAAGGTATCACCTTGAGTTATTTTTGGAAGGCAGTATACATAGAGAAATAATTAGAATGATATTTCAACTTTACATAAAATAAATTACAACAGATATTGATTTCGCTACACAACAATTCAACAGATTGGCTTTGTAGCTATTTCTTAAGGCGAGAAATAATCCTTTAGTGTTTGATATAGAACGAATTATCGCAATTATAGTATTCATTGCATTCACTCTCTCTAGTTAGACCATCTTTACGTTAACTTCTCCAAATAGAAAAGCTACCGTAGTTCAGAAAATGTGATAGTATCTTGTTCTATATAAGGCTAATGAATCTGCAGATTTGTTAAACCATCTCGACGTGAACTTCTCTAAATAGTCAAGCTACTACAGTTCAGAAAGTGCGAAATATTCCACTAACAAATCTAATAGAAATAGAAATGCTGCCGTAGTTTAGATATTGCGGTAGTATCTTGTCTCTCTGACTTACCACTAATTAATCCGATAAAATGATATCATACGCTATCGCACTACAAACTGATTATTCATAGTCTCTACCGTCCATGTTTTAATAAATAGCTAAATAGATATGAAAGCGAATCGATCGATATCATAATTTTGGCATGCTTCAATTTTTTTCTGGCAGATTTTTTGTGCCCTCAAAGCACGTGGCATGCTCTGACTGTCATATTGCATAGCGTTCCAAACAAGTTATTGAATATATATTATTTTACGCATGCTGGCTTGATGCTCTGTTCATCACCTTCTGCAAAGTATTACAGTTGCTATTAGCTATTAAGTAGATATGATGACGTAGAATGTTTTGCTCAGAGAGCAAGGACGGACTGAATTGCAAAATGATTTTACTGTGCTCGTTGCCATACTTAATTTTCAAACTAGCTGTACAGAGAATGTTTCTGCCATCAACGAATATAGATTATGACTAGATAAACTACGCTACTAAAGCACGAGGAAATTTTAATTCATCTTGATGATTAACAACGTCATTTCCTAAAAAGTATAGATTTTACGATTTATGTACGGTAAAAATTGTATTAACATTGTTATTTCGTAAATGATATAGACGCAATACTTTCTTACGGCAAAATATTGCAAGCGTCCGGTGATTATTAGATCGAAACAATGTCTTTGGGCCTTTAGTATGTTATCTGCATCAGCAAGGTAGCGATTTCATAGTACAGCGTCAATTTCTTGATTAATATCAGATGATTCTTATATATACGAGTATTGTATTATTGTATTATTTCATTTTGGCTTAACATTTTACTACAATCCCTAAATCTGATTTTATTATCATCATGATTAGGACATGTCTACTGGTGATTTACGGCATTAAGTTTGTAATCCTGTACTATCTGGTAAAGTATCAGCTTGGAAATGACGAATCGACAACCGAAGATCATGAAATAGATGCTGCCAACTCCAAATTAGAAAATAAATCGCAAGTATCAAGCGAGGACCGAGTTTCCAATGTGGTAAATTAAGTTTTTAATTGTACTCGCGATCGATATATATCGTTTAGGATATAATATAATAATATAATATCATTAGCGCCAAAGATTCTTATCTCCTTTATCTGAAATATTATCATTTGCTACTTTATCCGGATCATGGTATAGTGTCAGTCTAGAAAACGTGAATCGGCAGCCGATGATCATAAAGTTAATGCTGCTAACTCAATAATAGAAATTAATTCTCAAGTGCCAAACGAGGGCGAAGCTTCCAATTTGGTAACTTTAGTAGCTTAATGTTGCTCTCACTAATCGATAAATAAATATATCGCATAGGATATAATATAATGGGATAATTTTTAGTTCCGTATCTCACTTATCTGAAACGTTAACAGCATGTACTATCTTAAGCAAAAGCGATTTGGTGATAAGAAGCTTTAGTTATTAACATACCGTAACATTAAATTTATGAAATACGCCTGTAATATCTTTTAGAATATCAACACTGGTAATGGAGAGATTATGCAAATTTCACGGTAATTGACTGTGTTATGCTGATTGCGATTGATGAAAAGTATGGTAGCCTTTTTCATAATCATAGGCAGTTGTACAAATTTCATCATTAGGTTGCAAAACGAATTCGAACTAAAAGAGAAGCTTGGAAGTGGTGGCTATGGTGTTGTGATGAAAGCCAGAAACAAATTGGATAACCAGGATTACGCACTTAAAATATTGCAATTGCCTAACAAGTAAACAGCGATTGCATTGAAAAATGGCTAAAAGATAGATTTGATTAAATATCAAATTTTAAAGAATAGTCTTGATAAAGCAACTGTTTATATTCATTTTTTTAGGGATGATAAGCGTGAAAAAGTGTTACGCGAAGTAAAGGTACTGGCGAAACTAGATAACATTGGAACGATACGGTATTACAACGCATGGATAGAAAAATTATCCTGCAATGGGTCAAATAACTTAGACCTATTTGCTAGGTACTAGATGATGTCACCGACAACTAAAATAGCGTTGAAATTTGCATCATATTAGCAAAAAAAGCAAGATTTTGATTTATTTTTGTAATCTTATAGTGAAGAAAGCGAGTCCAATTCTCAGTTTTCGCATATGAATATTCACAGACTATCAAGTTTGATAGGTAACGATAATGGCAATACTAGCAACGATAATTCTTTGAGTAGCGTAATTTTTCTATAATCTTTACTTGGAAAAGAAAGCGGTAGTGATTTGGTAGAAATCGCTTTTAAAATGAATGACGACCTTACTCCCAGTAATTCGAGCTCAAGAATTATCTTCGAAGAACGAGATGCGACATTACCGTTTGCTAGTAGCAGACAATCCGATAGCAACGCAGTTGAGATGACATCATCGTCATCTTATGTCCATTTCGGTGTTGAAAAAGCAAGAAAATACCCTCAGTCTTGTCCGACAGAAGTGGTAAAGCCTTTTAGCTATTTAATCATTCAAATGCAACTATGCCATTCGGAAACGTTGAGCAAATGGTTGCAAATACATCATCAAAATCGGAACATTAGTATATGTTATGATATATTTGATCAGGTAAGCCTCTAGTAGAAATCAAGGTAACATATTGTGTGGCACTCTTTCTAAGCAATTGTATCTATCATGTACTCATCTTTGCTAGCGTACACAATACACAAATCTTTGCCACTTCTTAATTCTTAATTTATAGATTCTCAAGGCCCTCGTTTACATCCATGATATTGGTTTAATTCATAGAGATTTAAAAGTAGTACTGTCAATAGGATAACTCATAGTATCAATGTCGTTTGGTAAAATCATGATATCATCGTCATAACGTTTATAATATGAATTACCTGTTGATACTGTAGCCCGCCAACATATTCTTTTCTATGGATGGCCTTATAAAAATTGGCGATTTTGGATTAGCAATTGATTACAATGACTATGGTACTGTTACCGCTACAAATCAGAAATTTAAACTATTTAAAAATGGATAGTATGAATTGTACAAACGTTAATTACGTATTGACAAGTTAATTTGTGACTGCAGACATGATAGATAATTTATCCCAAAGCACGTCTAAAGGTTATAAACGTGAAATATATACTAGGAATGTGGGTACTTTATTATATATGAGTCCTGAACAGGTAATTTATACAGTATGTACCGTTTGCTTTTTAGTGTTGATTGAAGTATATAATATGCTTGGTTTTAAATAACCCCGCTAGGTGTATGAGAAATGTTACAACCAAAAAGTAGATATTTATGCATTAGGTATAATACTTTATGAGCTGCTTCATCCGATGGGAACTGGAATGGAACGAATCAAAGTAAGTTCAATCAACTAAAATATTTAAATAGAGTGTCAAAAGTAATAAAGGTAGAAAGTGATTGAAAACATTGACCTGCTTTATAGCTCTTATCTAATTTACGAGAGCGGAATGAGTTTGATAATACGTTTAGCATGGACAAGCCTTTAGAGGTATGCTATGTTATCGAATCAATACGATTTAAAAGTCAACAAAAATTCATTCTTTTAACTTGTTAACTATGCTAGGCGAATTTCATAAGATGGTTGCTTTGCAGTAACCCAAAACAACGCCCGCTTGCTGAAGAAATTCTAGCGAGCGAAGTATATGCTAAGATTAAAGTGTTATAATGAGTCGTTTAATTATATAATAGCGGTGATATGCAGGAAAATTTTTTCTAGTTCTTATCATATCTAGTGTTTAGCATTTCATGTTTCTTGCAGACTGTGATAAAACTAAATTATAGCAGATATACGTAGCTGATTATTCAGTATCCAACTCGACTAGCCGTATTGTCATTGCTACTAACTATTGTCATGGTTATAAAAGAGTAATAATGCCTTACAAAAGAGCCAATAATATAGAATATGGTATGCGCGTAATTGGTAGCAGATGGGAATATTGAAATTTTTATTACATAGATAGATCAAGTTTTTTTATTTGTTCTGTAAGGACATTTTTAAATCACTGAATGATGACGCGGAATTATGGCTTTAAAAAGAATACTTCCAATATTCAATAAATAAAATATAATTTCAATGTTTCAGTGTTGCATTTTGTAGCACGTATTGCCACAAGTCCTAAAATATAGTATAATCAGTCTCATGATACGGGTGAGATCGCCTTTTGGTTAGCATTGATGGGTATGTGTAGCTTGTCTAAGAAAGCTGTTTTTCAAACCCTGGCTGTAAATTACGAGGCATTGCTTGAGAAAGAGACTTTAGACTAACATCATTACAAGAAAGTTTAATTGCATACATATCTAGACAGGTAGCTATGAAATTAACACCTGTATATTATACAAATCATCTATCCTATTTCCAGTTTGAAGCTTCCTAAGAGATTCGCTAGATTCGGACGGACTTTTCAGTCTCTTGGACTGATTCGAATGATCCAATTACAGCTTTATCCTGTCCGAACGATACTACTTTTGGATACGTAATTCTCTTGTTCATTTATGTGCTTTTCATTTGATTATGAGTATCATATTGATTAAATTATAATAACAAGTACAAATATATCAATATAGCCTCCCGTTGTATATCAGAAGGCTGCTTCAGGTTGATCTAGATATTTCTCTTCCGGAAATTGGCAAAAGATGGACTTTCCAAACTCTGCGGCTGATGTAAAATGATCCAAAATATAGCTTTATTCTGTTTGAACGATGCTATTATTTGCAACATAGATAAATGCTCTACGCTGAGATTACAATATGGTGCTTCATTCTGCGTGAGCTAACTAAATCTGCATTAACTTCGTCACCGATTTTATATTTTGAATAAAATGAAAGCAGTTGATACATTTAAGACTAGCGAAAATTTCTGGAAAGCGATGGAATAAGTATATGGACAAATTATGTGACGTGGATAACAGAAAGCCCAACGTCGTAATTAACAAGTATGGAAGTGGTAACATCTTGTTCCAACCCATATCAATTATTAAGAATTTTAGCGAGCAAAATGGATGCTAAGATCCAAATCGAATAACAAATTGTTTAAGAGTAGTGAAATTATAACTGAATTTAGAATTTCTTTAGTCTTTCTTTTGGATCTTGGATTCGTTCTATTGAAGTAAGTTATCATGGTAGACTTTCAAATCGTATTGATTCGAACGCGTAGTAACGATATGAAAGTCTGCTAAAACTTACTGATTATACTAACTATGCTAACTGAATTTCATATGATGGTTAGGAACATTTACAGAGATTCTAGTGAGTTAGTATTAATGGATCAAGACTTTTATTACAGAGTTAAGAATAGTAGAGCAATAAATAACTGACTAGAACAAGAATCTAATCTAAAGCACCATGAGCTCGAAAGAACTTAAATTTAGTCTACTCCAAGCTCATCTCTACAATGCTTCTATACATTTGGTTTAATTTCTTTAGTGCAACAATGTTGCCTACAATCAGACTTAAGACATCAAACAGAAGATTTTTTCTTCGAATAGATTATCAATATGTTTACAATACGAATCAATCTGCTTAATATATCTTGATTCTTCCATTAATTAATTCAGTATCTAACACCGTGAGGTAGTGGCGTCTTCACCATTGCAGTATATCATATCATATCGAGTTAATTACCCTATTTAGCTAACTGATTAACATTAGTTATTAGCAATCAACTAATATAAGCATTACGATCCTATTTATTCTTAGAAAGCTAACTACTACATATCAAATGGAGCCATCAATACAATCCAATATAAGGTGCATCGCTACAACGTAAGAAATCATTTTCTGTACAGTCGCCTATATTTAGTCGCAATTGTCTTGATAATGTCGTAATACATGTATACAGTAGGATATTACTCTAGATCTATACATTGATTTAACATTTTATCCGCTTCCTGTTGCCTTCCCAATTTAATGTAGAGATGAGTCATGTTCTGGTAGGTTCTTCGAAGACCTTCATCATCATGTTGGAATATTTCTTGTTCTATTTCTAGGGCATTTTGTAGCACAGCTAGGGCTTCTTCATATCGCTCTTCTTCTTGAAGTGAATAGGCTATTTTGTTATAAGTTGTTGCAATTTCTGAGGGATCTGTATCATTATTTACCAATGCATCAAGCTCTTTCTGGAAGAACTTGAGCGCTTCGTCAGTCTTCCCCAAATCTTGATAGGAATCACCCAAGCGTTCGTAAGTAGGGACAAGTTCTATATGATGCTCACAATACTCAAAGATCTGCATTTTTAATTGCAAACTCTTATGTAAAGCCTCTACAGCTTGGCTATAGGCTTTTTGTTCATGATAGACACAACCTCGTGTTTCCCATACGTCTGGAATTCGAGTGTCATATTCAGTATTTTGGATAGCTTGTTCAGCAAGATCACAGTAATGTAAAGCTTGTGAATAGTCTTGACCATCTTGGTAGACGATAGCCATATTCTGATATATCTGGCAAAGTAAGTCGGCAAGGCTAGGATCACGACTTGTATCTTCATCGATCATTGTTAAAATTTTATCATAGCAGTCTATTTTCTTTTGATATTTTTCATGATCACCAGCATTAGCAGCTTGTCGCATGAGAGTGTTGACTTTGGCTCTAAATTTCGTACTTACACGACCTCTTTTAGGCATGGTTAGCAGCTCTTTTACAATCGATGCAAACGCATAAAAAATATATTGACCAGAATGGATGCAATTCAATCTGAAATCGATCGCAGAAATCCGCTTACAACGATAATAAAAGACTAGAGATGGAGCTCGAAGACAAATCAATTAATTTGAAAATAAACTTGTTTCTATTCTGAATCTAGCCGATTCAGCATGTGTGATGTTAAACTTGTTATAACAGCGTTCAGCAGCTAATTATGCCTATATATATATTTATTTTATTCTAACTGACCAATGCGCTTAGATCCGCCCTATTTGAGTAGATGCCCAATCCAGTTGAAAAATTCTATCACTGATATAATGCTAAAAGTATTATTTGAATATTGACCTATCCCAAACTTGCTTATAACCATGGCAATAGAACATTCTATTCTTTACAAGTATGCAAACCGTAATGTTATTCGAATAGTATAATCAAGTTAATGGGTGTTATAGAGTAGATCTATAAGTCATGGATTTGCATGACAATACAAATAAACTAATAAAAATCGTTTTGGAATTGAAACAATCTATCTGATTAAATTGTAGTTTGGAGTGAAAGGGTTCTATATCCCTTCAGCTCGTAATGACGAACTCCAAAAATTGGAGCCATTAAAATTGGGCAAATCTCGAATGGGATATCATCACTTTGATATTGTATTGAACTTTATAAGTATAGTATATTGTGATAGTATAGCTCGAGAGGAATTGCTATTTCTTCTCCTCATAGTAACATTTGAAAATGGTAATGATAAATCAGATAATCGATACTATAATCAAAACTTTCATCACTAGTAGCCATACTAAAACGATTAAGCGTTCAAAAGTCAAATATCGAGATGTTAACGAATACTTAATTTCTTCCTATAAAGTGAATAAATATGAAGTAAATGAGCATTTCGTAATTCAGTACTAAATTATTCATACTAGAGGTAAATCTTTGAATATTGATTGAATTTTTTAAATGCTAGATAACTTAGTGAGAGATAGTTTGATCAAAATCCTTCTGTTCCAATATACGTTGTAAACTAAGAGCATAGAGAAGACTTGACAAGTTAAAATGATCTTATCAACGCATTATCCAGGAGCATCATTATAACTTTGAAAGCATCTACTAAATTTGCAAGTAATCAACATTCTCGCTGGTGATGAACTGGTATCAAAACACTATCAAATCCCTTCTTATCCTGATTTTTAGATCTAGTTTTATTTAAATTTGTTTATAATGTAACTATAACGGTCCCTTGCCACTGAAACTTGATATCATTGAGACATCAAGCCATGCCAATACTTATACGGATACTAAAATTTTTAACAGAATTATACATTACCAGATTTCAGTTATTTTAAGGGCGTCAGAAAATTATTTCGATGGGAAATATTGCAATATAATCTAGCATACACGTATTCTATACAAACATTAAAATCAACCGTCTTCATGTAGAAGGAAAGATAGAGATGAAAATGTCTATTTTTATCTCTATAGCAGAGACTGACTGAATTAATTAGTAAATGTAGCTTCTTTTCTGACAAAATACTTGACAAATCAAATATATTTTGCTGTGTGTATTTGCAAGTTGCAAATCCTCTGCTGAACTAGTTCTCAACTTGATATGGAATGCTATAAGCTTGTATAAACTTGTATACCACTTAAAGAGAACATGCGGTTGTATAGCAAAACCTCTTTAACTAACTTCACTCAGCATACGATCATACAGCCGATTTTATTACTGATTCTCTAAGGATTGAAAAACTTTGTAAAAAGAGAATTAGCTCTAGCAGATAAAGAAAAACTTCTCCCAGGAGCAGATCTTAGAAAAGAAGGACTAAGAACAATAAGAAGAGAAAAATATGACTGCTTAAATACGTTACCTAACTCGTTTATAACATAAGATTACGAGCAACTTCATATAATACTTGCAGAGCTCAATATGAGAGCGAAATCCTATCATTAATATTAATTTCTACGAAGCTGAAATTAACATACTTGAACTATCATAAATTTTACTAAGATACTTATAAGCACATTTATAAGTACTTTATAGGTACATTTACAAGTTATTTATAAGTACATTTACAAGTATTTATAAGTACATTTCTTATAATTATTATCCACATCTCTAGATTTGGTATTATTTTCCAGTTATATCTGATTTACAGTACCTCTACATAACATATTGACAATAATAACTTGTCTAGCAGCTTCAATACAAATGGTTAATGTCCTTTCAATAATAATTTCTCTACCAATGTAAAGTTACATAGTACCATACACCTCAGAAAATTCAGATTTTACGATTTCTTAGGATGACAATATTTCCATTGCTTCTTTGGCTTTGCCTAATTTAAAGTATAAGGCTGCAATATCTCGAAGTTCGTCTTGCTTATTTGGAAAGTCATCACCAAAAAGTGATTTCTTAATTTTAAGTGATTCTAATGCTGCAGTGACAGCTTCTTCATAATTTTCTTGCTTGGCATAAATGTCTGACAGTAAGGTATACATAACAGCAATGAGCATACCGTTGGAGCCAGCCTCCAGTCTTATTTTCAGAGCTTTCTTATAAGTATCGATGGCTAGTTGCAATTTTCCTTGTTGTCGATAAGTCCACCCTAATCCATCATAAGTTTGAGCAACACGTGGATCATCTTCGGACATAAATTCCTTTTTCAATTTCTCAGCTTTATGAAATGCATCTACTGCTGCATCAAGCGACCCTTCTTCACATAAGATAGAGCCTCGACAATCATAAGCTTCAGAGATACGAATTTTAATGCTTGTTCTTTCAGCAATTTGTTCAGTTTTATCGCAGTATTCCAGTGCTGCTGCAAATTGTCGACGATTTCGATATCTAGCTGCCATGAGTAAGTAAGTTTCACATTTTAAATCAGGTAACGTAGGATCATTAACTGTCGCTTCATCAATCATCGTTAGAATCTTTTCATAGCAGGCAATTTCTTCGTTGAATTTTCCTTCATTTTTGGCTTTTTCGGCTTCTTCCTTGTATGATTCAACTTTGGATGTAAATTCTTCATCAACTGATTGACAATCTTTAGTGGAATCTTGCAACTGATTAGCTGCAGCTGACATCTTTAACGATCTCTTTAGATTAATAATTTCAATAGTAGTACGAGTAGATTTAGATAATTGATAGCAATATGGTGTTGTATTCTAATTGTAAGAGTATCAATTTTAATTAAAAATCAAATAGATCGATGCGAAGAGATTTGAAAATGAGCTCAAATTCGTCCAAGCAAGCTTTTATTATTTACTGCTCTTAGTTTAGGACTTGGACCTGTACTACTCTGTATCCAAAATCGATCTCCTATTTATAGCTAACACAGAAGCACAGACCGGATTCTATTCTACATAACTTATTTGGAATAATGCCAACATGGAAATTCTATAAAATGAATTATTCATGATTTGATTCATAATGTAATTAATGACGATAATATCATGTGCTGTGATGAAAAGCTATATAAGGGTAGAAATCATTCATATGATAATGAGTCCCTATTTGCTCTCGGCCGATACTTCCTCACTCGATCTTTTTTACCAAAGGATAGAAGCGTTGAATGTACAGTACAGAAATGTGAATGCTTACTACTAGCAATGTCAAGAATGATGGAAAATTCGTATGCTGTAGAATAAATGATTGGCTTGTTATAAATAAGCAATGAAATCTACGTCTATATTCGTAGGTATTAATAATGCATATTGGATTAAATCTATATTCTACTTCAACTCTGCATGCTCTGTCCTGCTGAACCTGCGGATAGATAAAATGAAGTGTATCTTACTTCTTTCTATCTGTACATCCTAGTTAGTAATGAGTTGTTCAAGGATGAATGATAAAATAATTCGAACTTATGTTTAGCCTGCGATGGAATAAAGATATTAAACTAAAATTGGATAGGCTAAATGAATGTAATAACATTGATGAGAATCAATCAGTAAAGTAGAAGAGGTTGATTTAATATCAGTTCTCGAAAAGCTTAATCCATTTTACTCGACGGACTTCGAAATTCTGATCAAAATTCCTACAACTTTCAGATATTGGATATTAAGCCAGCTTGTTTTTGGTATCTATGTGTTCATTTCCATTCATAATTTAAATGACATATCGAATAATTAATAGAATCAATCTGATGCAACATATCTGTATTAGAGCTTTTTTATCTTCTCTGTGTGACTACAAAGAGATATGAGTATTATGCTGTAGAATGGGAATGTATCAGTAACTATCCCTAAATCAGATTAAGGATATTTTTTTATTGGAATAAGGTATACAATAAATGGTAAATGCAAACTTATTTTCAAATGTGGGCCTTTACAATTTTGTCGCTGCCAGAACTACTATACCATTCTAGATGCTGTGCATGATATATAATAAGTACAAGTAAATAATTCAGGTTCATAAGTTCTTTCTTTACTTTTAAATATAGACATAGAATGAAATAGTCCTACTGTTTGCATACGGAGCTTACCTGATTAGAGTAAATTATCTTATACTTTAAAAATTAAGGTCATTACTACCGTGTGTTTTCAGCATTTTAAATAATTTATTAATTACCAACTATTTGATACAAGGGCAGAACATTAATGTTAATACAAAAGCTCTTGCAATTTTCGCTGTATCTTCCAATTAAAAGAACATCAATAGCATCAGTCTAAACTATTTCTCAATTTATTCAATCTATTTCATTTTTGATTCTAATGATGTCACTACTAGAGTATCTGCAATCTTCTCTAAACGATAAAGAAATACTAAGATTTGAATCAGCCTATATAATTTTTAAGTCCTTGGTGGATATGTGGTATTCTAATATCGGAAAATACCTAAGATCAGTGTCGCCCTTCAACTTATTATTAATTTAATAACGAAAAAACAGTAAATCTGCACGAAAATTAAACATATGAAATTCTTTATACGAGTATGTTAACAAATCGCGAATGTTTTATCCGCTGCTTATAGTTTTAAACTATGATGGAATAGTGCTGTAAAATTTTTTCTATCTCTTTACTGTCTATTGGATAGGCTATAACTAATACTTCTATGAAGTAGAATTAATTAACAGAATCAATTTTCCTGTATCCGTTGTCGGTGTTCTTGAGTCATCTGGCTAGCCTAAAATATCTCTAAACTAATAGGCCTTGCAGTATCTGTAAAAAGGTATTTACTATTAGAAAAATACTATTACTCCATTTAATAGAAACTATCTATATATTTTCTTGCAACAAAATGCGGTCTCAGACCTTGTAAAAATTACAAGCACTCTTTAGCTATCTTAGTAGTTTATCGTAAATCAAACCCAGATGGTCAAAGGAATATTAACGCAAGTTGATTAATATCTACCCTATTGGCATCTCGATCGCTACAATGAGTTGGCGATACATACCCTTGCAATTCTTCTCTCCTTTTACTTTCTTCTTAAAATTTAGGCACTTCTCCTGCATATCTTGAGCTTTGTCATTATTCTCTTGCTGAGTATGAATTTCAACGAGGGAGTTATAGGATTTGATAATTTCTGAATTATTGCGTTTGTCCTCTGCAGACTGCAAGCGAATTGCTAAACATTTCTGATGCATATCGATTGCTTTATCATATTTGGATAATTTGGTAAAGGTGTTTGCAATATCTTCATAACATTCTGCAATATGTAATTTATTGGCATCGGACATTTTCTGGTGAATTGCTAAGCCCTTTTGATAGTATTCAAGAGCATTTTCATATTGCGAGAGCCTAGTATAATAGTGACCAAAGTCAGCATATAGGTCAGCTGCTTCTTGATCATGGGGATTTTCTTGTAAGCATTCTTCCATCTTTTGCAACGTTGAAAGTGTATCCTTGTAATTTTTTCCTTTAAAATACAGGACAGCCATATGATGATAAGATTTTAAGACTTGCAAGCTATGTTCTCCAAATAGTTTTTGTTGAATATTTACACAATTCTGATACATAAATAGAGCATTTTTATAATCCATCATATCATCGTAACATTGAGCCATATTTTCGTATGTTATTGCTATATTTTCATTATCACCCTCCAACTTTTTTAATTGAATATCTAAACATTTTCGATGCATTAAAATAGCATCTTCGTAATGTAATTGCTCAGCATAGATACGTCCTATACACTTATACGTTTCTGCAATTTCTAGATCATCATCATTCAATACCTCTTGCTGAATAGTAAAGCATTCCTGGTACATTTTTAACGCATCATCACGTTTAGATTGCAGATAGTAAGTATTTCCTATACGATAATAAAGATTAGCGATTTCGGCATCCTTCTTTCCAATGATATCTAATTTAATAGTTAAGCAATCTTGATAGGTGGATCTGGCCAGATCATAATCATCTTTATTCCAGTAAGCAGTGGCAATTTCATATAATAAATTTGCAACCTCCAAATTACTTTTGCCCAACAATTCTTGCTTAGAATGGCAGCATTTTTGTAATGTTGTTATAGCTTTATCATACTGATTTAATTTTGCATAAGAGATTCCTAACTTGTAGCAGACTGCATTCATTTTCTTGACATCAGTTTCATCATTGTCTTGCTCTGATTTTAAATATTCTTGCAACATTGCTATTGCTTGATCATACTCGGATTGATTATAGTAGATTGTGCCAAGCATGTTGTAGATATGAGAAACATCTAAATGCTTATTTCCTAATATTTCTAGTTTGATAGCGAGACTCTTTTGATACATCGGTATAGCCTTTTCATAACGGCCTAGCTTATAGTACATCCAAGCAAAGTTATGATAAGATCTTGCGATGGCGTTATTGTGATTTCCTAAAACTTCTAATCGAATATCTAAATTTTGTTGAAATAAAGGCAAAACGCGGTCTTCAGTATCGGGTTCTTTGGCATCAAAAAGTGCCAGTCCTATATCTTCATATAAATCTGCAACTTCTAAAGACTTATTTCCTAATATTTCTTGCCGTATTTTTAGAGCTTTTTCATACATCTTTACCCCCTGTTCTTTTTCCTTTCGAAAATAGTAAGCATCTCCCATGTTATGATATGTTGTAGCAATATCGAGATTATGATCACCCAAAATATCCAATTTTACCCGCAAAGCTTGATTGAAATCTTGCAATGCATCGTCATACATACACCTGCCTAACTTAATACATCCATAATTGTCTACGCATTTAGCGATTCGAAGCTGATCAAATAATTTTTCAGCTAATTGACGTGCTTGATCTACGTAATCTGTTGCCAATGAATATTCTTCCTGTGAACAATAAACCGCTGAAATATCCAGATAGATATCAAATAAGAGCTCAGTTTGAATGGAATCTTGATTTTTTAGCTCATCAATTAACTTTATTGCTCTGTTATAGTTGTTTAGAGCTTTTTGAGACAATCCAATATAATGTTCTTTTAAGCCAGCTTTATGAATGGATTTAATTTTATCGATTGTCGATTTTGGGTAGTCGATAGTATGTTCGGCCATTTTCACTTGGTTTGTTTTTGAAATTAGAAGTATCAAAGTGTACAAGATGACATAAATGGATAGACTATTTCACTTAATATTGATGAAGAACTTAACTTTAGCGATGTTAATTTATAGAGAGAGCAAGAGTTGATGTCATTACTAGATGAAATGATCGTGTAAAGATTTTAGAGACACTGATACCAAGAAATAGTAAGGGAGAGAGTGAGAGAAAATTAGTGGTATCAAAGTTAGATCTACCCTAGTAGTCATTAACTGAAGTAGGTAGCGTTGACTGCCTTGATTTTCAGAGATTTGGATGATGATGGAGAGAAGAAGTCAGATAATCTAGATCACAAGGGCGAATAGGATAAATTCTAGCTGATAATCTCCAAGATCTTTCGATAACTTGATACCCGACAGTATAATTGGAAATCGCCTCCACAGAAGACCTTAAAATTCTTTTAATATCGAGAGGAAAAATAATCAGGCTTTACCTATATATCATTTTATGCAAGATTACTTTTATCCAGGGCTCACTATGGCTTGCTTACTTTTTTATAGCATTCTCTTCCAGTAGAATAATCTATGCGCTAGATCGCATGATGGAAAGAGGTCAAGGTGAAATCATGAATCTCTATTGAATTCGGAATCAAAGCCTATTCACTCCCTTCAGGGTTATAAACACACCTAATCTAGCTAAGCTTAAGCTTTGCTAGATATTAGATTATCGGTTAAGATGGTTCCATGATTGCAGCACAAAATTCAAGATTATTTGGAAGTAAATAGAAACAAAAATTAAATTTTTATACTATTTTAAGAGCGAAGATCGGCCAGTTTTAGCCGAAATATCATTCAAATAACTGCTGAAAGGGTCAAATGAATACAATCAACTTGAGTTGAAATAATGCAATATTAAAATTTTAATATTAGTTCAAATCGATAGCTCACTTATTTTAATTTCGAAAATTATTTATGATGAAAACATTAATTATGATCATAATTAATAACAAAGTATATTTTAATGGAAATGACACATACTCTACTGTGTTATCACATTAATTGGCATAACATTTACAAATATTATGGCTATATAAGACTAACATCGTTTTATATGGAATTGTGTAATTTTGCAGTATTTAATGGGAGTAAAGTGTATATTTCCCTTAAATTCTTATATGGAGTTTGTATGCTATTTCCATCCCTTTTCCTGCATGAAAATAAATATGTGCACTATGGCATCATCAAAATAAACCCTTGTACTAATTTTCCTTAAATTCTTATATGTAATTTATTATGCTATTTCCATTCTATTTTTCTTTGCGCACTATGACATCATTAAAATGAATGCTTGGACTATGACATGATCAAAATGAACCGTTGCTGTTCTGAGTTATTTTAGCAGCCTCAGATATACAGTATATAATGAGGCTCTCTCTACTGTACCTATGAGAAATCACTCAAGATTCAATTATCAGTTCCTAGTGGTAATCATCTCAACATTGCCAAATTACTTGAGAACATGGAAGATGGGTATAAGAATCTAATTAAACGTGGAGAGGCTATTTCTACCGATAAAAAATCACTCAAAATCAAATTATCTGCGCTTGGCCATAATCACCTCGACGTTACAGAATTGTACGAGAAAATCGGAGATGCATATAAGAATCAGAACAAGCATGAAGAAGCTATTCCATTTATGAGAAATCACTCGATATTAAATTTTCTGTTCTTGGCCATAATCATCTCGAAGTCGTACAATCTTATAACAACATTGGAAAGATCTACCATAATCAAGGCAAATACGACAAAGCTATTTTAATGTATGAAAAGTCGCGTAAGATTCAGTTATTGACTCTTGGCTACCATCATCCTGACTTTTCCTAGCTATAACAATTTGGGAGCTGCTTATGTAGAGCAGAAGAAGCATGTAGAAGCTCTTTCCATATATGAAAAATCACTGAGAATTTAATTACAAGTGTTAGGCCATCCTTATCCTGATATTGCTCAGAACTATAACAAGGAACGCTGGAAATTTTAAAATTTGAAGTCAATGATAGCTATTCGATATTAGATATTGTGATAATTGTATGATAAAGTTGCTATCATTAGCTAGCATGCAGTATAACTACCATTCAATACGACAGTTTCATTAAATTGTATTATAAATCTTTATTAAAATGATCATGGACATTGACTACGTCGATAAAGCTATAAATTTAACTTTAAATACTTCTCATATCACGAAATGTAACAATTACTTCTGTTACATTAAGATTAAAAAGCTGTCAATTTTAGATTCAAAAGTCTCTACCAAGAAGAATTCTTAATTTTATTTTCTGCCTGTATCAATGTACAATAAGTAGAGTATGATGCAATATTTGCTACATTTTACGATAATTAAATAAATGGACACTACTCAACCTGTATGCTAATTTATCAATTATTTGGAGGCACAATTTTTTCTAATAAAGAAATAATCATACTCATACATAATATTATCTACAGCGTTTATATCTCTGAGATCATTAGTATGCGAAACTTTGCTTTAAATGAAGCGTTATAAGACGAAACTATGACAGTAGTAATGAACGTTCTAGATTATCATGAATTATTTAATTTAAATTTACTAGTTGAAAGTCCAAGTATTTCATCTATTTTTTGGCTTGTCCAATAATAAAATAAGATAATGATGGAAATTATCGTGACATTTTTAGTAGCAATGGATGGAATAAGAATTGACATGTAGCCTTTTAATTTACAGCAAGTATGCATAGTGGTATGCAAATTTTTCTTTATTATTCTATTCACATTATGTTAATTGTAAGCTAGTGTATAATTGAGATTGCATTCCTTTGATCCGATCACTGATAGAATCTAACAAGGAAATAGATAAATTACTGCTGTCATAGGCATAGAGCCAACAGTTGTTATATTTGTACAGTCCATATGGTACAGTCTTTAAGCGATGATCAGGCTAATTAATTTTCGTAACGTAGATAGAAGCCATTTATTTTGTACCAGGACAGGCGCATTTTCACCTTACTCCCATAGAAGTTACAGTTTAAATCCTTGATTCACTTAATACTATTTTAACCCCACATTTATCAACTTCTTCCGATTTGGAGTCATGGATAATCCATTGGCCAAGTTTCTTATACCTGAATATGTAAAATCTCTTTACCGAGAGGGTGTAGAAAATCATCAATCGGGCAATCTTAACGAAGCGATGTCCTATTATACACAAGTGTTAGATAAAATTCAGGCGGTAGTCGATGATACTACTATTGAAGATCGATTCAGATACAATGTTTATTTTCTTACTGCTGACGTCTGTATGAAGCGAACTGAATGGATGGAAGCAGCAAAATTCAATAAAAATGCACAAAAAGTAGCGGAAAAGATCCAGGAAGTGATTCTGATTACTCAATGTTTAGATAGACAAGGCAACATAAAACGATCACAGCGAGACTGGGATGGAGCTTTAAAAGATTATATGGAATCGCTGGATATGAAATTGAATTGTTCGGACAAGGATAATAAAAGTATTAGCAATTCGTATAATCAGATCGGGGTTGTTTATCAAGCCTTAGGTAGACGCAATGAGGCTCTCTCTATATTTGAGAAGTTAGTCAAAATTCAGTTATCAGTTCTCGGTCACAATCATCTTAATGTTGCACAATCTTATTACAACATTGGGAGCATTTATCATGATCAGAGCAAGTATGAAGAGGCTTACAGGATGCATGAAAAATCGCTTCAAATTCGACTTTCAGCTCTTGGACATAATCATCCCGATGTTGCCACATCATATAGTAATATTGGTACTGTGTATAGAAATCAAAGCAAGTTCGATGAAGCTATTTCAATGTATGAGAAGTCGCTAAAAATTCGACTATCAGTTTTTGGTCGCAATCATTCTGATGTCGCTCATTCATATAATAACTTAGGAATAGTTTGTAATGATCAAGGGAAGCATGAAGAGGCCGTTAGTATGCATCAAAACTCACTGCAAATTCGATTATCAGTTCATAGTCCCGATCATGCAGATGTTGCAACCTCCTATACAAACATGGGAATTGCATATTGTGATCAAGGAAAGTACGATGAGGCTCTAACTGTGCATGAGAAATCGCTAAAAATTCGATTAGCAGCCCTTGGCTACAATCATCCTGACGTTGCCAAAACATATAATAACTTGGGAATGGTCTATAGCGGCCAGGGAAAGCACGAAGAAGCGATCTCTATGTATCAAAAGTCGCTCGAAATTCGACTATTAGTCCTTGACGATAATCATCCTGATGTTGCTCAATCATATGACAATATTGCAACGATACATTTTGATCAAGGCAAACATATTGAAGCTCTTTCTATATATGAAAAGTCGCTAGAAATTCGATTATCAGCTCTCGGTCACAATCATCTCCATGTTGCCAATTCCTATCATAATATCGCATCTATATTTAGTGCTCAAAGCAAGCATGATGAGGCTATTTGTATGTATGACAAAGCACTTCAAATAATGTTCTTAGTTCTTTGCCATAATCATCCCAATATTGCTACATGCTACAGCAACATGGGATCTGTGTACAGTAATCAGGGAAAGTATGATGAGGCTCTTTCTATGTTTGAGAAATCACTCAAAATTAAATTATTGCATCTTGGTCACGATCATCCAGGTGTTGCTGCGTTATATTACAACATGGGAAATGTACATAGGAAACAAGGCAAGCCTGATGAGGCTCTTTCCTTATACGAGAAATCACTACATATTCAACTATCTGTTTTTGGCCCAAATCATATCGATGTTGCCTCGTCCTATAACAATATAGCGGCTGTGTATATCCATCAGGGTAAGTATGATGAGGCTCTTTCTTTGCTTGAGAAGTCGCTTAAAATTCGATTATTAGTCCTTGACCACGATCATCTTGATATTGCCCAATCTTATAATGATATTGGAGCTGTATATTATATGCAGAGTAAACATCAAGATGCTATTAACATGACTGAAAAGGCACTCCAAATTAAATTATCTATTTTTGGCCATAATCATCGAGAGATTGCTAAATCATACGTTAATATAGCCGCTATCTATAGTGATTTGGGGAAATACAACGAGGCAATTTCCATGTATGAAAAATCGCTCAAAATTCAAGTGTCCCTCCTTGGCCACAATCATCCCGATATTACTTATGTATATACGAACATAGGTATTGCCTATTATCATCAAGGAAAATATAAAGAGGCTCTCTCCATGCATGAGAAATCGCTGTCAATTCAGATATCAGCTCTTGGTCACAATCATCCTCATGTTGCAAAATCCTATGGATCCATCGGTCATATCCATTGCATTCAAGGCAAATATGATGAGGCTCTATCCATGTATGAAAAGTCTCTCCATATTCATTTATCAGTCTTTGGTTATAACCATCCTAGTGTTGCTAATTCATATAACAATATTGGATTAGTGTATAAGAATCAATGCAAGTATGAAGAAGCTATTTGCCAATACGAAAAATCGATTGAAGTTCAATTATCTATTCTTGGTCACAATCATCGTGATGTTGCGGCATCCTATGCAAGCATCGGACAGGTCTATTTTCAGCAAAGTAAGTATAATGAGGCTATTGCTATGTATAAGAAATCTCTTAAAATTCAATTATTAGTCTTTGATGGTGATCACATCGAAATCGCTTCAATATATCAAAGTATGGGACAAGCCTATAGTCGTCAAGGCAAACACCAAGAGGCCATTTCTATGCATGATAAATCACTCAAGATGAAATTATCACTCGTTGGTCATAATCATTCCCAAGTAGCTCATTCTTATATGGCCATGGGAAATGTTTATAGTCATCAAGGCAAATATGAAGAAGCTATTTCTATGTATAAGAACTCACTCCAAATTCAGTTATCAATTCATGGTAACGATCATTTGGAGATTGCTGGACTCTATAACAACATTGGAGAAATTTATGATCACCAGGGCAACCATCAAGAGGCTCTTACTATGCACAAAAAGTCTCTCAAAATTAAATTATCAACCCTCGATTGCAATCATCCTGAGATTGCTATATCATACATTAATATAGGCGTTGCATACAATAATCAGGGAAAATTTGATGAGGCGCTTTCTCTGTTTGCCAAATCGCTCAAAATTCAATTATCAGTTCTTGGTCACAATCATCCCGATGTGGCTACATCATATAATAACATGGGCATCGCGCATAGAAATAACGGCAAGTATGATGAGGCAATTTGTATGTATGAGAAATCACTGAAGATTCGATTATCAGTCCTTAGTCACAATCATTCTGATGTTGCTAAATTATATAACGATATGGGAAATGCCTATGGCGATCAAGGCAAGTACGATGAAGCTATTTCTATGCTTAAGAGGTCACTTGAAATACAAATATCAGTCCTTGGTCATGATCATTCAGATGTCGCCAAGTCCTATAACAGTATTGGAGCAATGTACAATCTTCAGAGTAAAAAGGAAGAGGCTATATCTATGTATGAGAAATCGCTCAAAATTGAATTATCAATGCTTGAACAAAATCAATTCAATAATGCGCAATCTTATAACAATATTGGAGACGCATATAGTGCTCAAGGTAAGCATGATGAAGCAATTTCTATGTATAAGAAGTCATTAGAAATCCGGTTATCAGTTCTTGGTAATAATCATCCCGATGTGGCCGAATTATATAACAACATTGGAACGGTATACTATGATCAAGGCCACTATGAAGATGCAATTTCTACGTTCGAGCAATCACTCAAAATTCGATTGTCGATCCCTGGCTACAATTATCGTGATGTTGCTGCATTATATAACAACATTGGCAAGGGCTATTCTGATCAGGGCAAATATGAAGAGGCTCTTATAATGCATGAGAAATCACTTAAAATTCAGCTATCAGCCTTAGATCGAAATCATCCCGACATTGCTGGATCTTATAAAAATATGGGAGCGGTGTATAGAAACCAAGGCAAGTTTGATGAAGCTCTTTCTATGTACCAAAAATCGCTCAAAATTCAATTATTGGCTTTGGATCACAATCATCCTGATATTGGTAATTCATATGAAAATATTAGAAAGGTCTATGATGATCAAGGGAAGCATGAACAAGCTCACAAGATGTATGAGAAATCACATAAAACTGATTACCATAATTACTTTGATGATGTACAGTCCTGATATGGGAGGCATCCCCAATAATTTAAACGAAGCTAGCATCAAATTCCTGAGGATACCGTTCAGAAATTACTTCGAATTCAATTTTTGATCTTGGCTATGGTCATCGTAACATTACAAAATAATATAAGAGCATTGGTTATAGCTATTCGTTACTGATCAAATAACAATATCAGAAAGGTCTATGATGAGCAGGGTAAGCATGGACAAACTCAAACGATATATGAGAAACCACGCAAAAACTCATCGGCATAATTAATTACCTTAATGATGTGCAGTCCTAAAACGGAAGCTATCTGCGGTAATTGAATCTAAGGTAGCATAAATTTCTTTTTTAGGCTGTTTACGAAATGACTTCGATTTTAATTCTAGATCATGGTTATGGTAATCTCAATATTACACAATAATATGGAGTATCAGATAAAGTGTTTGTACTTATATTCATTACGATGGAAAATTGTAGTAATCTAGCACGGACGGTCATGAAAGCGTATCATATTGATTTAATAGTTCACGTAATCGATGCTGTATTGCAATAATTCATTTCTACTAGTTAATTCTAATTTATCTTATTATATGAGAAATATTCGTGTTAGTAAACTAATTATTAACTTCTAATAAAGCTTCCTCGCACTTTTCTCAATGTAAATCCACGTCTTGTATGTGATTATGGCTTAGAACTCTACTACCTATTATACGTTGAGGTGAGTACAGCCGTTATCGAAGTACTACTCGGCCTTCATGACATAAAAAATGTCCGATCGTACCGATTTAAGGAGTGGTGCTAATCCTATTAACGAGAAATAAGCGCTCTAGTTCCGATACTTAGGCCTATTAACTAGGTAGGAGACACAGCGCACCCATTCACCGCCTTTTAGAAATATTTGCAGGCTCCATTAGTATCAACTAACCTCAATAAACAACATTCTATCTTACATTAAGGCGCATTAACAAATTAGAAAATCACAAAATCAGGCCTTGTTGTCCACTAACTATTGGGCTTTCCTATAGTGGTAGGCATTTCGATTATGCTCAATGGCTATAAAACCGCCAATTGTTCAAGTATTTATTTGTACTGATCCAAACCCCCTTTCCTCCTCCTGCGATGATAACCTCGATCACGATTGCTGTTACACCATCAGTATCTATGACATAATAAATGGCTAATAAAAAATTTTAGAATATTTTTGCTTCTATAAGGGAAATTTATCCCTGTCAATTTGATTAAATTTGTCGATATAGACAAGGTAATTGATTATTTTAACAAATTGAAAAAGTGTTTTTTATCAGATAAATGAACCAATATGAAATTCCTAATGATACACATTTATTTTGTAAAGGAATATTTTGACAAAGCTACATGATATTTTGCAAGATTTTCTACTAGTTGATAGTACCTGTCTATTATAACTAAAATTGTTCAAAGCTGTAATGAAAAATGATATAATTATACAGTAAAATCAACTTGACACAAGATTTATCTTGTAATTGCTTAGCAATAATAATATATAAATTTATGGTTAGTATCTGCGCATTAATAGTAACTTATATAAACTATTAAATCGATTAAATTAAAACTAAACTAAAATATTGTTGTAGATGAAAATAGTATAAATCTCGAAAATTTAAATCTACGTACTCTAAGGCAATCTGCATATTAGTAGACTGCAATACATCAATTAACTTGGATTGATTCACAATTTGAATTTTTCTTATTCTTTTTCACCTTATTGATTTAATTATGCAGCTAGCCTCCTATTTCTTTTCAATCAATGAATTTTTAGGTATCTGTAGCAAATTTATTGGAGAGATGAAACAACCACAGCTCATAGAAATTGGATACTTATCAACCGAGAAACACGTTTTTATTAAAGTGAGATTTACTGCAACAGTTTATAGCAACTCAAGGCAAGCCAATGAATGATATTGCTAATATCTCAAAAGCCATGCTAAGGTAGACTTTTTACTCAGTGGATCAGTTAACAATCTTTTACATTAATATTCATTTCAAGATTCTAGCAAAATTACAGACTAATCGTCATCAATTTTACGCTTTCGATCAACTATGATTTCAGGATAAGGATCACTACGAAGCTTTGCAGCATATGAATACATAGCAGTAGCTTTGCCTTTTCTATTTAATCGAGCTAGAATACATCCAATATCTTCATATTTTTCGGCAATAGAAGGATGCCTCTCTCCAAGTGCTTTTGATGTAATGTTGATCGATCTTTGATGAAAGGTTATAGCATCTTCAAGCTTTCCTAAATGTTCGCAACAAACAGCAGCATGAAAGTATGCATAAGCTATTAGGATATCATTAAGCGCTAGGACACTTATTCGCATTTCTAAACATTTCCCAACTGCTTTCAATGCTTGATCACGCTTGGATAATTTATTATAGCATTGTCCAAGGTCACTTTGATGCTCATATATGGTATGATTCTTAACAAAATTAAGTTAGTAGATATTCCATAATTCTAACCCGAATAAAGTAGTCGGCTTCACAATATACTAAGATACTGAGTAAAATCTACCGTAATCAAATTATTCATTTATTTTTTAAAGCCGCAACATTACAATACAAAATCTTGAAGAAGAATTTAAAAATTATCGTAACCTTTATCATTAAGTGTCTTCCATCATATAATACATATGCAACAATTTATCATGAAATTTTGTATATCAGTTCTTGTATTTGACATTATACGAGTTGAATGAATTAAAAGCAGTATGAGTTAAAATTAGCATTACATCAGGATAAGGAATTTTAATCATGGCCAGAGTTTATAATTCTAATGTTTTAATTTGTATCTAGACGATGTCCTATTCATTATTTGTCTCTAGTACAAAGCACAAATTTCTATATTCATTCTTTTTCTACTCTTGACGACATTCTTAAAATAAAATGCCATCCAGCTGGAATAAACTACGTAGAAATCTGTGGTGAAAGAATAAAATGCAACCATTCCACGACAACCTAAATTATATCCAAGCTTCTAACAAATCATTGGTATCGATTTATTGGAACTAATGAATAATTCTAATATTTCCCATTAAATCTTTTACAATTTCAGTCATCGGACTCTATTCATCCTAAAATTTCTGTAATGGAATGATCTCTAAATATTCTAAGATAAACTAAACTATGCCCAAGTTTCCTAATAAATCATTGGTATCGATTTATTTGAGCTAAAGAATAGATTAAATATTTCCCCTTAGATCTTTTTCGAATTTCAAGTATCATCGGACTCTAATCAGCCAACAATTTCTTATAATTTTTTTTTTTTTCACTACCTATAAAGGAGTATTTCCAAGAGAATAAATAGTTCTAGTTAGCATAAGAGTATCTACTAGCTAAAAATATATACCTCCACTTATTTGATATTGACGAGCTTTCGTTAGCAACACTGAATGATCAATAAGTTCAAATGACCGGTAAAATACGAACGCAAAATTGACTTATGACTTGTTATTATCATCTTCAATAGCTATCCTAAAATAGTTACTCTTATGGAATGGGTTAAGACTGTCATCTGAAAAACAACAAAATTTTAGGGATTTTCTAGACTAACCTTTGCCAAATTTACGCTTTGGTTTAGATTTGATTTTCGGATTTGAAGGATTGCGAATGGTTGCGGCATAAAAATGCTTTATAGCAGCCTCTTTTGGCTTATTGATATGCGTATAGAGACAACCTATTTCATCATAATCATCAGCAATAGAAGGATGGTTCTTTCCTAGCGTAGCACCTTTGACATCGGCCGATTTTTGAAGAAATTGGATGGCCTCTTCAATCTTCTCCAGAAATTCGTAGCAAACTGCAATATTGGTGTAGGTGTAGGCAATTTTAATATCTTTGGCATCCAATTTTTTCAGCTGTAATTCTAAGCACTTTTCAAATGCTGGCAATGCTTGTTCATGCTTGGATAATTCATGATAGCAATCTCCAATGTTGCTATAAGAATCGATGACATTTTCACTCATCAAATTGTCTTCATGCATCTGCTGTTGAAGATTAATAAAATTTTGAAACGTTTCGATTGCTTGTTCATATTTTTTCTGCTCCCAATAAGTATGGGCTATATTTAGATACGTAGCAGATATAGCATTGTTGTCTTTTTCGCTTTCCTTGGACAATATATCGAAACATTCCTTGAATTTTACAAGGGCCTTTGCATATTTTTTTTGTCGTTTAAAGACGATGCCCATTTGACTATAGCACGCTGCAACGTCGCCATTTTTATGTACTGACGAGAGTAAAATATCCAGAGCTTTCTGGTACAAGGATAGAGCATCTTTATACTTTTCTTGGTCTCGATACAAGTCTGCCTGATAGTAATAACTCTCAGCTCTATCCGAATTCTGCTCTCCTTCAGCTTGGAGCTTAAAATCGACTCCTTTTTGATGCATAGCCATAGCTTGATTCGTATTATCTTGTTGTTTATGAATATCTTCTATGTTAAAATAAGTTTCAGCAATACTTGATTTGCTAGCCTTTCCTTCTGTAAGAATAGTTAAGCACTTTTGATACATCTCTATCGCTTGATCATATTCAAGTAGCTTGCCGTGAGTAAAAGCAATATCACTATAAGACTCAGCTAAACTTAAATCATTTCCATCCAGCAGTTCTTGTCGAATAGTGAAGCATTTCTGATAATATTCGAAAACCTGTTTACATTGCAAAAGCTTATTATGGACAAGGCCAAGACTAGCGTAACATTCTGCTATTTGTAAATTCTCTTCTTTTGAATCTTTTCGCAATATATCGAGAGCATTTTGTATCTTTGCAATGGCATCGTTGTATTTCTCTTGCTTGCAGTTGATAAGACCAATTTGACGGTAAGATTCTGCAACTTTCGAGCTCTCCTCGCCAAATACTTCCTTATGGATTTTTAGACAATTCTGATACATCATAGCAGCATCATCATATTTCTGTAGATCAAAATAAACATTTCCAATATATTCATAAGAGCTTGCAATGGCTGAATCTTCAGAATCTAGCTTTTGTAACTGGATATCCAAGCACTTTCGATACATTGATAAAGCATCTCGTAACTTTTCTTGATGATAATAGACATGTCCTATGTTTTGGTATGTATCAGCCATATCTAACATTTTTTCATCCTCATCATCATCTTTACTACCAGATAGTTGTTGTTGGATGGTTAAAGATTCCTGATACATGCTTAGAGCTTCATTAAACTTGTGTTGAAGTAAATAGGCACTTCCAATATGTTTATAGCTATTAGCTACTGCTAGGCTTTTTTTTCCGTGAATTTTCAAATTAATATCTAAGCTTTCCTGGAACATGGATGCAGCTTCATCAAACTTATTCTGATGACAATAGCTACTGGCGATATCGTTGTATATTTTAGCAGCTTTGTCAGTATTTTTACCGAATGATTTTTGCTGATGGTGAAGACATTTTTGTAATACTGATATCCCTTCTTCCCAATTGTTTAATGTGTTGTAAACAGATGCTAAATTTCGGTAAGTATCGACTATCACGGCATTATCGCCCGCAGGTAATTCTTGTTGTAGATGTAGACATTTTTCATACACTTGCAACGCTTCTTGGTATTGCGAATTTCGGCGGTAAGAATAGCCAATAGCATCATATAGATCGACAATATCTGAGTGTGTATTTCCTAAAATGGCTAATTTAATTTCGAGACACTTTTGATACATTGGGATAGCTTGATCATGATTGCCTCGCTCACTATTGACCCATCCCATGTTATCGTACGAATCCGCTACTAAAACATTATGATCGCCTAAAAGATCGGATCGAATAGTTAAACTCTTCGAGAGTAAATCCAGGGCTTTATTATAATTTTTTTCTTCCTCAGTAATGGTATAAGCAATGGCTATATCTTGATATAATTCAGCCAGTGCTAAAGTCTTACTTTCTGAAGCATTGAGCAATATCTGCAAAGCTTTTTCATACATCCTCATTCCATCCTGATTCTTGTCGACGCTGCATAACAGATCTCCTTGACGGTGATAAGTTACGGCAATGTCTAAATGATTCCCTCCGAGAATCTTCAATTTAATCTTTAACGACTGTTTCAAATCATCTCTAGCTTCATCATTACGTTCTTCTTGGATGTTAACATGAGCACGGTTATCTAGACTTTGAGATATTCGAAGTTGGTCTTTCAATTTTTTGCCTAGCTGAAGAGATTGTTGTATCCATTCTCGCGCTTTTTGAAATTGCTTTTGATGAAAGTAAACTAGAGAAATATCTAATTTGACATCGCATTGTAGTTGAGCCTGTATCCGATCTTGATCTTGGAGATCTTGAATTAATTTCAACGCCTTGTTATAGTTATCCAATGCTTTCTGATAATATCCAAGGTGAAATTCGTGTAAACTTGCTTTACGAATCGATTCAACTTCATCCATGATACGTTTTCCTTCCTTAGAGATATTATCTTTAGTTTTCATACTTGTGTTGCTGCTCCCCATCTTGGATTAGATTGATAGCTTTATTGGATAGAGTTAGGCTTCTAAGAATATTGCAGCGATACTAAATGGGTGTTAATTTACTTTCTTAGAAAAGGTTGATCGCTACTATTAGCCAGTCAACCAATTATGGTACAAAATTGATGTGACTAGAAAAACTATAATTGCGAAGACGACCAGCAGCTTACAGTGTCGGACATGAATAGAAGAGTAATGCTATTTTAAGTAGATTGATTTGAACTGTAAAATCGAGTGATGATTTATTCGTGGAAAAGTCTTCTACTGAATGACTCAAGCCAGATGGTAGGCAAAATTAGAATCGGAAGAAATTTGATGATTGATTGTCGAGATGTAGAGCAAACTTAAGAGAGTTGATACCAAGATTGCTTATGTCATCTTCTCCAACGTTAATTTTTTGGCTTAGAGTTGGCTACGGCTTTCCTACTCTGTTCAAACTTGTCCTTGCTGCCTCGCTGCAAAATGTGGACAATCTACGCTGCAACAGTGTGAAGGTCAAGGTGACCTATTGAACCCCTAATCAATAAGTTTTCAAGCTTTGCCGAAGTAATAGCCTTAGCAATTGTATTTATATCAGAATAATAAATTAAAGCTTGCCGACTCAAAAATAAAATTAGTTCATTCCAAAAGTGATAGAAGTATGTTCTGTGCATCGATGTATGAATAACGACAAGGGATTACTTATAAATTTTTAAAGGTGGTTAGTGATCGATTGGATGAGTGATCCTGAATTGAGCTAAAATAGCTAAAATAGTGAGACAGATTATACATGTTGATCTTGTATGTAGGATAAAAGTTAAACTATTGCCAGCGAGGAGTATTGCTTGCTAGTATAAATTATGCCAGCCTAGAAATAGCTAAACTTCCACTTTACTACAGAAAACAACTCATCTACTAAACTAATAATGACCATCTATCCTCAGTGCAAAACTGTCTAAACTAGTAATATTTTCCCACAATATCACAATATATAGTACTAATACGGCAATAGCCTTTCCTATTTATCGAAGGAATACTCTAGATGAGCTAATTCAACTTTTATTGGCCTATCACTGACTATTCTCGTGATAAAGAATACAGTAAAGTATTTTACTCTTTTTAAATTACAGTCTCACAGACAAATTTCGCAAGCTTGAGCTATGTTACTTTATTCCAACAATAACAACCAATCGACATTGCTACTACTCGTCTAAAACTATAAAATCGATTAACAACGAATTAGTTCTCAATAACTCAATTTTTAACATAAGCAAGTAGTCACTTTAGATTATCGAGACCGAATTATAACGGAACACATCAAGTAACCTAACTTTATCCAACTATAGAACTCCAACTGATTCATGTACGTAAGCACAAATCATATAGAATCAACAATTGGTATGAAGATCTACCAGGGCGCAAATACTAAATTTATACTGTATCATTCACGGTGTATTTGTACTGTGACATGGCCATATAATTATAAATTGTTTACTTATTTTATTGCACTTGAATTAGCATTTACCATATTCATTGCAGGTCTTTAACTTTATTGCTACATTGCTAGTAATCATTTAATACAAACGACTTTGTAAGTAGCGTAAGAAAATACTTTCTAGCAATAATAAAGAGGCTGGTCATGACAAGCATATTCAATTTAAAATAGAAGAATGTAAATTATTGCCTTATATAACATACACAGACATAATGTTTAGTAAAATAGTGGTAATGTAATTAATAAAATCAAGATAGTAGCAATAAAGTAATTGATGAAGTGAAGGTAGTTGCAATAATGCAATTCATAAAATCAAGAAAAGAAATAGGAGTATTTCAAGGTGTTTTGTATGTGAAAAGCTAAATCTATAAAAGAAATTTGAATAATTTTATAGCCGTGTAAGCTGATTATAATATTAACTTAAGAAAAACTTTTCGTTCAGATTGTGTTTAATAATCCCTTTCGAAAATATATTATTTAAGCGCATTTATACTTAATATTATTTTACGATAGATATATACATGACGGTTAGATTTTGCATTTATTCGATAACAACTTGTTAGCTGTTTTCCTTAAAGCAAGAGTCCTGTACCAACTGAATTATGTGTACAATCATAAATATTCTGGAAGAGAAATGTAGCAGACCTCCGCTACCAAATTAAGATACTTATTCGTATATAGTAAATTTGTCTGCGTCAAATAATTCTAATTTAAAAGAAATCTGTAATAATACATAAGTTAATGGTTATCAAGTTTGATTTATACTTTTCAAAAATACTTCGAAACTATCCAATAAAACAATAAGATCCTTTCAATATCGATGTCGGGAACGAACAACACTTTAGTCAATTTTTTGCAATTGCTTTGCATTCGAGCAAACAAAGTTTCTGCCAAAATGCAGACTTGCCTAATTTCGCAGACTAGCTGCTAAGTTTTTGATTAACTTCTCGTAGTTCGATTATGTCGACTACTTATAGAACTTGCTAAAGAACGCTCATGATGATGACTAGATGATGAAAATTGATCAGGATCAACTTGACGAACATAATAACTATCATTCATCACTTCTTCATCCCATACCATGGATTGGTTTTCTAGTGAAGATAAAGATTCGGATTTTTTGGAATCACTTGCTAAGGTTAAGTTAGGGCCCGTTGGACTAAAATCAGGTGAGATTGGAATTGACTGGCGAGAAAGATATTGGCGCTGTTGACGACCATGCCTACCACTATATACGCTACTAGTAGCCGCTGAAGTATTCTTAGGACTTCGACTACGAATTCCATCGGTATTTAGAGGCGATATGACAAGCCTGACAGGATGATCAATGCTATTACTAGTTTGGCCATCATGGTTGGGAAGAGATACTGTCAACGATCTAGATGGAGTTAAAGATTTCATTTCATGCTCTTCTTTTTGAAATTCTTGCTCGGATGTAGTATGATTAGTCACTTCCAAAGTATCTGTTACGTTATAATTGCCACTGGATGCACTGCAACAAGTTTCTATAATATAGGATAATTTGAATAATTCTTTATGGACTAGAAACTCTTGAGACCAGCAGATGGTATACATGAAATTGAAGAGACCAATTAAGCACAGCAAGATAGCAAAAGAGACCGGGAAGAGAAGATTGGTCGATGGCTTAGGCTGGAAAATAAAACCAGCCGAGATGATAGCCAAGACTAAGAAGATCATATTGATTAATGTTGCAGAAAGCAGTTGACGGATTGACTGCGATTCCTTACTACTGAGATGTGAGAAAACATTGTTTGTATCTCTTAAAAGTTGGATCGTTGAGCCATATAAGTAGAAATTGACTAATGTTACAACAGCAATTGGAGTAATTAGGAAAACGTAAACTTCCGTTTGCAATCGAATAACACAGCTACTATAGAACCCCAATAAATTCATTATAACCATCAACAGCAAGCGAAAATTTTTGCCCATGTAACAAGAAAATTTGAGTATAGACAAGAATTAGAGCTGGAACATGAAATTTAATGCATAGTTTAATGGTTATGTTAACTTACAATTGCCGATCTTGGTAGCTGCCATTACTTATAAGAATGGCTGCACCAACGCCTGTAGCAACGAAAGGTGCAACTAAAAATAGCGAAGCAAATAACGTTAGACCTATCGTATGATTTTCTTTAGATAGTTAAAGTAATATATCTGAAATACGTATGATTTTAACTGTTGCTTTAAATCTGGATCAAACTTACCCCAACCAATACAGGAATAACGTATGTGAGTTAAAAATGCATCTCTACCTTGCAAGGTATGATTTACAATATTGCGCAAAGCTAAATTATGAACCAACATCCATGCTATCGATGAAAGCAGCATAAAATTTAGCAATGATTCGGCAATAGAGCAAAAAATTGGCAATTCTGTTAAGCGCGATGTTAGTAAGAATGTGCTGGATGTTATAATTTCCGTTATCCATATGTTTAGTCGGATTGGAATTGTGCGTAGAGTAGCAAAATTCGACGGATTTGCAAATTGGCTGGTGGAGGAAAGAAATTCCACACAATCCATAATTTAATTGACATTTTTAACGAAATGATATGAAGTGTAAATAGTCAAAATGGAATTTGCAATGAAAAAAGGTAAATTATTTGTTCCTCAAAAATGGACATTATTCTCTTACCTCAATATAATGTAGATTAAAGTGATTATTAAATTAAAGACTATTCCAATGGTAATCAAAACATAAGTAAAGGACTGCAATGGACGAATATGGAAATGTTGCGCATTGTCCGGCCATGCTAATCCATTATTGCTTTTATTCTAAGATAGTAAAATTAAAATTAGATTAAGAAAATGGATGTTGTAATCATTCGATAGTATAGACAGAAAACAATTATTCAAATACGAGTATTTATGCCAAATATAGAATATTAAAGAATTTAGTCCTTACTCCATGTAATGCAAATATAGCCATATGTTTACAAGAAGCGACAAACTTAGAAGGACTTTGTTGACAAATTGATGAAGACCAAGTAGGCTTAACAGCTAAATAGGAAGATGAAATTTGATTAAGAAAAAATTGTAAACTGGCGGCATAATTGTAGTATCTCTGTTGAACTTACTTTTATCTGCTTGCGTTTTGATTCGAAAAGACGCTCTTAGCTGTGATATGGTTTAAAGCAAGAAGTTAGGTTATCATAGGTGTAACAGAAGATCGTGTTACCATGCCCTCGATTGTAACCTTTAGTTAATATTTATTCTATATCACTAGCAGGATTAAATTTGGCTAAAACTACCATAAATCATACATTAAGTACCGGTATTTACTCTGCTTTAATTTAATGTGAAAGTTTCAAAATTACTTTGAAAACTTTAAAAAGAAAGCAATTAATGCTACTCAAGTAATAAATATCATCGATATCATGCATGCCGAAATTTTAGTTTAACTAGATAAATCTGGCCGTAGATCGAATTTTACCTTAGTCGATTGTGGTCTTAAAATAACTGTTAATGGAGTTGTTGAGTTTGTTATAGCCACACCATCTGTAATTTATAATAATTTGCGATACCATTACAAAAATTTGTAATCAGGAAAAATGTGAAATTTATTTCTAGATATTGATATACTGAATGTTTTTCTCATATTGTTTTTCTGCTATTGCATTATGTATACAACTGACCTATTCTCGCTATTAGTACACTTCCTGATAACTGATAGTTTTTTCTTTGTATAGCCGATAATGGAAATAAATTAGTATTTCTTAGGATAAGAACTTGCAGACTTTTAGTTCCACGAAGTGGAAATGCACTTTGTAGAAAAGTTTTCGGAAGGTAAATTCCTGCAGTTATGCTCTAAAAATGTGAGAAAGAAATCCTCTAATTTCGATTACTAATAAGTGCTGGTTTAAACTGGTAAACTATTTTTGTTACTGTTGCTGTCTATTTAAACTTCAAATCGTCGAGATTATTAAATATTTCGTATTTCGTTAATACATCATTACAAACAATTTGAACTTAAATAGATTGAGTCATCAATCTACTAGCTACCGAAACAAAATTTGGTTATAATTCTGTTACTATGTATCAATTATTTTTCAAGGACAAAAGAGAACTGCTAACGTTTGATTTAGACTCTGATTAATAATCTTAAAAGCATATGATTAGTTTACATTATGTTTCAATACTTTAATATATATATGTAGCAATCATTTTATTTAAGTTATTTTAAATAGCTAGAAAAGCATGCCTTATCGTTGAAGAAGTCTTCAGTTAAGTCACCACGATTAAGCTGAAGGTTTTCGCTTGTAATTTTATTAATTACTTTCTGGCCAGATTGCAATAATAAGACATATAGAATACTTTGAAATTGATTGTCGAGATTGAGTTGAATATTTGCTAGTGCAAGATTATCCAGAACAAGTTGATTAAATTTGATACCAGGCGAAAGAGGGGCAATATAATTTAGCAATCGCTGTAACACATTGATCATTCTAAATAGTAATTGATAAAGTAGCGGTTATAATAACATTGTCACACTTTTATTTATAAAAATAGGGTATCATTAAACCAGCTTTTCTTAGCTGAATATAAGCATTTAATATTTTATACCTTGTACAGGCATTATGTAAATCTTGAGCTTCAGTTAAAGCACTAGTTTTACTAGACATGAAAAGATTGATTGCATTTATAATTACCATCATAACCTAAAATAGCAGATAGAAGCAAGATAATTGTGAATATTCTAAACATTTTTATATTATTAGTTACCAGTAATGGATAAGCCATGCAAAAACTTACATTCGTATTGCTCTTGGCTACTGTTTGCAAGTTTTCTAAGATCAACGAGCTTAAGTAGACATCAGTGGGTTGAACAAGGGAATAATGTTGAATGATTAATTTTTGAAATTTAGTCCCAACCATAGTAGCTGATGCATCACCGTTGACAATAATCTATTGAAGAAAATAGTTGATTAATTATAATCATTGATAGTGGGAATGTTGGTATTCAATTGAATTCTACTTATTAAATCGTACTGTAGTGATTGCATTTGACTAATAAGCTATTCTTGACAGAATTGATCATTAATCTTGTTCATAGTTCCATACTTAATAAGTTTACAAATATTAGACTACAAAATTTCTAAAATGTAAGTCCGTAATATTTACATCCTATAGGATTACAAAGTTTCCAGATAGTAATTAGTGCAATATTAAATACTAACAAGAAAACTGTTAAAAGTAAATTCTGTACTAACTAACGAGTTATTTCATCGCTAATATCGACAATTTAGTAGTATCAAATGCAAATTGGAAATAACTAATTAGACATGTAACGAATAAACTCTCAAAAATAATTACCCGGGATAACAGAAATAGCTGTTGCGTAAGAAAATATTGGAATTGACAATCGCTATCATCCATCAAGTTCCAGGCGCCATATTTCGTGCAGCTTCGACGAACTGTTGCTTGCTGAGATTCTGAACTTTGCTGAGAGTCAAATTGTGCTCCTTTCGGACAAGGTAAATGCACAGTAACTTGTCCCATCGTCTGTGGCCAGTTAAATGTACCCTTATCGCTTTGCGTCGTAGAAGCATTACAAAATTTAACACCAGAACTGGCTACATAAATCTATTTAAAAGGATAGAGTTCAAATAAACTGTATTAGCAGAAAAAATTGTATACAAATATGAAGTAGATTGTCATTCGAAGGCTTGGCATTATGCTATTTTAGCTAGTTACAAATCGATACTGAGTATAGCTAACTAAATAAAGATAAAGCAGGGAATGAATAGCCTTTCTTTGGCGACGCTATTAAACAGGTGTAAATTTGATATCTACTATTTATTGTTTTGTCATCGTCCTTTTTAAAAATATGATAGACACTGTAGCGATTAATTACCTGTGTTTTCGCAACTGATTTACCAGCTTCATTTCGAAATTCACATATATATTGGCCAGCAGCACTTGAGTCAATAAGATCTAGAGTCAGTGTCGTTTCTACGGTATACGTATAAATTTGACTATAATTTTTAACTGCCGTATGGTTAATAACTCTAGCATTTGGTATTTTGTGCTTATGGAATAACCAAGACATTTCAGTACTATATATATCTCCACTCGCTTGACACCGTAAAGTAATTTTATCTCTATGAAATAGTAGTTGACTGTCTGCAGGCTTGGATTTCATTGCAGGTGGACCTAGAAATGATAAATTGCAAATTTTAAATTTTAAGTTTTTCTAATGCATTCAGATAAAAATATGAGAGATGATGAAAATGAATTAATAACGTGATAACTCCATTTCACTGTTTCTAGACTCACCACACGCTAAATCTTTCCAAGTTAAACTGCTAAACATTCGATCTTGAATAGAGTAAGGTTGACTACATTTTGCGGACTGCGATAGAGACAAATTAATCCGAGTTGATTTTACCCATGCCATCAACCAACGCAGCCGACAGTCGCATGTTAGCGGATTGCTATCGATATTACTTTAATTTAAAACAAAATAGAATTAATAAATATTCAGTATATCTTTAAACAAGTACTAATGTGTACTACCAATTTCCAGGATATTAATAATCGTCACATGAATCTCATCAAAAATTATTCTATTAGACTGGGCTATGGCATAAAATGTGCCGTGATAGAATTGGATTTGACATCTGAACTGCTAATTGTAATTGCTAATTCCAATTTTCTGACAAGTATAGATAATGTAAATGGTCTTGATGCTACTTACAGAAATTTGAGAGAGTCTAAACGGCTAAATGTTTGTAGCGGCAATGTTTCTAGAAGATTATTTGTTAAATTTCTAGAAAAATGATAATATACGAATAAGATATGCAGCAAAATAATCTTTTAAGGAACGTAGATCTAAGTAAATTCACCACTGATACTTACAGTGAGGTTAATGCTTTAGCATTGTAGAATGTATCCGCATGCAGATACCTTATAAAATTTCCGGACAAATCTCTACAAGTAACGAATTGAAACCATATGAGATTATAGTAACGATTAGATAGTGCATCTAGGAAATCTTACGGTAAAACTGTGACAAAGAATTATTTTGGAAAGACAAAGTCCTGTACTCTGTCCTCATTTTATCTTAACGACAGCATACGTTGCTATGAAAAACTGACAAAGTGAACATCGATAATTGCCAAAATGATGTAAAGTAAACCAGAATAGTCGGCAGGTAAAGTACTTAAATATATTGTAACCTTAGATATAGACTAACATCAATTCAATCATAGCAAATAAATGATATAACTTACAAATATTGTAGTGCATTAGAATGGATAAATAGCCTTGGTGGAAGACTAGTAAACTGATTTTTTCGTAGTATTCTTCATCATACGCCAGATAATTATTCATTAATTAAGGAAAGTAAAATGAATTATTAATGAAATAAGTTCCGTAAAGTTCCTTATAAACTCTCATCCGAATTACTGAAATTATTTGCTATCGTTGCCGCCATAATTAGCGAATTAAAGGAATTTAAATTAGGATAATTTAAAATTACAATATTTGACTTACAAATTTTTCAGGCGCTTGCAGTTAGAAAATGCTTTACTTTGTATTCCTGATAAAAAGCTGCCTTCTAAATTACTGAAAAAAAGCAATAAATAGACTAAGGCCTTATAGTCTCCTTATGGAGCAAATTTAAAAATAAGAGTAGATTACTTAAATTTGGTTATAACATGATAGATGAACAAAATGTGCGGTAGTTCTGCTAGCGATGTATTAACAGTTACGTAATATAGAAACATCGCCAAGTAAAAAGAGAACTAACGTGCTAAATGTAGTATAGTATGTTGGATAAGTATCGTAATTCTAGTCTCGTAAATTTTTCTAGCATTTACAGCTGAATATTGTTAAAATCTATAATAGTATATTACTGTCTTATAATTCACTGTATTATATAGATCAAGAAAGTTGTATCTTCATTAAGACACTTTTGTTGTTTAACCATTATTTCGTCAGTAATTAATTCAGATCATAGAGCATTATTGCCAGACTATGTTACCGAAATTAATGGTCATCTCATATGAAAGTTGAGAATAATCTACAATCAATTACTTTATGCAGATTGGATGTTAACTCCAGAATGCCCCATGTATGGAAATTATGTAATCTGGCTATTTGTATTAGTCATTCAGATATCTAAGTTCGTAAATCCTACAGTCTTCATTGGGTAATGGCAAGTAAGATCATCATTTAGTTCATGGGAAGGTTTCAAAGTTAATGGTATTAACTAGGACTTATCAGCTAGTATAAAAGCTGATACAGAAATCATGCTATATTATGTAATAAATAATAGTCTTGAGGAGCTATACTTGATGCAGGCAACAAAGTATTTCTTTGCAGAAGAATAGTATTCTTTATAGTGCAGATTATTGCAGGTTCAACTAAGAAGTCTTCGCTCTTGTGGAATTGAGGTCAAAACCATACATCTCATTCTACTATTATTACGACGAGAATGACCTGTGAATAATTTACTATGATGGCGAGAAGGATTGGGAATGTATGTTCATAAGGCAAATATTGGAATCTGTTATATTCGACCTAGCGGATGGGATTAAAATACTAAAATTTGTAGCAGTTTAGATATTGATGTAGATCTAAGACAACTGTGAACTGCGTGGTGTTTATTTCTAATTCACGGTATCTAATGTTCTTTAATAACAGTCGATGAAACCTAATGAGGCTTGATGATGATTAGATGTCTTCATTATTACTACTCTTATAATTGAAACTAAAATTGGATCTTTAGGCGGTTGAAATAGATATAAAAATAGAAGTTGAAACATATTATGATATACTCCAGGCTGTTAGCTTAAAAAAATGTAGAAAGTCTACTGACTGATTTCGAAGTCAACTTATTAGAATCATTGTAACAACCGCTTAGGAAATAAGTAAATTTTTATATACAAATAAGAACAGATACAAATGAGTAGCAAGGCAAAACCGATAAATTAAGCTAATTCCCCGGAATACCTTTTTTTATATTTTTTCTCCTTATGTTATAATCTACTATACCATAAGCTGTGATTAATTAATTCATACTTACATATAGGTTACTGCAGTTAAGTTAATAAATGCTTGATCTTGAATTTCGTGAAAATTATTTAAAGACAAATCCCTATAAGTGTAGAAAAGTATTAATTCATTAAATCATCGTTCAACAGTATGTTACTAGATATTAAGCGACTATTCTTAGTGATATCAAATGTGCAATATGCTTAGAAGGAATTCAAGCTGTAGGTTGTTTCTACATTCATATTGCAAATATTTCTGATAAATTAAGCCACCTTAGTCATGAGTAAAGTATGCTAATCATACAACGAAAATCGCTTTTCTAAAAATAGCTATTTTAGAGAACTAAGCAGCTAAGAATGGAAATTATCTCGCCTGATTTTGATACCTTTCTCATATAATTATTTATCGATTACGGAAACTTTAGTGGATTTTGAGAATTACTGCGAGATAACTCATAAACTGACTGAAAAATAATAATTCTTCGTATAAGTTTTATTTAGATCTTATCTATTTAAGAACTTACAAAGATCCAATCGTTGATGCAAATGGCTGTTCGAAAACGGGCATGATACGGATAGAAGTACTTCGACATGAAACATTTCTCGTTAGTTTATTACGTATGCCACCATTAATCCTAGCTTGCTGCAGTATTGAACAATTACAATTTAATGCTTGTAGATTTGGCGGACATTGGCCATCCACCAAGGATAGCTTAAGGTATAAACTAATGAGGAATAGTAGAAGCTGATATACCCAATTGATATGAAAATCCATCAGGAGATCAATTGGGTTAGGTAGATTAGAATCGTAAAAGTAGGATAGGTGTTTCGGAATAGTTCATGAGGCAAAACTAGCTTCCAGAGATAAATTGTAAAATAAATATACTAAGGAGATGAGCTAGTCAAGATTTTCTTGATCAGTTCCTATTTTATGAGTCGTTTAAATCTTGAATATCCGTTTTAGAGGCAATCTTTTTTTCTCCTTAGAAGCGTAGGATATAGGACATTCCTAGTGGTAGTTAGATTTGCAATAGAAATGCAATCCTCTTATTGGACGGCAATACGCTTCGATCTAGTAACTTCAATTTAATCAGAGTAAATTAATTGACTTCATAGCGATAGAAGATAATGCCACCTGTAGATTGATAAGATAGGACAGAAATAAAGTTGAGCAAAATTGCTATAGCTTCACATCCAAAGCGAAAACTCTTAGAAGCCTTTGATGTATTTTCAATTGGTAAATTGACAAAAAATTGACCGCCTTTAATCACTTTTAGAGTATCTGACACCGTTTCAAATGAAATGAAATTGCCGTGAAGCTGTTAAATTATAATCTAATAATACAAATTCTTCATTCAGCTGATGTTCAGTATTAATATAACGCTTTTAGAGTAAACTTTCCATCAAAGATAGGAATACTTGGATTTCAGAAATGTCTATACTAACTATGAATAGTTATGAACATGTTCTTCCGTTGTCAAAATGATTTGGACGATGTCATGAGAATGAGCAGATAATATTACTGACTAATGGATAATAAGATAATGGATTCGAACCAATCTATTTTGCATATCAAAGCCAGTCGTTAATAATAAGGATAACAAAGATCAGAATGAGAAAGGTGTGGTTAAATAACAATTAATCATGCATTTGGTAATAATATAATAGTTTTCTGATACTAAGATGCTTTAAATTAGGCCTTCTTTACATTAAGCATCATAATTAAAACGTCTTTAGTAATTAGTGTTGATGGCCAAGTAGCTGATTACTAATGGTCCCTTGCCGATCAGCCTTAGTTCTGTATAGAATCAAGTGAATGGAGAATTTTATGCATCACCATTTTATTAATCATGCTTATTGTTTATAGATAACATAGGATTATGCTATAATGTAAGAAAAAGAACTAGTAGCTTACCAATTAAATTATAATGATCCAGTTTACATTAATAAGCAAGAAAACGTCAGGGTACTTGTGGTATACTGTCACAAGGATAGTAAGGTCAGCCACTAAGAATGATATTGTTTTAACGTCGTCAGATGAATGATAGTACTAAAAGGATTCAGCTGCAAAGTCACTAACATGTTTCATGCTGCAATAAAACTGTGCCATATGTAATTTCTCGTAAGCATATTCTCACATAACTTTTTAAGGATTTGATTAGACCTTATACTTGCTGGTCATATAAAAATTTAGAGGTGTATTCTTGTGCATTGTATTAGGATAATTTACTCCCCCGTAGCATTTTTATTGCAATATTAACTGAATTTCTAGGCTAGTTTGCATATTCTATACCTGTAATTGGATTAGTATAATTATCATCGTTCCTTCATGGATGCCTCAAATTAGAAAAATAATGTAAAAAATTTAGCATATCTAATTAAATGATCATTTCCAGTATTAATCAGAGAACCTAACTCGAAACTATCTACGGAAGCTACTCGACAAGAATGAATGAAAGCTATATTTTACGTTTATGCAAGGCAATTAGATTATATTATCTCTTATCAATAAGAGAAAAAACTTGATTGAATACTTGATTCAAAAGGATTTATAAAACTAAATAAGTTAATATTACAAGCTTTTTTAAGTTTATAATGCTTCTGCTTCCATAAGTATACCAGTATTTAGCATTTGGGTTAATTTTGATGGCATCTAATGTCATGATAACTGTATGATACCTATGTCACAAAACAGCTTTGCAGCAAGATAACGTAATGTACGATCAATAAGTCAATTCCTTGAACCACGTATCAAGTAACGATATCTGCACTATCAGAAACACTTTTGCTCTACTAGCAGACTACAAAAAGACTTAGACGCCTCATATTTTACGTTAAACATTAAGTTTGAGAATCCTCTTTATTACACGATATACTGCATTTATATACTATTCCTCAATAGTACACGAGTCATAGTTGGTACGACTAACTTTGGAATCATTCACTGAATTAGATATTAATTTTAGCTACTGCTTCCTTAATGCAAACAACAGTATTTACGAACATAGAAATCTGATAACTAATATAGAATAGATAAATTATGATATGTCTTACCACGCAACATTTCCATGATAATTTACAATCTACCATAAGTAAGTTACAATCACAATGATTTGAACTGTAAGTAGATGATTTGCATTCCCTATTATAACTATTAATTCAGTATGTGTATATATATATGTCTCTGTCATAAAAAGTCAGTGCTATATTAAAACACAGTATATCCGAATTAGAAGTTAACTAAATGAGGATAGGCTAACAGAATTATCCTAACATAGATATTTCTACTCTAATACAGTATATAAGACTGTCACAACCTAATACGAGATTTTTATTAATGATAAAAAGATTGAGAGTAGGAATAAATGAGAAGAAATTATAGTCGACTACATTATTTGTAGCAACCTTACTTAAAAGTGATTGCTTTGCGCCTTATCTTTACAATAAGCAAAACAATCCACGTATTCTATTAAGAATAGATTGAATGAAATTATATCCGATTTCTATGTTCATAGTGACCTGATAATTGAAAGCATAGCAATCCTTATTTTCTATACGTTACTTAGCTGCAACCGCCTAAAAATCTAGCCGATTCGATCAAGTCATCCGTATTGTAATAATATAATCGATGTGTGAACATTAGCATTAAACAAACAATCTTTGATTCGCTCCATACTCTTATTTAATTACACAAGCAAAATGTACAAATGGTTATTTTAACACTTGAACTGATAGAGAGTGTCATTTGGTGTGTGATAGTTTGAGGGACTAGTATACCGGTAAAAATATAGACTGTCATTGTGTGTGCAGATTTTCATAAAATGGAAGCAGATACTTAAAAATATTTAAAAAAATAGAATTGATGATTTAATAATAACCAACATTTTTGTTATTGAAACTTGTACTAAGGCATAAAGTTCCTAATGGTTAAGGATTGATTGATAAGAGAATTATATTTTACGCCTATCGCGTTGCTATGGTTACTGTCCTGATTTATTTGACGTCACACTGACTTAGTAATAGCTTAAAATGAGCATTTTGACTATTAAATACTGTTACTATAGACTACAATAATTCATAGTTATAGTCACTTTGGCTGCTATGATGATGCTGGAGATAATAACATTACTTGATAAAAACATTTATAGATATTTCTCTTGTATCATACAATACTTGCAGCGATGTTATCTCATAATTGTAACATTTATCATTTTCTTAGGCTAATAGAAAGTCCGAGCGGTCGGAGAAGTTGCTATTTTGGAGAATAACAAAATGACGTACTAGAAAATGGAAACTTTATTAATATTATCAGATTGTAAGGATCATTATTAAACTAAACAGTTATCTATTATTTAATAAATATGCGCAAAAACCATAGATAAATTAATGTGAACTCATTCTTAGATTAGTTATCTTATGAAAATTGTGCCACGATAGCTATGCAAAAGTTACTCCGTAACAAGCAGATAATTTATTGTAAAAGTAATAATGGAGGAAAATTTGTGAGTAAAACTAAAATTTTTGGAATTCTAACACTAGAAAATTAAAGGGAGGTACCTCTGTTACGGAGCAAAGCACTGTACTTGCTAATTAAACAGATTTCGTTAGTATTAAGCTAATTGATCATATTGGTAATTGATAATTGAAATTAAGAATATTAATAATGTCTAGATTGCTAGACAACAAAGGCATAATTGTATTTTACAATTAATCAAACTGCCTACGTAAATTATGACTTACTCACGAATTTAGGAAAATCCTAATCTTCACCTTCTATCTTAAGCTAAGGCTTGAACTGCTTTTCTACTGAACTACGCCACTTTTTATATGCTACGCAGAGCAGTTGGTGGTACCAGACTAGCAAATTACTTTTCTAAAGCATTCCAAACGAGCTGGAAATTAAATACATATGATCTGATAAATTGTACTCTAGATTCCCAACATTTCTAAATATACAAACTATGCTTTTCTACGTTATATAATATATAACTATAAAAAAGACTAAGACGGACTAACAATCTTAAATTAGCACCTAGATCGAAACGTTCCAGTTTACACTGTATTCAATAGCAAAGTAACACTATTTCTACTGTATTTTTTAATCAAAATTGGCTACAAGTTTTTACCTTGATAAGAGCATGAGTATTATACTGACTAAATATATCACATAAATTACAACCTAATATCGTGAAATTCTTATCAAAATTGTGCTATAAAATATTTTTTGTTCCAATCCGAATAATGAAGTCGGGTTTACGATATTAAGTTAAATCTTCCGTAGTAAAATCAAATTAAGTTATTTTAAAAATACATTACTTATTAAAATAATAAAATGCTTGAAGAAAAATTCTAAAAATAAACCTTCACTGCATGAAGTAATGTGGAAGTATCAACATTGCAACTATTACAACTATTGCAACTAGCAAAATCAAAGGTAAAATCAGCAGTATTCATAGTTTTGAAAGTAATAATAGTCCCATGAAGTATCCTATGGCTAGACAAAATGGTGAGATTCTAACTGAAATAATTAACGAAGCATCCAAATAATGTTTGCGGCGCGATATTTCGGGTAGCAAAAATTAAATCGTATCTATATTTGAGAAAAACATAGAATACTTCTATTTTTCAAAGAGAAACTAAAATTGCGTTACAATCTTAATATACTACGCTTATGCTAATTACATCCAGCGTAATAGTCCATAAAATATCGAATGGCTGTAAGAAATAGGTGAGGCCGTAAGTGAAATAAATATCTAGACATGACAAACTATGTTTTCATCTAATGCGGACAACGAAATTATTTCTACAGTTACGAACAATATAGAATACTTAGATTCATATTTTTTTAAGAATATACTAGAATCACAATGTAATCTCAATACCCTACAATTAGACTAATTATATCCAGCTTATAGTACCAGTTGTACTTTATACTTTCGAGCTGATTAAATCTGACACTGAAATTGTGCCAAGCTTAAACTACATCATGATGAAGTCAATATCAGATAGAACTTGAGAAAAGTATTTGAAAATAATTATTATCTAGCTGCTTTCCTGATATATATGGTATGATACTTAACTTATTAATTCTCTAATATAATGATTTTTGGTACCATCATATTAACCACAAGAGCAACAAAATTAACATAAAATGTAGCATATGAACTTATCTAGACTATTCAATAGTATTAATTATTAGTCAATAATTGCTTAACTGGTAAAGCTGTTTCAAAGCATATTGACGTAAAATTAAACATTTTATCATTGATTCGAAATAACTAATGGAAAAAATTTAATTTCGCTATTTGATGATTTACTACGCAAGATTTTAAAATATCAATCGAGATATATTCACTTGAAACTTGGTATAACAGGGATAGAAGTAAAAGAATTACTTATATAATCTCGTCGAAATTTGGATGATTATGATACACCGTAATAAATAGATACTAGCAGAACGCTCGACTTACATAGATCTAGTAAGATACAACCATTTGGAAATAATATCCTAACGTGAACACATTAATTACGTATTAGAACTGCAATTAACTTTAAGTCACACTTTTCATTTACGATAGCATATGGCATATAGTGGTTTTATCGTATAACAATAGTCTTAGATACATATGTTACGTCAAAACCATTTAAGAACAAAATCTTTGTCAAATAAAATTTTCATTGCAACACAAGACGAAAATTTAATATCTAACAATTAGACTTTCATGCTTAAAGCTCTATACCGAATCAAATGGTAAGTTACCAGAAGTAAACAAATGCTTTACCGTATATCTCAATATTTAAAGTGATTAGTTTCTAAATCTTAGCAGATTGTTGATTTTCGAAACTATTAAGAACATAGTAAAACTTAAGTTAAAGTTCCTATGAGGAAAATGATTCTAAAATGTATTTCAACAGAATCATGTTTAGAAGCAAGTGCTTATAATATAGATAACGCTGGGATAAATGCCGAAATATAGTCTGCAACTATTAATTCTCATGCAGGATTCATCTAATATAAACAAAGCAATACTATAAGGTGCAATCGCTATGTTTTGGGTGTATTTCAAATTTTCATTTTATAAAGGCCTCATAGTACAGACCATTATTTAAAACTTGTATGAAATTGTTGCATTTTTGTACATCGTCGAAAGACAGCAAAGTAAATTTGATTTTAAAATGTTTTTATGATAATTCTATACATCACGATTAGAAAGACTAAATATTGGAAATGGTTTCTTTTGGAGAAAAGGGATATTGAAATAGATACATTTATCACTAGCATAACGATATAATATGTTCGACAATACGCATATATAAACTTCATTAAATCCAATACTATAGATTAGTGCATTACACAAAAGTGTAGCATGGATTCGAAATTTATACACGTGTAATCAAATCTACATCCTGAAAGAATCCTAGCTGATAAGAGACATTCATCGCGTATAAATTTTTTCGTGCTTTATGGAAATGGTCGCATTGTCGGTACAACTATAAATACTTGATCTTGAATTCTTGACATTTACCCAAAATTTTCGCTATTGAATCATACACATTCTGGTTTTTGTTCTGATATCAACATTCTAATTAACAAAAGAAAATCGATGTGTGTTATCTGAAGAAGTAGCGATTAATTTTATAAATTGCCAAGATCATTATCTTATAGTTGCAAAATTATAGTAAGATAAAAATAATAATCTAAACAACTGGCATTTGAGCTTATTTTAATCGTCTATAACCAATTTTTGGTTATATGGCAACTATTTTAAAAGGCTACTACACTACCATCCGATTGCCATTAATCGCTTTAAATCAACAGTTGCATATAGTCTAACTAAAAATAAGTAAATGAAGCTTAGATATAGATTTCTAACCAATCCTGAACCATGATCAGCCGCTGACTGCTTTTCATCTACATTGTACACACGAAACGGAAAAAGATTGCTTAATAATTTTCAAAAAGTATATATCTATTGCAGTGGTAAAGTTAAACTCTTTAACCTATTTCAGGGATATCATTAATTGAATTTCTAATAAATTGTAATTTTAAAACTTAAATATGTATTATTGATTTACTCACCTGCCATATTAAAACTATTGCGATCGCAAATTCTTTCGGAATTGGGTAAGATTACGGCTTTGTCGGCTGGCATGATCAGTAAAAGCAAAGATTAAACGAATATAGATCATAAGAATTACAGTCACTCGAAAAAAGATTTGGTGATAAATGCTACTTAATAAATCAATCTTAACAATTTCTATTTTCCTGAACCTTTTGCTGGATAGGCCGGAACACCAGATAAATAGAGGTAGATTGAACCACGCTGCCGAACTCTGTTTCGAATTTTAACTGATATTTGGCTTACACTAGCTGAGGAATTGGGTTGCATCAGTTTGCGATTTAAACTAGAAATGATATCATTTGTTTCGCGAACATTTGGGTGATTGATTTCAAATATTTGTAGTTGAATATCGAGAGATTTTTGATACATCAAAGAAGCATCAGCATATTTGCTTTGATCTTCGTAAGCTAATCCAAGATTATGATATGAATTAGCTAGAATCAAGTTATAATTATATCCCATTAATTTTATTCCAATTTTGATCGATTTCTGGTACATTGATATAGCAACTTCATATTTTGACTGTCTAGCGTATACATTTCCAAGACCATTATAAATGATGGTAGCAGTTAAATTGTTAGTTCCTAAAGTTTTAGTTACAATATCTAGAGATTTATGGTACATGGAGAGGGCATCCCTATACTTGGATCGATAAAAATGAATGTTAGCGATAGCATAATACGACTGAGCTACCGCTAAATCTTGATTTCCAACTATTTCTAGCCGAATGTTGAGAGCTTCTGTATAATTAGATAATGCATCCTTAAATTTATGTTGCATAAAATATCCATCTGCCAGTCCATGATACGATTCAGCAACATGAAGATTTTTACTACCTGCTGTATCTAACGCTATGTCTAGAGCTTTCTCATAGTACTTCAAAGATTCTTTACTTTTCAGTAAATACTTATAGATTCTCCCAATATAATTAAAAGTATTGGCAATATCGATGTGATTATCTTCTAGTAGTTGCTGTTGAATTTGGAGGCATTTTTCAAATGCGGTTAAAGCATCTAGATATCTAAAGTTATCACAGTGTAGTTTTCCAATATTTAGATAATTTTTAGCTACGTCTAAACTGTTATTACCCAACAGTTTTGATCTAATATGGAAAGCACTTTGATACATATGCAAAGCCTCTTCATATGAAAACTGATATTTATATAATAGCCCCATTATTTCTTGTAGCTTAGTATTATTTAGATTATCGGTTCCTAATACTTCAATTTGAATTGCTAACGATTTTCGAAACATATTCAAGCCATCTTGATATTGAAACTGTTTGGTATGGATGAGTCCAATATCATAATAGAGAGAAGAAACTCCTAAACGATAATCTCCTAAAATTTCGAATCCTTCGTTGAGAGATTCCTGATACAATAATTGAGCTTCTTGGTATTTAGTACGATGCTGGTAGGTGATACCTATTTTATTATTTACTTCATCGCTTGGAGATTTTTTATTATCTACTATTCCTAAGCGAATATTTAATGATTTCTTATACATAAATAGAGCATCTTTATATTTCAATTGTTGGAAATAGATTAAACCGAGAGCATAATAAATATCAGCAATTTCTGATCGATTATTTCCCAGTTTTTCTAATCTTATGTGTAAACATTTTTGATACATTGAAATAGCTTCTTGATACTTTTGTTGATCGATAGAGAGACGTCCGATAAAATAATACATAGAAGCTGCCTCTAATGCATCATGACCTGAAATTTCTATATGTATTTTTAATGATTTTTCAAACATCGATAGAGCAGAATGATACTGTAACTGCTGATAATAAACGAGTCCCAAGCATAAATAGGAATATGCCATATGGATATTGTCATTTCCTAAAACTTCCAATAAAATATCTTGAGATTTTTGATACATTAATAAAGCATCAGCGCGCTTGGATAGTGCAAAATAAGCAAGTCCAACATTGGCATAGGATCTTGCACTACCTAAAGTATTACTTCCTAATAATTCCAAAGTAACTTTTAGCGATTTTTGATACATAGAGAGTGCTTCTTTATATTTAAATTGATACAAATAGACGTTACCGATGCCATCCAATGACTTTACTATTTCAATATTACTATTTCCTAAGATTTCTTGTTTAATTTTAAGCGATTTTTGAAACATTGATATAGCGTCGCTGTGTTTTAATTGATAATGATAAATATTTCCAATGTAATTGTAAGTAATTGCTATACTTAAATTATTATTGCCTAGATTTTCAATCTTAATCTGGAGTGATTTTTCTAATAGAGATAATGCCTCTTTAATTTTGCCCTGATGAAAGTATAAATTACCCAAATTATCATAGATAGGAGTACTATTGATATTATTGCTCATGGATAATTCGTTAATGATACTGAGAGATTTCTTAAACATCGCTAAAGCATATTCATAATTGTATTTATAGAAATGAAGTAGACCAATACTGTTATAAGATTGAACAATGAGTAAATTATTATTTTTGTACATTTTCAATCGAATATCAAGAGATAACTGATATAGAGAAAGAGCATCTTCGTATTCGTATTCATACTGTATAGCATAGACATTAGCGATAGATTGGTAAGCTTCAGCTACAAATAAATGATCCTTTTCCAGTAGATCTAATCGGATTGCTAAGCATTTCTTATACATAGATAAAGCATCTTTAAATTTAGATTGGATGAAGAAAACTTCTCCTATTCCATGAAAGGTATCAGCAACATCTAAGCTATGCTCACTGACAATTTCTAATTTTATAACAAGCGATTTATCATAGTGGGCTAATGCTTCTTCATACACTCCATTTTTTCTATTGATACTGCCTAAACTATCGAAACACCTTGCTAATCGGATTTGATCGTCCATTCTTTCTGCTAATTTGACTGCCAGATCGCAATATTTTAGTGCCTGAACTAATTGATGTTGCTCTCGGAAAGTTGATGATATATTGATGTACAAATCACATAGTAGTCGATCTTGATCAATGCTTTCGCTATCTAAACCATTTACTGTTTCCATTGCTTCCATGTAATGTGATCTAGCTTGATGATGACATCCCTGACTAAAAGCCTGATGACCTTTTAGACAAAAAGAATGAATCTCATCCTTTACCGACTCTAGAGTTGTGTCCATATTCTTCCTTAGATTGGTCGATTACTTAGCTGAATAGAATCTCAACTGGTTTATGTTGGCGACACGCGAATGAAATATCAAGCGATAGTAAGTGATATCGAATAGTAGTTTCGATAACGCAATTAACAAAAATAAATCTTAAAACATTTATAGAGATATAGACTAAATAAAAATTATTCTATTAAAATAATGATGCGAATTTTGATAATCACTTGCACAAGTACATAGAATCAATGTATGAAATGAATTTCAGTTGACTTTGAGAGTAAATTTCAAGTTTAAAGTTGGTGATGCTGATAATTTTGCAATCAAATTTGTTGAAATCTTTTCTAAGATTAATTCTGTTGACTTTTGTAGAACAACCCAAACCAGGTAATAGATAGGATAACGAAATAGTATTCTGTGGATATGGATATTAATACTTACACCACCAACATTGCAATGTGACTTTCAGTTATTTCACAGATTGAAATTAGGAATTGCAACTTATATTAGCATAGAATGTAAGTCCTAACTTTCATCTTTTAATGCAAACTGCATATGGCAAACTTTCATTTCTTTAGAAGATATATATATACACCAGGCAAAGGATGAAAGTAATTATTTCTACCTCATATAAATTATTCATCAGAGCATAATTAACACCTGGAACAATACTTTATAAAAATAAATATTAACGTCTATAAAGTGGCGAATTAAGATGAGATTACCATGACGATAATTGTAAATACCTAAAATAACGAAAAGACAATCATTTTCCATTCATAACGACATTGTAACTAATGAGCAGGAAGTTTCTGCCTTTGGACGTCATAACTATAGTAAGACTACACAAAGTCAATAACACAGTACATATTTTACCTAGGGTTTAAATATACGACTGTGTTGAAGAATTAAACATTCCGTTACAGTATAGATTACATAGGATTAAGTCTTTTTTCATGTAAATCGCTGAAAGGTAGTAATTGAATTATTGCCATTTCATCGTCAGCATTCTGATTCAGATTGAATAAGATCCGATAAAAATATTGCTAAGTATGTTTTTTATAAACCTATAAACTTAATAATTTACTATATGAAATAATGGCTCTCAGAGTAGATTTAAATGTATCAAAGAAATTGGAACGTTGTCCCTCCACCCAAATAGTAATAATAAAGGGCCATTTTAATTTTAAGTCTAAAAGATAACTAGCAATAAATTGCTTCCATGTACAGTTATTTCACCTAAACAATTGTTTATTTTAAGTAATGCCAATCAGAAGGATAAATTTATTCGTAAGTTTGTTATGACCTAAACATAATAGTTTCGTGACAGTTTTCCCTATTGATCTTTCCATGGATTATAGACAATTATTCTTATTCTAGTTTATTACTTAATAGAATTATCAAATCAATTAATATTTTATATCTATACATAAAATACCTTTAATACTTTATGTAACATTATTAAAACAGAATAATAGTGTTTTACACAATTATTCGATTCCTGTAAAAACATTAGAACTTACATTATAGCTTTTAAAAACAAATAAATATTTATTAGCCTTAAATATCAGATATTTTCGTTCGTGTTCACAGTAATTTATTACGTATTTAGAATGAAATAGTAATTGAACACATTGTTACACCTTTAGAATACTTGCCTATCTTATGCATGTCTAATATCTTATAGATAGATGTTTGTTAAAATATGTAGCTATATGAAGCTTAGCAATAGGATGAAGTTTAATCTGACTGTAGCCGAATAAAATAATTCAATAGATAATTTTGCACCATAGTTTTAATAGCGTCATTTGAACTGAAACTATCACTAATTACGTACTTTGGTTATTATCATCTACATAACAATATTATTGTGCTATATAAGACTTTGTATACCTACACACAATGATTCAAATGCAAAACAAATGTTAGCCTGCTTGTTATGACCTTATATCATTCATAAATTAGGAATAGGATAGTCTTTTTGAATACCAATTACAGAACTGATAATTAATTAGTCAAAATAAAGTTAAATAAATTCATCGCAAAAATGAGGTATGAAATGGATAGATTATTAATCCGCTAAAATTCTTAAATATTCTACACATTTCTAATAATAATATACACGTAGTAATTTTACATTATTGGAATATATAAAAAGGAGAACTAAAAAATTGTTTAGTTTACTCCAGTTGTTATTTTTCTTCTAAATCATAACGGCATTAAATCGATATTGTTGTAGATATTCCCTTATTTCTACAATATCGGGTATGTTCTCATTTAATGTATTATAACAATAGAACAAAATCTTTTATATATGGATGATAATGAATTCTAGCAAATAGAAATTTAAATTGCAGCAAGTGCTAGCTATTCTTTTAGCATGTTCCTAAAAACCCTCCCTAAATTTTCAGTACAAATTGAAAATTGAAAGTATCTAATCAATGGATAGAATTCAAATATCATAGAAATATGGGAAATTCTTAAAAATCTGAACAATTTTATATTTAAAAGCAGTATCGATTGATTGGCTGCTTGATTGATTAATTGGTTTTACTTATATTTATCAAATCGCATTGCAATTTTAGTACGATTAAATTTTAATTTCAACTAGAGCTTAATTAAAAATATGGTCTTAAGATATCGAAAGTGACATGATCAAAATAGCTTCCATAGTCCCTAATTGTTATAAACCAGTGAAATGCCAAGTCAATATACGAACTAAATGTTCAATATTATTATAAGCGCTGTATGTATACTAGCACAATACGCTATATTTTCAAATTATAATTCTAAATGGGATTGATATCCTTATAACCGGAATCTATATATAAGGTATATACTAATCGAGTATCAATATAAATTAAAGTAGTTCTATACAGCTAAATAATTATGCTATTTCTTTCCGTTACCGTAAGAGATTATTAATAATTCACCTTTAACGGCGTAATTATTTATAATGGAATAAAGTAATATAAAATGAATGACAACAATAAGTATCAGTTTCTGTTGACATTTTTAACCTATTCAAAGAACAGATATCAATCAATATTTTATAAAGGATCGAGATCTAATTTCTTTCTGACAGCGGCGAATACATACTCATCACTGAACCTTTTATTGTACGTTTAAATATCTCACCTTCTAAGGAGGATTGCAATCCCATATTGTTAAGAAAATCATCACTATACATATTGAACTATCTACCAATAGATTATTTGTTCATTTGCTGCTGCTCAGAAATATCTTTTCAGTTTTCTTCCTAAGCAGGTTATTTCTCAAAAACATCAAATACGATATCATTCTATTTCGATTCTTGCGATATTTAAATAGTTTTCTGAATCCTATATTATACGTACAGCGATAAATAAAAATACTAATGTATTTCCATCTATTCATGTAGCACAGTTTTAATTTTACAACGTTATTGATTACAAAAAATACGATAGTAAAGTTGAGTTTTGATGCCATTATTTGCCAGCAAATTTACCTAAATTATTACAAAAAGTATACTTTGAAGAATATTAATATTTTTTCCATTTATTACTATAAAAAAAATTAGACTAATTGCATCTAAACTTATATTTAAGGCCGTATACCACATGATGATACAGTAGACCTTGAATTATTTTTATTTATACCTTAATTCACATTTTGCTTGAGTTTCCTTTCCTGCCATTAAGATGAGTTGCATAGACCTCTAGCAAGATATATAGCAGCATAGTTAAAATCTTAATTAGCACTATTACATGCTATAATATGAGTTAAGTGAAGAGTGGCTGTGTTGCAATAACAGTTGTAACAATTCTGGATTGAAAAAATTGAGTAGTAGTTTTGTTATATATCGTCTTTATTCCTAACAACAACTAAATTAAACGAATATAAAGAAGCTAAGTTGGCTATTGTCATAGGCTTCAACCCAACTTCTAGGTAAAAGTCAGGAAGAATTCGCTACTACTACCATGATATCTACATACTACTATCTAAAAACCTAACAAACGGAACTATACTGCATTTATTTTCGTTCGAGGAAAAATGGCAATATTCCATAGAACTTATTCTTCGTCATTCTATTAGAATTGACTTGTTTAAACTAATAAATAGGTGCATAAATGAACAGCTTTCATCACAAAAATACCAAATTAGCCTAATTAACTTAATTAGGCAACTGGATCAGTTAGTATCACCTTAGTGACGGAATTATTAATTGAGGCAAATCTAATTTTCAATAATATATGTAACGTTCTTATTTCAAATACTGCATCCTTTATGTCGTCTTTCCGCGATAAATTAAATATTAACGAGTACGATATCAGTATAATATCTTTTATTATAATAATTAAAAGAGAACAACTTCAATATTTCTTTAAAGGTTTCAATAAAAAGAGAATATAATAACTTTTACAAAATCCTTAATTAGAAACTAAGTCTTTTAACATGTATCCAAATTTGTATTTCATTTATGGAAATTTGTAACAAATATGGGATTATATTGAAAATACTAAGATATTAGTTTATAAATACGTTGATGGTTACTCGGCTAATAATTTAGAATCTGAAAATTTTTATATCTAAATTCAGAAATCAGTTATTGTATCTTTAGGCTACACTTGAATCATATTTGAGTATCCCAAGTAACTTAGTCAGAATAAAATTTGAATCGTTTTTAGGAAATAATGCTCTTGAAATTGCAACTTTATCAATTAGTGCACATTTCGTCAAATTATCAATTTTATTACTATAAGAATTAAAACTCAAGTATAGAAATTGTTCCTAATCAATTGATTTTCGTATCTAACGTCTAATATTGATATAGTATAATACAAAATTTGTTTGTTATAAACTAAACCATCGTTATGAACCCATATTGCAAGATTATAACAAAATAATTAGTCTTGGCCATTTGAAATTGACGGCTAAGTATTGATTGCTTTTGCATTTGGAGATCAGAACTCTAAGTTATAAATATTGTTAAATTTAATATTAACAATTACATTCAACTAAGATATATTGAAAAATCTTGCAGGATTGAAACTTACATCAACTAATTTGCTAGAATGTTGAAATATTTTTTTACCTATTGCATTATACATAATCTTGATTCTCGCGTTTTTCTATTTTTCTATATTTCATGAAATGAAACTCACAATTAGATCAGCAGTATGTATTGAGTTCAATAAGGAGCAAACTAAAAAGACACATTCCTATAATAGTAACTAAATCAAAATAAGATATAAGGAAGATTCCATAAATTGACAGGTGCAGATTCAGGACCGTAGTCATCAGAGATTAACATGATACGTTTCAGTGAGAAATTAGTTTTTTAGGGTGCTTTAGTATATATGATTAAAGATTTTTTACTGTAAACTAGTAGATAACACTAATCCCTAAATAGTTATGATACGAATGATTAAGATAGAAAGGTAAAATTTTTCAGACTTAGAAACGGCACACATCCCTGTTCTTCTCTGGCAGCAGCAAGGACGTGCAGGACATTATGAGATAATATATATTTACAATGATCCCAGCATCCAATTTTTATAAAGATTTTACTGCATCTATAGTCAATGTTTAAAAAATTAAATTGCGTTCTCGATGAAATCTTTAATTAAGTCTGAATAGTTCTTTGCATACAACACCAACTACAGAAATCGATTTATTACTACTTTTGGGTGCAATAAGATGCTGCTATGGAGAAAACTCATAGTGATAATGATAATAATATTGCAAATTTGATTTGGCGATATAGTAATCTATTTCTACAATCATTAAACTTGATCCGTACGGGTATGTATTTGTGCTAGCCTTCATTATATATGAGATATGGATATACAGAGCTATAATCTACGATAATTTAGTTTTATGCCTATAATCGATTTGTTGCTAATTTTTGATGCAATAAAATGGTATGATGGTAAGTAGTCAACACATAATGATAATGATAATTAATAATAATATTGCATATTTGATATGCGATATCGTAATCAATCTTTACAATCGTGAAATTTGATCTATACCGGACTATATTTACGCTAGCATTCATAAAGGGGCATCGATATGTAAAGCCGTAATTTTCAGCTCTTTAATTTTATGCCTAATTAGTTCACTAGTATACAATTTTGTTTATTACCAAAAGCATTTCTATAGGAAAATCCTGAATAATTCTTACCATTCTTCCAGGATTATAAGCCGGTATACCATTATTATCTATAAGTGAAATGGAATTTAATACAATCTATTACAATTATAGCCTTTATCATAAATCCACATTTTGCTAGTATTTGATCTTAATGTTTGAAATTATGCCAATTAAATAGATCAATAAATTAATTAGAGATCAAAGCTAGCATTACTCAGAGTGTTCTCTTCTGCTTGGCATCTTTCGTTGTGTAGTTCCGTCGTACATTCTGCTTACAGAAATTTAAAAATGAGAAATATAAAATTATTATAAAGCTATAAAGCAAATAGGTCTACAGTTTTATCCTTTATCGTTTAGTCTGGACAATCATCTCACTACTTTATAAAATGGAAATTAAACCTTGTGATTTAATTGCAGACTCGATTTGAACAGTTGAGGTTTGAGGTTGACTAGTGCAACGTTGTCCGATATTATATCGGATTATAGAGGATAACTGGCCAAGCGGAAATGAAGAAGTATTTTGCTTCTGCTTCAATCTCGCTAAAATCTCCTGAGTATTAGAAATCCTGGAATCTTTCCGTTTATATAGTTTAATTTGGATTTTGAGAACATTCTCATACATTGCTATAGACTCTTTAACTTTAGATAATTTCCTGTAAACGCTACCCAAATTAGTATATAAGTTAAGTATCTCTATATGGCAATCCTCTAACAACTTTTTTCGTGTATTAAGCGATTTCTGATACATATTTAGGGCATCATTAAATTGGCCTAAGCGAAAGTGGGTATTAGCAATTTTATTCTGTACATTGGCAACTTGTAAATTTTCTTCTCCCAATACTTCCAGTCGAACTTGAAGTGATTTATGATACATATCCAGCGCATAAACGTATTTATGCTGGTGACAATATACCTGTCCAATCCGATTGTAGGAATCAGCAACATCCAAATTGTTCTCTTCTGAAATTTCCAAACGAATATTTAATGATTTCTGATACATGGACAATCCTTCTTCATATTTTTTTTGACTACAATAAATTTTGCCTATATTATTATAGCAATCTGCAACTTCTAAATTATTCTCGCCGAAAATGCTTAATCGAGCAGCTAAGCATTTTTTACTCATTATCAATGCATCTGCATATCTGTGCTGGTGATAGAAAACATCGCCGATGTTTTCGAATGAAACTGCAACTTCTAGATTTTCACTTCCAAGTACAGCTAATTGTATCGTTAATGCTTTATTATACATTGTTAAAGCTTCGTCGTAATCCGCTTGTAACGAATAAACATCCCCTATATTTGTATAGGAGCCAACAATATCCACATGATTATCACCTAATATCTTTTTACGAATGGTAAGTGATTCATTATAGTTACTCAGTGCATCTTGATACTTATGCTGCTTTTTATATACATTACCGATATTATGATGGGAATTAGCAACATGGATATTATAATTGCCTAATACTTTCTTTAAAATATCCAATGATTTCTGATACGTCGCTAGAGCTTTATCATATTGTGATCGATAGCAATGTATTAATGCAATATCTCCATAAGAAGAAGCTGTATGGATGTTAGTATCGCCTAATACTTTTAGTCGAATATCTAAAGATTTCTGATACATAGCAGAGGCTTCGTTATATTTTGATTGATGAGAAAAGATAACTCCAATGTTGGCATAAGACATCGCGATATCTAAATGATCTCGTGGTAATATTTTCAAACGGATTTCTAGCGATTTTTCGAACATAGATAGGGCCTCATTAAATTTAGACTGATTTGTGTAAACATTACCAATATCGCTATATGATTCCGCTGCTTGTAAACTATTTTCTCCTAATAGTTTTACTCGAATGTATAGAGACTTTTCATACATCAAAAGTGCATTTTCATGCTTAGATTGTAAATTGTTGATCGTTGCTATATGATTATAAGTAGTAGCTATTTCTAAGCTATCCTGAGGTAATACCTCTAATTGAATTTTTAAAGCTTTCTGATATGCTGATAAAGCATCTTCATATTTAGATTGATAGCAGTAAATAAGTCCAATATCATTTAACGATTCCGCTACTTTCGAGTTTGTACTACCTAAAATTTCCGATCTAATCTTTAACGATTGCCTATGCATTATGAGAGCATCGTCGTATTTATTCTGATGAGAAAATATGATTCCAATGCTATTATAAGATGCAGCCACCAACAAATTATTATTCCCTAATAATTCAGTTCTGATATTTAAAGACTTCTGATACATGGCTAAGGCACCTTCATATCTCGATTGTAATGAATAGATATTTCCTATATAGACATAGGAAACGGCAATTTCCAAATGGGTACGTCCTAACGTAACTAATTTGACAGCTAAGGACTTTTCAAACATTAATAAGGCTTCATTATATTTAGATTGTCTGGTATAAACAAGGCCTATGTAGTTAAATGATTGAGCAGTTTGTAGATTATTATCGCCTAATAGTTGCAATCGGATCTTCAAAGCTTTTTCAAACATTTCTATAGCCTCTTCGTACTTAAATTGACTCAAAAAATTATGACCAATATTATTGTATGAAGTTGCAATTAATAAATGGTCCTTTTCGAATAATTGTAAGTGTATATCTAGAGATTTTCGATACATTAAATGAGCATTATAATAATCTGATTGGCGATTATAAATATTTCCTATGCTATAAAGAGATTGGGCCACATAAATATTATTGTTTCCTAAAATATCTGCTTTGATATCATAAGACTTTCGAGCATAAGATAAGGCATCTTCATGTTTCAACTGTTCTGAGTAAATTCTTCCAATATGATTATAGGAATCAGCTACTTCTATACTATTGATATTCAGTAACTGCAGTCGAATTGTGAGTGCATTTTGATGCATAGATATGGCTTCACGATATTCAAACTGTTGGATTAAAACATTTCCAATATTGCAATAAAGATTGGCCACCTCTACGTGAGTACTACCAAGGAATTCCAGTCTAAGATTGAGCGATTTCCTATACATTACTAAAGCTTCATTATATCTGCATAGAGCAGTATAAATGTTTCCCACGTTACAATAGGACTGTGCCATTTCCATACTTTGACCCCCTAGTATATTCAAACGAATATTTCGAGATTTCTCAAATATAGATAATGCCTGATCATATTTACATTGATTCAAGTAAACTTGTCCTACACTGTCATAAGAACAAGCTATTTTTAAGCTGCAATCGCCCAACTCTTTCAATCGAATATCAATAACTTTTTGATACAAAGATAACGCATCTTCGAATTTAAACTCTGCCGCATAAATACTAGCAATACTATGTAATACCTCAGCAATGTCTAGATTTTCAATATTTAAAACATTTGATCGAATATTGAGGCATTTTTTATACACAGATAGAGCATCGCTAAGTTTGAATTGATCGAAATAGGCATTGCCTATGCCGTAATAACTATCCGCAACCATCATATTCTCACCATTGGATATTTCCGATTTCAATTTTAGAGATTCATCATAGCATTGAAATGCTTCCTTATACAATTTTTGCATTCTACTTATTTCACCAAGATCATCTAAACACAACGCCAGGCGAATTTGATCTTCTAGCTCAATAGCAATCTTCTTAGACCGATCGCTTATTTCACGTGCTTGAGTTAACTGATGCTGTTCTCGATAGGTAGCAGAAATATTGAGATAAAGATCGCATTGTAAACCATCTCGTCCAGTATCGTTGTTCGTTATGTTATAAGATATATCTAGTGCTTGCATATAGATTAGCCTTGCTTGCTTATAATTCCCATCACGATATGCACTAACGCCGAGACTCCTCAGTTGTTGAATCCTTTCAAGGGAACTTTGATCATTATCTTGATTTTTCGATTCCGTTATGTTAAGGATCTTTCGGAAATCCTGTAAAGAAATGTTTACTAACTTATTACAATGGAATAGCAGATCACAAATCTTCAACTATATAGTATATCTACTGATATCTTACCATTAATATATTTCTAAAGCAGGTATTAAAGTCAGGAATTTCAAAGTTTAGGAAATCTTAATTCGAATTTAGAGGCTTTGCCTACGTTAAATGATAATTTTGGTTAATGATACTACTAAAACTCCGGTAGTCCTCTAAATAGTTTGCTGATTGCCGCACTGTGCTTGTTACCGTGGATAATCATGGTGATTTTGCCCATAATTCTATCTAATTACTTCGGCCAGCTGACATATATTGTGTCCAAAAATGTGCAATATCTTCCTGGAAATTGACTGATGGTGCATTACGAAAAGAATTAACTTTTAATGTTTCATTCTGAACAAAAAAATTCGAAAATTGTCAGATTATGCAGTCTTATTGTTTCTGATACAGGAATACAGAGAAATACGTAATTGAGTTATTATCTTATTTCTTTTAGTAATTATGAAATCTTGATTGCTTCTAGAGCTGTCAATAATCATAAATAATAGGCGAGACAAATTCAAGTTACTCTATACTCTATACAATGACATATTGACGGTGCTAGTTTAATGGTTGTTATGGCGATTAGTAACTGATAAAATCAATGTCATTTAATATAATTTGAATAAATTCCTGACGGATCCAATTAAGTTTTCAATAGTTATAGTTGTTGTTTTATTCAGTGGAAAGCTTTTTCTGTAATTAAAAATTTCTGTCGAAGTGGAAATTAAATATGCTTTATACGTAATGAAGGCGGTAAACATTGGTTACATCAAGTATTTCCATAAATATTGCCATTAGTAGCCGTATTATCAAATTTTTTCGCTAAGGTTTACTTTTTTCTTTCTTCTCTAAGCCTGATATCATTCGGTTAAAATCGTACTTAATCGAAGTTTAAACTTTATTAATAAAAAATAGTGCTAATAGTTCTATACTTTAATTGTCAACATTAATTGTTTAAGAAATTCCAATAGCAAAATCAATCAATAAATTCGCATCAAGAATCTTTATATTTGCAGTAATGAATCAGTGTTTATAATTTGATAATTAATGCACTGATCTGAACTGCAATTTCTATTTTTACTCGGTTCAATATGTGGCTACCTAATAGGAATAAGCTTCCGTTAAAAATCATATTACTCAATGAAATAGCTAGTCGGTGAACTTTTTTTCATCTCTTCAATTAATCAAAGCTCAGGTAGCAATCAATTAGCCAAACATCATGCTACGGTGCACTCTAGATATCTATGAATTTCGAACAAGCTCTGACGGATTAAAGTTATGCAAAACAACAGCACATCTCATATGCAATGTCTATTAATATCTAAATGAATTTCAATTTGCCATATGAATATAAATAAATAGAAATTTAGTAACGTAAAAATACATCTTGTATTAAAATAAATCTCCAAGTGAACCTGGCTGATAAAAGGCAAGGTAATTTGTAGATTGATGCATTAATTTCTATATTTCGCAACGATCGATTAAGAAATGAATACATAAACGTATGATCATGATTAATACAACGTGAAACTATAATTACTAAAGTAGCTACTGACAAATAATTAAATAAATGTCTGTCACAACCCTCACTTGTGGCATAGGAAAGTAAAGAACTCTAGTGTAGTTACTTAAAACTTGGGCTATTTCTGTAGTGTATTTAGAATATTCTGTAACTATATTCTACTCTTAAATATAGACATGTTGTATTGCTCTTATATTTAGACAGATCTACAGTCCGCTTACTCTACATTCATATATAGACTACTGTATTTAGTTATTACGGTACTCGCTGTTTTCTACAATCATCTGCTATTTTGTAACCTGTTATGGTATATGTTGTATCTAATTCCGCAATCCTATTCTCTGCATGTGCTCCATCTTTAAAACTATAAGTACCGGCGATTTCTACCTCAGAGTTCATTAGCCTCTCAGTTAGTCTTCTAGTTAGTCTCTCACAGTCTAATACTTCTACTCGTTACTCACGACTGCTTGCACGCTGATCTACCGTAACTACCTCGCTGTACTTCACATTACTAACCTACAATAAAGCATAACTTTTATAAACCCTTTGTTGTAATAATAGTAAATGGCGACTAAATCTCAATCCTCTGAGATATCGAACCCTCCATCACAATTTCTCCCAGTACTTTCAGTTTCTATGAGAGAAGTATTTGAGAACTCGATTTCTCGGCTGATCTCCACAGACAACTGACTAATTATTACACTGTTCTTCACGATATGAGTCTTGGCGTTTCTTGAGCAATACTAACTTTATTCTACGAACACACGCGCTTAAATAGGTTTCTACAGTGAATTTCAATATTAACGAGTGAGAATTCATACTTTACAAGTTACATCAATTAGTATAATAGCATTACTAAATATGCATATCGATATTCTCAGACTTAGATAACTACAAGCTATCAGGTGTTAAGACGCTTAACCTTCGTCTATATGCGGCTCAATTTTTAGAGATTAACACACCTTATAAACCTACAGTAAATTAGCTGTTAACAACTTCTATTTCTATCTCATTTCTACCATCCTATTATCAGCTACAAGCGCATTAAACATAGCACATAACCTTATCTTATCTATTCATAAACATTTATTAATCAACAGTTACTTCATTAGTAACGGCGCACCGTGACAATGCCTATAACTGACTAATATTCAACATTGTAAGAATTATAGTTGATGAGTGTAATGATTGCATTGATTTTAATTCTACTATACGCATTTTTCTGGAGTCTTAAACAAGATGCTAAGATATTCAAATAAAGCGATTATTCAACATTTTATAGAGAGAAAGATAAAGATAACAAGTAAGAACATAAATAAGTGCAGAAAACATCAGTATGAAAATAATTATTTAGGATACTCTTAATTTTTGGCCATCGTTACTCTTAGAAAAATGTAGTTAATTCAAATGGCCGACATAAATACTATTCTACTATAAAATTCAGTAGAAATTGAAATATTTTTTATTATTAGTTATATTAAATAGTCCAATCATTTGTGAAATTCATAATTTAGGACAATATTCTTAGAAAAATGTACCCGATCCAAAATTCTTTACTACTGGTATGCTCGTAAAAGATTCAGCATAAAATTTAATCTTTTAAACTATTCGTATATTCAGAAGATTCATTGCTTGTGATGTTTCTTCTCCGATGTGTTACGCTTAGAACGAATGACCAATCCAACTGTTGTTTAAATACAAATTTCAAAATACAAGCTAATTCTTCTTTTCAAGTATCACAAAGGCTATTCATTTATCGCATATGCTACTACCCTACAAGTATCATATTAAATACTGAAGTTGAACTGTTATATTCCTGCATTACGAGGATTTAATGTTTTTTACACGCCTACTTTGGGGTCAGAAAGGATACGAGGATACCTCGTCGATCGTTGCCAGAGACCACAATTTGTATATCAACTATATCGCTCTTTATAGTTTATATACTCTCTTTAATAGGAATCATACTTGGGTTGTATGCAATATCTAAGAAAAGAATCAAATATCGTATTTATCCAGTGTTATAAAACAGCTTTACAACAAGGTAACGTAATGTGCGATTGTGACAGCGTTATGTACTGTATTAGAGTAGAAATATCTATGTTAGCATAATTCTGTTAGCCTATCCTTATTTAGTTAACTTCTAATTTGGATATACTGTGTTTTAATATAGCATTGACTTTTTATGACAGAGACACATATACACGTACTGAAATTAATAGTTATAATAGGGAATGCAAATCATCTACTTACAGTTCGAATCATTGTGATTGTAATTTACTTATGGTATATTGTAAATTATCATGGAAATGTTCCGTGATAGGGCATATCGTAATCTGACTATTCTGTATTTGTCATCACATGTCTATGTTCGTAAATACTGTTGTCTGCATTAAGGGAGCAGTAGCTAAAATTGATATCTAATTCAGTAAATGATTCCGAGGTTAATTGTATTAACTATGACTCATGAACTATTGAGGAATAGTATATAAATGCAGTATATCGCTAAATAAAGTGAATTCTCAAACATAGTGTTTAACGTAAAATACGAAGCGTTTAAGTCTTTGTGTAGTCTGCTAGTAAAGCAAAAGTGTTTGTGATAGTGCAGATATCGTTCCTTGATACGTGGTTCAAGGAATTGACTTATAGATCGTATATTACGTTATCTTATTGCAAAGCTGTTTTGTGACAACGATCAAAAAGTCGATTCGCTGAACCAGGCATCAGGGCGCATTTATAGACACTTTTACAATAGTTCAGACATCTTAGTTAGTAATATTATCGTTGAAACCTTCTAATGAATCTAAAGCTAATTTTACCTACTGCTACCTATTGAAGTCGACAGTATTTAGAACATATCCATCTAATGACAAATACAAAATAGTCAGATTACAATACGTCCTATCACGGAACATTTCTTCGATAATCTACAATCTATCTTAAGATAGTTACAATCATAGTGATTTGAATTGAAAGTAGATTATTCTCAATTCCTCAATTTAACTATTAATTTCCATATAAGTATAGATGTTTCTTCTCTAATCTCGATAATACAGTGATAACACTATGACATCCACCTAATACGTATTCAGTGATCGATGAATTCATGAACTTATAGGCAATTTATCAAATATTTGGATAGCTTATCATGCTCGATAAAATTATATTGGTTTAATTCACAACATTCCAAGGAATTAAATCATTTCTTGATTACTAATTTAGTGCAGTCTTGGCAGAAATTTAGCTTATTTCAAGATACGAGCATTATATTGCATTTGTATATTCTGACACAATGACAGTAGCATAAGGTATTACTTTTGTTGTCAAACTCAACTTTAATTTTTTGGTACATCACATTATACACGTAGCATCTTTGAATAAACTAGTTTTACTACTCCGTTAAAACTTATTTTAATCAAATAATTCTCATCTGTTAAGGAGAAATCTATAATAAAAAAAACTATGTCGTGAATGGATTATATTGATTTCTTAATTCCCTTTGCTACTTTATTTACTGATATATTTTGATGTTCCTTATAAATTAATTTGATTAACTGCTTATATAGTATTCATGTAAATACTAAGATGAATGACTGCCTCAAAGTCTAAACTTTTAGATTTATTATTTTACCTTGATAGTGATCTCTAAAGACAATAAACCCGTTTTAATTAGTCCTTGATATTCCATCATTATTTATATGCATGCATATTTAAAAATCTTTTTTTATCGTAAGAAGAAATTCATTAATCATTGTAATTTATACTGTTCGACGAGATGATCATTGTCCTTCTATTCCACTGCCATATTACATATGCTGCCCAAAGGCATATAAAATCTTACATCTATTCAAGGTTATTTCAACCGTCTTACAAATAATGATTACTGTTTCAAACTAGTTATTTACTTCCTATCTTAATAAAGCTTCATAATTAACTGAAGAACTAATTTCTATATTTCATTTGTATGGTATCAATAAAATTATTGTTGAGCGTAGTCATTTGTCCTATATTAATTTATTTGATTTTAATCTTAAGAAATCGTTAATTTAAAATCCTACATCTATTTAAGGCTATTATAGTCTATCTCACAAAAAATGATGACATTATCACTCTAGTCATTTATTCCATACCTTAAAAAGGTTTATAATTAATTGAAGAACTAGTTTCTATCTTTTAATATTACAGCATAAGTAAAATTATTGTTGAGTGTTAACAGAATTTGAATAGTCATTCACTCAATATTAATTCATGTAATTGTATCTGAAACAATCACTAATTTGATATAAAAAAACGAATTTATTATGATAACATACTTTATTTGCATATAACAGTGCACAGATAATAATCTCGATTCGAGCATATTTTTCAAACGTCACGTCTGCTAATTACTTAATATTTAATTTTGATTTCAATATAGCACTGAAAGCTTAAAACTGAATTACGACTCTAGGTAGATATATTCCTTACTTTTCAGTTAAATCTTTGAAATCGTATGATATATGTAACGATGATATCTATTAATTTAAATTGAGCCAATAAAGTACAATTAATGATGAAGATGACAGAAAATTATTAATAATTTGCATTAATGGAGGTAGACTTTATAATCATTAATGTTTACGATCGATACTGCAACTACAATAGATAGATGTTATAAATCAGTAGTAACTTTGCCATACATTACATTAATAATATTAATTAAATGACAAAAAACTATATCAATTCTTGAAAGATTAATTAATTTCTTGGAAGCCTACATAAAGAAAATAGCATATATGCAAATGTGCTTCTGATCCCAAAATAGAATTCCTAAATATTCATTTTTTGGCATATCTTTTATGTCATAATTCTTGATTCTTAACCTACACAAAATCTTGTAATAATAGCAGCATTCAGGTATGGAAAACGTCTAATTTTATTAGTTTACTAGTTGATCTAACTGGTTAGACAGTAGTTTATGTATCTAAATCATAAATTTTTATTACTTTAAGCTTTTATTGCAAGCCATTCCTGTGGTAGTGGGTATCGTAACAGTCTGTTAATGAACATAAATTACATAAAATCTATTTTACTTTCTCTAGTGTGCCATGTAAATACACGTAAGAATACAGTTTCCCATATATAAAGCCACTTACTTCAAGTATAACTTATGTTAAACATACTCAACTTAATTACATCAATGGCTGCTTTCAATTAGTAATATAGACAGTCTTTTAGATAAATCAGAACAGAATATTATATAATCATATCGACAAAGAAGTAACAATTATTATGATTGGAAGGAAAATAGCAAAATTCTCTCATATGTTAATTTCTGATATTTCGTAATAACTTCGTAATTAATCACGTGGGAGATTTAATGATTTCAATAATATTTTTAAAAGTTGTATCAATTGTCAGTTACAGAATAGTGGCGAAAAAACTTATTGCCGGCTGTGATAACATTCGCACTAGTAAATTTTAATAATCTATCATATCATACTTGCTCATAATTGGTATTATCAAACGTAGTTATATCTATGCAGAAAAAAATAAAAAAAACATTTAATAAATGCGCCTCAAAATAACTATCTTCGTCAAATGGTATTTTCTAAAAGGGCTTTTATTACAAGGTATTACGAATAGTAGAGCAATAATTAATTACAACAAGAATCCAGTCTAAAATCTAAAGTATTCCGAGCTCAAAGCGAAGTGAAGTCTCTTCTTCTTCGTGAGTTCGTCTCTACAGTTCTTATAAAAATTTCGTTAAATCCATCTATGACAACTTTATTAATCTACAATCAGCCAAGATTCATCAAACAAAATACTTTTCTCTAATAGTTCATCATTATTTTCTACAATCTAAATCATTCTACTTAAGGTGTCATTACTCTTCTATTAACGTCTAGGCCCTTTCTCCGAAGGGCATCTTAACAACTACACTGTTTCTAGCTACATAAATCTTGTATGATAATTAGTCAACTGGCTGCTATTAGTCATCAACAATTTCTAATATAGTAGTTAGCAATCATCTATTATTAGATTCACGATGATATCTACTCAAAGTAACCTAACTATATCAAATATCAAATATAGCTATCCATATAATCAAATATGGGCGCATCGCTACAATGCAAGAATAATATTATTCTCATTATATATAGGAATTGACAATAACTCAATAGTTTATAGAACTTGTACTTAATTGTTATAGTATAAATACAAATATCTTGCAATTTAAACTAGTGTAGCAAAATATACTCTTTATAAGCGCCTAGATAATGTAATAGTAACACAGCACCATAGCTATAATCTACAAAGGCTACATTTTAAAGTTTTCTTTTATCGAGTCTATTACCAATATGTATCGATATATAATGATAAAGACCAAGAACGAATTGAATGATTAACTTTATAACTATGATTGTTATAAAAATCATTTATTATCTATGAGTATAATTTATATTGACTGCCAATACTGTACTTGTATTGCGACTTTAAGGAAAAATGATATTGCTATCATCAAATCAAAAATTAATGCACAAAATTTAAATACTACAGCATTAGATAATTGCATTGCCATCTCTAGATGATCGTCACTATTCATCGCGTACATTATAAGCCAACCATAGTAGCTATTTAAGTATACAGTATAATATTTTGTATAAGTTACTATTAGCATAAAAGTTTCAGCATACAGTGAAGACGTTATGATAATTTCCTATCTCTTTAAACAGATAGTTATAGTAGTACTCTCATTGATGACTGTGTTGCTACATACTTGCTTTAACAAAACAAACAGAATATAGTTTTATATTAAAACTCAAGTAACATGTTAAGTAGAAAAACCTGTAAAGCGCTAAAGATTCTTTATTGAGAACAATATAGAGCAACCATGTAGTCGATAAACTAACGTTACATTCTATTTCCCGCTAGATTTCATTATTTAGAACTTATACACGTGAAACAGGCCACGCTTATCTAGCTAAATAGATTGCTATTCCATGATATTAACATACGAGTTCTTAGAATAAACTAAATGATGCTATATGAATGGTTATTGCAGGAATAAATTATCGTACAAAGCTTACTATTAAATCAAATCTTTAGACCATAACAAGATGTTGGTGACGTACTATGACTAATTGGTAAGACGCGATTATTTTTACTGTAGAGTGTATGCCAAAAATTTTTCTTCTTGGCCAAATGTATCATAGGATTATATAGAGGAGCAAATTGTAAGAGTATCCAGAATAGTATAGTGCAACTGTTAATAATATTACGATCATTTTGTGTCAAATGCGATAGTTTAGTATCCATATAAATATGAATAATTAAGCCAATAACCAAAGGAATACCTGTTAAAATAAAGACTATAGAGACAGCGATTAAAATTTTAACAGCAAGATTCTTTTGAAATTCGCGTTTTGATTCAATCCTTAAATTATTCTTGTTGGCTAAAGATGTTTGTTTCAATTTTTTAATAATCATTTTGTAGCAATATGACATGATACAAGCTGGTATAATGTAACCTACAACGACGTAGTAGCTAAAATTGAGGATAACTACAAAATGCTGATGTGCACCATGCAATACACATAAATACCTGGTGCGGAGATCGGCTTCAGTATTACTTACTCCAATAGCTGGAACAATAATAACTGATAGCCATAAAAATATTACTAATACAGCCATTTTTGGGCCAGAAATACGAGGTTTCATTGGATGAATGATAGCGCGATATCGCTCGATGGACATTAATGTTAGTGTACCTACGTTTACCGAGTAGAAGGTAGTTAGACAGAAAATAACTCCTTTACACAACCTGCTCATGATATGAATTGGCCAACCAATACCATTGAAAGCAAGAATTATTGGGCAGTAAATTAAGGTCGGTATGGTTGTTAATAAATCACAGATTGCCAGATGAATAACTAAACCATCAGCTGCAGTTTTCGTATGTTTTCTGTAGCTCATCAAAATAATGAGGATAGTATTGATCGTTAGACCTAGAAAGGCTAATAAAGTTATTGTAATAAATGCAATCAACATATCGGTAGGTAGATGCATGATCATCGTGTCATTTATCCCTGACATATTCATAGCAGAATCATTTAGCGAAGAACGATCCGTCGATCTTAGGCTGTAAACAAGTAAAGAGTCCATATTGAAGGATACTGATGTCAATTTCTTTATTGTAAGTGATCTAAATATAAGATTATTACCAAATAAAAATCTTTACTTCAATTCGTAATTACTAAGATAGCTATAGTTTCAATTGGGAGTACTACATCAGCTACCTACAAAATTGCATATAAGGAAGCAAAGTCTTGACGTTTCTTTTAATGATAAGCTAGCCAATTTACGGAAATTTCGACTTTCCCGACCTTTGTTAAAAATATTTAAAAAATACATCAATGATTTAATTATTAATTAGTACTTGACAAGCCCACATCGTATCAGTTGCATCTATTATGTATGGTGCAGATCATTTTTCTAACATCTGGAGCACTAACACACAGTGATATAAAATTTATTGTATACTTATTTATCAGACGATATGTTACTATACATATCAGTCATTAATTAGCAAAACCTTCTATTGACGTTATCCTAAGCAACGGAGAAATTTTTATTGTAATATTTATCAGTTCTACTGTTCTAAGAATTAAATTTACCTTATAAATCAATCAGCTGGTAGTGGATATGAATAATGCTAGCCCAACTATAAACTTTGTAAAAGTGGATATCAATTGTACGTATTTCTTTTCAGTTGCGACAGTCTCAATCATTTTGCAATTGTGAATAATAGTTATATAATTTGCTTTTACAGGGTACTGATCCAAAGGCAGAAAATTAATAATTTTTCAGAAAAATTCTCGTTACATAACCTATGCCAATTAGCTAATTGGAATGATACATTCTGTTAAAAATTTTATCCCTTCAGGATACAAGATGGAAAATTTAATATTTAATATTGAAGTGGTTAAATAATGTTCTTACTCAAAGATATTAAAATCTTTTATTATAGAAAAAGAAGCTTGATCAATGATGATTGTTTAGGTGTTTTTGTTGGCCTCGATGTACCTACGTCTAAAAGACTACCAAATAATATCAATCTGAAAGCCTATAACACCTCTCTAAGCAGAACAGCTTCCAGTTGATAGAAATCTGATACAGTATTTCTTCCTGTTACCACAAGTTAATAAAATCTTAAGAAATTTATCAGTTCATTATATCAATTTCCTAAACGATTAATTTAAAATAGTAGAACAATGACCCAATTTATGCTCTCCATTACTTTGTTGCTATAATATTAATATATAAAACGATATCTTAGCAAGGTCTGTCAATCTTTTTGAAGGGATGCATTAAATTTTTATAAATTGTAATTAATCGACAGGAAATATATCTACGGACGACTAATCTTAATTAAAAATGTCTGTTAGCTTTGACAGGCTATGTCGCGCAAACAGCGATTGTCTGAAGTTTTCTGTGGCACAGTTAAAGATATACACGTTAGTAATTTCTATAGTAAAACTTGATTTTGGAAAATTCAAGTCAAGCAGTCTAATTATTATAATTAATGGAATTGGTTTGGTTGTAAAATTGTTATATTTAAGTTTTAGTTAATCAAAAAGCTAAGAATGCATAATGAATTTACCATTATTCTACTCATTTCAAATGATGAAAAGTATTACACGATCTCAAATTTGTTCATAATATGAGGCGAAGTAATGTTAATTCTAAATTAAGATTTGAAATATTATATATATGAAATTAATAAAGCAATTATTTTGTATCATACACGCTATTTAAATCAAAAAGTATTTATGTTATAGCGAAACTAAACATCAGACCAATGTCAAATTCGTAATTCTTTCAAGGACATCAGTTATTATTAAGATACTGTAATTAGTCGAACATTAGCAAAGGATTTGCAGTAAAATATCTATTCTATATGCGAAGGTAAAGAAGATTTAAATACTATCTTCAATTTTTAATTATACCATAAAAAATCCGGATATTTGGAGTCAGATACTCGGTATATTTGAATAAGGTATTAATTTAAAAATATTTTCTTGGAGATTGACGTTAAAGTTTAATTATGTTAGTCCAATTAAAATGTACACCTATATTCGTAAAATTTGCTTTCATTTTTTACCCTAGAAGAGATATGCTATAACAGTAGCCTTGTGATGATGTCCAAGTCTTTAAGCATTAGTATTTCTAGTATGGATTAGCTAAGACGGACTAAGGAAAGTAGGTTTGGCTGCAATTCGTTAGTTGCTATCATTACGACATTGAAATAAAAGGAAATTTAGACTCCAGTTATGTAAACATCGATCAATAAAGCCTCTCATTTGAGACTTTCAAGGCCCACCATGGATAAAATTGATGGCTTAGTACGTGGCCGACTACGAGATTGTCACAAAACAGCTTTGCAACAAGATAACGTAATATACGATCAATAAGTCAATTCCTTGAACCACGTATCAAGGAACGATATCTGCACTATCACAAACCCTTTTGCTCTATTAACAGACTACACAAAGACTTAAACGCTTCGTATTTTACGTTAATAACACTGTAACAGAGATAATTTTATTAAATCGCATATTTAAGCAGTGTATCAGATCTTACAATTTACACGACATTAGCAACATAGAGAATTGATATAAATTAGTTCTAAATGAATATCACGAAATTTTATTAAGTTGCTATATTAAGTTAGCTACTTCTCAAGAATATTTAGGTACTAAATATATTAGCGGAATTTATAAATATCTTCAAGTAGGAGTAATAGATTACGTGATCATATTTCTTTGGTCATAAAGCCTTACAAAACGCTTATTTGTGACCTAATTAACTGACTTTTCCAATTAATTTTACAAAAAACTTGTTCGATATTTAATACAATTAATAAATTAAAGTATTTCATGACATCAAAATCAAGATACAAGGACTATATTTATTTTTCGCTTAGATAAAATTGGCATTGGTCTTACTGTTCAAGTCCGGATTTAGTCGAAGAATACACACAACCGGTTAAATAGTCTAAGTTGTTACATTCCAAGAAATATATAGCTACTGGCATTCCATTACAAAATTAATCTAGAAATATAAAAATAACGGAATTAGCGTAAAACTGATGACTAAAAATAATACATTTGGCTTTCTTTTTTTAAAGCTAATTAATTGAAGATAATGCCCATGAAAAATTTTCTGTAATATTGAAACCTAGAAGTATTACAGATTGTACTAAAATATTATTCCATCAAGCTGTATAGAAATGATCCATAAATAATTCTTTATAGCTAACAAAGCAAAAATAGCAGCTATCCAACTCCTTTATATTGCGAAAAGGCCTATGTAACATCACCTAATTATTATTTCATAATCTAAAGAACTGATGCTACGGCAGTATTTCTGGCATTAATAATGACTTAATACCTTACTATAAATAGTTATCTGTACTCGAACATAGAATCTTCAATTACAGTTAATGGCTATGATCCACTCAATGTGCATTGTGATTAATATAGAAAGTTAACTGTCGCACATCATAATAAAGATGGCCAATAATCAAGTAATCTACAATTCATCACTAAGATATATTAAAATTTCATATAAGAGTTTTAAGCAATTCGAAAATAGAATTTTTATTGGGTTAAAAATGTTAGTTTGTGGGATGTAGTGATTTATATGTACTTGTGGTCGACTTAACGAAACTTTGACACTAAATAAAAATTGGGGAAACAACCGAACTATTTGTTAAAAATCTGATAGAGATAGATCAAAGAACCTTTTCATATACATATTTCTAAGTATTGTAAGTGAAGAAGTATAAGCAACAGAACTAAAACTGTCAACATCCAAATAGCCTAACAAAAAGAAGAACATTTTCACTTACAACAATTCGACCACGAAGGTCTTCAAAACTCAATAAGTTCTTCAAAAGAATCTTTATTTACTCTGTACTCTAAATTATCTCACTGCACTATTATTTATAGACTTTGCAAAGCCCTCAGTGATATTTAAAATTAAACATTTATTAATCACTCACTCTTAAAATCATTTTTAGAAAGCTGCTTTGTACCACTTAAGAAAACAAAAATCACTCAAAGTACAAGTTCGGACACATTTTACCATATGATTCCCTTACAAAACACTATAAAACCAACAAAGCAACCGTAAAATACATCAAGAATTATTTCTAACGTAATTTCTATTCATTAAAACATTTTATAAGTCTAAAAATTAACCTTTAAACATCAAGATTTTGTCAAAAAATAACAATCTAGCTACTTAACTAACACAACCTCTGCCATTTGCCATCTTATTTAATACTTTCTCAACTAAACTTTCCTAATGTAACTGTTAGGTCACGTCATAAAATTCCAAAGTTCAAATTTCAAAAATCAATTCTCGCAATATTTTCCAAAAATTTTATCGGACACCGATCCATTCCAGAATCTGAATCCGAAAAATTCAAATTTTATAAAAATCACATAATCGTATTGTCACAACCACGTTTTTGTGACACAGGATCTCTACTTATCGTGTAAAACTTAGCTAAGTACGGTACAATCCCGACACTGAACAAGTGCTACTGGAACTACGCTTCCTATTAGAACACTAACTTCTCGGGTGTGGGACTACACTTCTTTGACCGTCACTAGGTTACTCGATTACACAAGTAGTTGAGCGTAGGCTTTTGAACAGATAACTATCACTACAGTTTATTCTTTTCTATGCCTTTCTCCTCGTCCACATGGCATCATAGTTAGCCTTTATATACTTTCTAAGATATTTACTATTTACATTAATCTCACGTAGGAGATCTCACAGCCATAACCTCCTATCCAGTAATAATCTTACAACACGACTACAAATCGTGTCAGCATAAACAACTCTCTAACACAAAGGTTGCACATCATCAAGATTTATATTTATCTAGTCTATCCTCCTATTCGAATACATACAAAATAACTAAGGACAGTTGATCATCAAAACACCTTACTAACAAACATCATAACACATCAATTTCCATCAATAACAAACACCATAACACTTCAATTTCTATCTATAACAAACACCATAACACTTCTAACTCATCACGGCAAAAAGGTACCGTGACACGTATATTAAAAAATTTTACATGGCAACTATGACCACTGTTTCTAACGTTAGTATTGACCGTTAGTTTTTAGCACTAAGTTGTGCGATAACTGTACGATTATATCATACATTACAGTACTGCACTCTCATGTTATAAATCTTCTTTCTCTATGTATAGGACTTTGTTACTGAGTCAAATTTATTTATAATCCCAACATTATTCAACTGTTATTTTTAATCATCATAATATTTGTGTTTTAATTGTGATAAAATTGAAAGTAAATTTATTTTTGTAATCGCTGCTGATGTATTTCCTAAGTACGGTAGATGTTATCCTAGTATTTTATTGTCATAGAGCACAGTCTGATCCCAAATCTTGATCTAAATTCTAATTCAAGAATACTAGTCAGTCTTAATAATGTTTGATTGCATGATGTGCACACTCAAATACTGTAGACTGGATTAATTTCCGGTTAAATAATGACTATTATGAATTTAGTAGTGTTGGAGATCTAAATTATAATTTACTTTGACTATAGTGATTAGTTGCTAATTAAATTTTAAATATATCAAAATAATAATTCAGTAGTCTCATACCACTTACTTCTTTATGTATTATATGAAAGGTGGTTGGATTTGGTAATTCAGGAATTAAGTAGTGCAAATGTTAGTGAATTCAGAAGATATTAAGTAGAACATTTTCAATATCATTTATTTGATAGTATTTCATTGGTTAAGGCCGAGAATTTGCATTTTCTGTAATTCTTTCAAGTCCTTTTGTAACTGTGATGCCAAAATTATCATAAACTGTTTTTTCCCATAAGTTTTAGTTGGTATTAAAAAGATTCCTAGTTTTTATAATTACCCAACTATTATTACGCAAGATCATGCTCGAAAGGCTGTACAGTATAGCGCATTTTATATTGGTGTAATGTAACTTAGTATTGTGATTGTAGACTGTTAGCTATGTTTAGTATAATGTACGGTAGCGTAACTTTTATATTTATCCTAAGAGATATTTGGTAGCCATAACTATAGACTGCAGTGGTATAGACTCTATGCTAGAGTACAGATGGCTATATACAGTAAGGTTTTGAGTTACTAATAAGGTTATAGGTAAAAATAGCATTATAGATCATATATTAGGATGTGGTTAATTTATTGTACTTTGGCTGGTGTGAATAATGTCTACATAAGTACTGTAGTGGTATCCATATCGAATTAATGATGGTTCGCAGTACAATAATGTTACGAAGAATGATTTAACTATACGTAAAATAAGGTAAAAGGTTGCCGTGCGGATTGTAGCTGCGAATGCTACGAAAAGTATAAAAGCATGCAACTTTAGATTACTCTGTTAGTTCGTTCTAGAAGTCTTTAGTATTAGTATTTGGCTAGAGTAGAGCTGTGTGTAGTTAATCTTTATATTCAATAAAGCCCTTATTTTTCCAAAATTTGGAATTTCGTGATCGGTATATATTACAATTGGGAAACCGATTATTCTCGAAGAAATATTTTGTATTCTAGAGAAAAATTTATTTATAATATTACAATGCTTATTCCTTTCCCATGCTTTGTGCTGCTTAGTTTAGATATTATAATATTGATAGAATTTTATTCATAAGAAACTTATTCATTAGAAATAAGTTATTAAATTTAGTTTTAATGATAATTTTTAGCAATAAGTTTTCATTCTAAATAAATCTATCTCAAAAAGTTCACTATAACCTGATGTTATATTCTCACTTAACCTATAATATTGATTTGGCGTCATTATATATTGCATGGTAACATGGCACCTTCTTGTGCATAGAATACTATTGTTTACGATAAAATAATACAGCATTTGTACTTGAGGCAATTTTCCTTACTTACAGACATCATCACAGCCTTTTCGGTGTAAATTAAAGCCAGCGACAACTTTAATTCTCAAAATTCTCGAATTATTTTGCGAGCGGTCTAATCGTAAATAAGTTTCTATCGTGGTATTCGAGTGGCTGAGAAATATCTTAACAATTTAGAATCTCGTTGTATAGTCTTCTGTAATTTAGTCATATTCATTCCTTTTTCAGTATCGCCGTATGCTCAACTTCCAAAATATATAGAAATCGTCCTTTCTACTAATTATTTCATGTTCAGCAGAGATTAATAGAATGTACCTGCTCCAATCTCGTTTCCCTGTACAATTCTGATCCAACACAGGCCTTATATAATAACATTGTAATAAATATTTCATGATGTTAAATTGGCTAATAAACAATGATGTCGCATAATATTCTTGAAAAATTCTTATGAACATAGATTTCCATGCAATATGAAGTTATATCAAGTATATCACATGGAATGCTGATTTTATCACAATAGTTGCTTGCTAATGCACTATATCCCATTTTGTGACTTTTTGTCATCATTTGTGATTAATTAAGCCTGTGATACAGTTTTAATAATATTTTGTAATATAATATACGGCAAAATCAAGACTAGTCTTTTACTGGTGGCGATAATATTATTACATTCGTATTTAAATGGCTGAATTTATTCGCCCTACGGCTAATTAGTTGTAAATTAGATTAGGCTTCACTTACATTAAAGAAGAAATTGAGCAATTATAAGCAAGAAATTTTTCGATTATAATTATCGATAAAAATTGGCTATAATATAAAATTTTACCGATAAATGGTTATAGTAATTGCTGCTGTATAAACATGATTTTACCAGTACGAATTATAGCAATCGGAAAAGTATTATAGCTTTAATCACTTATTTACAGCTTCATGCATTGAGTGAAATATAATATGTGTAGGAAAAATTAATACAGAATCTTTTTCTGACCAATAGTAATGGTAGGTTGAATAATTATCAACACTTATAACGTAGTTATAGCTACAGGATACAACCGAAATTAACTATCTAATTGTCGATGTATCGATATTGATTAGCAAAGAAGAAATCAATAACGGAATATATTTCTGATCAACAGTAATGAAAGTTTGTAAAATTATCATCACTTATAACATAATCATAAATACTGGATTATCTAAGAGAAAAATATACCTCGTACGTTAAGGCAGAAATGGCAGTCAATCTAATGAGTCATGATAAATGAGAGTACTTTGTAAATGTCCATCACTGTACGTAATACCACCATAACTACTTAACTTTGGCAGCTTATTGAAGTGCCTCTTTCTCCCCCTACTTCGATACTATATGAAACGTCATGATTAAGTTTTCATTTTCTATATGATACGAATAAAAAGGACATGAAATAATATCTTCCAGCCTGGTTAATAATGAGTCATTACCAGATTTGTGAGTGCTATAAAGTATTGTTGTTCTGTTCTTAAATTAAGCAGAGTTTAATCGCAGTATATTTGTATAACTTATACTTTGATGTACGGGCATTTTGTACGTGTCAAAGCCTTTTTAATTCTGAAGACGACTACTCATTTAATATAGTAGTATGCAATAACTTCAAGATCTTTTATAAATAAAATTAAAGCATTTTTTGCAGATGATATTTATTGGAGGTTATAAGTATTCTTTATTGTTTAATTACATGTTTACGCCCATATCAGAAAAATTCTATGATACCTGCGGTATTTTAGTAGAACGTAAGCACATCAGAGTTAATATCAGTAGCTTTTACGTTGCAGCTGGGCATTGCTATCGGAAGTAATATCTTGATAACTTTCTACGTGTAATATAATATAATTGTCTTATAGTCGTATTTTCAAGGATGAGTAATATCTTCATAAATTATAAGAGCAAACAGAATATCATTTTATGTCATCAATTTAGACATCCCTTATTAACAAGTTTTATTTAATTCTGAAGGTGCTCTACTTAATGCAAAAGAGAATAGTTATAAATATTTGAGTAACTGCATCATCACTATTTTTCATAAGAATCGTCAATATACTAGACGTACTTTCTGTCGCATATATGCCTATCCTATATTTATTATTCGTATTCCAAATAGATACTATATTGTCTAGTCATACGAAATATAAATACACATTAGAAATGTAATGATTCTGAACATGAATTCCTCATATTGACCGTTAGCTTTATTTCTTATTTAGCATTTGAATGAGTCATCGCTGTTACAGTCTGACTTACATGTAAAACTGGATCAGTCTTGTGATTAAAATTTTGCCAGAAATTTTTCTTCTTGGCGAAATAAATAATAGGATTGTAAAGAGGAGCAAATTGCAAGAGTATCCAAAATAGCAATGTTAAACTATTGATCAGACCGTGATCGGAATGTGTCAACTGAGATAGTTTGCTATCCATGTAAATGTGGATAATCAAGCCGATAACTAAAGGAATACCAGTCAAAATAAACACTACAGAAACCGCCATTAATATTTTGATAGCACGCTTCTTTTGAAATTCGCGTTGAGATTCTATCCTTAAGCTTTCTCTGTTAGTTAAGGATGATTGTTTCAATTTTTTAATAATCTTGCTGTAGCAATACAACATAATACAAGCTGGTATGATATAGCCAATAATCACACAGTAGCTGAAATTAAGTACAACGATATAATGCTGATGTGCATCTTCTAGTACACATAAATATCCGCTATGAGGATCAACGGCAGTATTTCTTATGCCTAAGGCAGGAATGATTGCGACTAACAGCCACATAAATACTAATAGGATACACAAGCTCTTTCTAGAAACACGAGGTTTCATCGGATGAATGATAGCACGATATCGCTCTATAGACATTAATGTTAAAGTACTTACGGTTAAAGAATAGAAGAAAGTGAGGCAGAAAATAGTTGCTTTACATAATATATTCATCAATTGCGTTGGCCAACCGAAACCACGAAAAACGAAGATAACTGAGCAGTAGCTTAATGTTGGTATAGTCGTTAATAGATCACAGATAGATAAATGTGCAACAAGACCATCAGCTGCGGTTTTCTTGCGATTACTACGAATTGCGATGATAACAAGGATAGCATTAATAATGAAACCTATAAAGGCTAATAAAGTTAAGGTAATAAAGGCTATCACTATATCGGGTGGTAATTGAGTGGCCATCATATGTGTCATATTCATGGTAGAATTATTATGTGATGAATGTCCCATATGTCCTTGGCCCCTATTGCTTTGGCCCATATTTCCATGGTTCAAGTTCCCTATACCCATATTTCCATGACTCATATTTCCTAGGTCCATATTTCCATGACCATAACCAAGGCCATTACCACGCGAAGAATTCATGGAGATTTGTTATGGTGCTATCTAACAGATAATAATCCAAAGATTAAGCTTCAAACTAAAAATGTGTTGAAGTTGCTAATAAACGGCCTCTTTAATTCTGATTTCTGTTTAAATGATGTTATTACTATGGTACTCTATCACATTTGGGAGAAATAAAATGAGAAAATTTCTGTTCTCACAATTTCTATTAAAAGTTTTGAAAGAAGACAATTATTCAATTACTTTAATAAGTGATATCGATGTTATCTTATTCGCTGTCGATCATTTCCGGCTATGACTTTTTATTACAACATCTGGAGCCGAAAGAGATATCGTTGAATAAATGATGCAAAATAATATGATAAACTTATTCTTGAAGATGATTTACTACTATCCAAATTAATTATCCAGTCCAGTTAGAATTCTATTGGTGTCATCTTAGCCATTGAATATTTACAATTATTATCCTGATGATTAATCTATTCTTCAATTTTTGAAAATTAGCCTTATTCATGAAGGAAACCTTTAAAACAACCTTCTATTATAATATTTTAAAATGAAATTTCAAATCTATGAGTTAATTATTCATTTGTGCTTACCCATGAAGGACTAATTTAGCATAAAAGGTGAGCTTCGAAATAGCCAATGGTACCATGAATAGTTCGACGTGATCTCTAAAATAATAATAATGGGATAAATATCCCGTAAAGAATTGACGGGAATGGAATTGTAGATATACCTGAAATTAGCCTATTTGTTTCTAAAATTGATTCACTTGATATTATAATATCAATTGGCTATAGACGTAAGTCAAAGTGATCTGTATAAAATTTTTTACAATCTTATCGAAAAAGACTCCAAAAAAATTAACCTTTTCAATAGCGTATTCAAAATGTTAGCTTAGTTACCTATGGGCCAGCAAGATAACACACAATAACGAACACGCAATTAAAATTGAATTTATTAAGAATTGACAACAGAACTGTTTAATGAATCGAAGAATAAATTATTGAAGAACAATAGTCTTCTATTTTCGAAAAAGAGAATTGTATAATTAATATATAAACATTGTTTCTTTGTCTATTTAAATTTAAGCATGCAAGGCAAAGTAATTAAGAAAAAATAATTCAACCTGCAAAGGAGCTACTTTCAAAATTTTAAACTGAACTTATAATTTAACGTTTATAATTGCATTATTAAACAAACTCATCGCTATGTGAAAGTGCTACGTCATCACTTCATTTAATTAATGTAATTTGTGTCCATTGAATTCAGGAAAAAATTAAATAAAACGTATTATGCATCTTGATGGTATCTAGCTATTATTTTAATTAATGTACCTGAAATAGAAATAATGTTCTCTAATTCTGACTCTGACTCAACTATTTACTTACAATGCTCATTTTTCATCCATAATTATTATGAGAAGATTGCTAGTAATAATATCGTAAATAACCGGTTGCAACTTGCACGATAGCAATAGATTTTATTAAAATGTTCCTGACATTGCATTTAGACATTTATCGTTAATTACCAGTTTCGGACAAATGGAATAAACTGTAGAGATTTCTATTCTTACGATACGATCAAGATTGTGAATCAGGAGATAATTTTAAACAGGCGCATTTTCTTTGTTGATATAGCTAATTTGTTTTGTAAATTGCAATTATTCAAAAATAGCCTTTTAATAAATACTTGGATGGACCTTTATTTTATTTTTTGTATCCCAACTCGAGAAACTTGAAACTGAAAATTTTACGCAATTCTGACTTGCTCGAAGAGTAATATCATTGGTATTAGCTATTTAGGATAACCCTTTTAATACTTGTATATCTAATGATATTATTGCAGTTAGTCTACTTTGATCCTATTAACAACCTTTTGATCCATGAGTATCATTTTATTTTATCTATTGGCTAATATTGCTCAATTCAGCATCACTGCAGTAGTCAATCTCTCAACTACATTATATTCATGAGTAATCTCTAATAAGAGATCGTTCTTAATTATATGCGCAAAGCATACTTCTGCTAATTAATAAGTTATACCTTTATGAGTCTACTATCTTTATATCTCGGCGAGCAAGTAAAACAGTCAGAAGTTTATTGTTTTAGATGCTCTAATCAGTATTTATAAATCAGTTTCATTAATTCAGAATAACAATCAAGAAAGCTCTACTAGCCAAACTTTACATTATAAGGTTTCAGAAGTAAATATTTACTCCTCCTTAGCTATCTAAATTGACGAAGCGAAAAAACCTAGATAACTTAGAAAGCCAATATTGACCGGTAAATTTTATTTGCAATTAAAATGAAACATAAATCTAGATATAGTAAATCTACTTGAATCTAGCATGTGCGTAATTTATGAATAATTCTTTAAAGATCGATAATTTTCTTAGAAAACTGACTTTAACATAAGCAAGAAAAATTTTAATAATATCAGTGGCATTGCGTTTCAATTAGTATATTCTAATGTAATGATTTTAGGAAATATTCTTAATAAAAGTAGAAATAATGTCTCAAATTTTATAATTTAAACAATGGTAGTGAGCTGTGTTTAACCTTATTGTGACTTGCACAGATATACTGTACATCCCTAATTATTTATTTATTTCTTTTACTAATATTTACTTTTCATTTATTTTACTGATCAAACTAAATGTGAGGCTGTGATATATACCAATCACGAGATTCCAAATTTTAGAAAAATTAGGGCTTTATTGAATCTTATATAAGGATTAACTACACACAGCTCTACTCTAGCCGAATACTAATACTAAAGACTTCTAGAATGAACTAACAGAGTAATCTAGAGTTGCATGCTTTTATACTTTTCGTAGCATTCGCAGCTACAATCCACATGGCAACCTTTTACCTTATTTTACACATAGTTAAATTATTCTTAGTAAGACTATTCTACCGTGGACCATCATTAATCCAATATGGATACGACTACAGTACTTACGTAGACATTATTCACACTAGCCAAAGTACGATGAATTAACCATATCCTAATATATGATTTACAGTTCTATTTTTACCTATAGCCTTATTAGTAACTTAATTAATTAATAACACGTTACTGTATATAGTCATCTGTACTCTAGCATAGAGTCTATACCACTACAGTCTATAGTTATAGCTACCAAATATCTCTTAGGATAAATATCTACCGTACATTATACTAAACATGGCTAACAGTCTACAATCACAATACTAGTTACATTACAGAGGCATACAAAGCGAATTGCTTACTTTTATTCCGCTTAGTTAAATATGAAATGTTTCGGGTTATTTATCCCTTAGGGCCGCATTTTCTCCAACTCAAAATTCAAGTTATTAAAATGGAGCAAATCTTCAATATGACACGTATAGCCAACTTCACCTTTAACTTAAAGATAACATTTATTGGAATCCGTCTGTAAGAAAAGAATTCACTTATTTACTCTCATAAGAACCATTGAAAGTGGCGAAGATAAACCGAATAATCAATTTTATAGACTTTTCACAATAATTCTGTTCAATTTTTTCAAAATTCCTTTCTATATTCCTCCAAAAATGTTCTACGTATAGTTAAGATTTATATTTATTATATTGCTCAAAAATAGAATTTTATATGGCTGTTGGTTACGCACTTTTAATACTTTGAATAGTACAAATATACTGTTTCATCATAACAGCCATCTCCTATAAATATTTAAAAAAAAAGCTATTGTACATCATAGTGCTACATTATATTACTATTACACTCTCAAAATTCACCGCTGTAAGTATCTAACCCCATTACCAGCTTCTTTTTAACATTAAATCATGTTTAGGTGAAATAATTTACCTTATAATGATACTGATCTATATAAAAGATCAATCCAATTTTTAATTTACTTTGATTCTATTTGATGGTATAGATTTTTTACGTTTAAATTGATTACGTCTATTAGTATCACATGATCTACAATTAACCATGGTTTTTAATTCGCAGTGAATTTTTGGTGGTAATTATTGATTACTATCTAATATTATTTAAAATTCCTAATATATTCATTGCGGCAAAACAGCGATAATGAGTATCGTTAATATAATGTAGAAATAGGTACTTGCATAATCTTAAAATTAAACGTATAACTTGAACTATTTTCGTAAATCTTATAACTCCAATTATCAACTAACTTTGGGGCCGCTCTACAGTAATCATATCTATCAAAACCACTGTTACTTATAGAAATATTTCCATTTTCTAATATGTTTCCTGTTATATTTACGCCTAATCATGTAAGTATTTGGGTTTACCAGTTTGATAACAAACTCATAGTTAATGCCATTTAATTTATTTCTAGACTTCAACAATTACAGCAGATGTGTTTTTACCGCCATCGAGCAAAAGAAATACTAGATAAAATAACATTCTTTATTGTATTCGTGTAGGTAATTTTCTAGAAATTTTGAATGAATTACATAAAATATCTCAACGTATTGTAGAAAAGATATTAAGGTACATATTGACAGATAAGAGCTACTGATCCTAAAAGAAATTCATTACTAGACTAGAAGCTTTAAATTCTGAAATATTTTACAAGCTTCATAAACTGCATTTCTGTACCACAATGTTTTAGACTTTACCATCCGTAACAATTCAATCAGCTTTTCGTTTTTACTGGTTAAAAATACAAATGCAAATCGAGATTTTCATAGCCTATATTCTTTTTACTTGCTCAAAATTTATAAATAAAAGCAATAATTACTTATCTAGCTGGCTTAATTTGCTATGACTATGTTTTACTTTTATCTAATGGTGAGGCCAATCTATTATTGAGGTAATTTGGTGATTCACTATAGATGCCTTAAACTGAAATAGCTTTATTTTAACTAAATTGAATTACCATTCATTTTTAAGTAATGAGTAAGCTATAATAATAAGCTAAATTATTGTAAACTTCAATAACAAAGTCTATTAGTGTAATTAAAGCCGCATTATAGTTTAATCGGTATATTTACTAGAATCCTTTGGTAGCTTATTCCTTTACGATAATTATAAGATATCGGTAGTTATTCTTGCGTGACAACCATCATACAAGAGCTATTTAAATGATAACTATTATTATTATTTTCTTTATGCAGAATGCGGTTTTAGTTCAAAGAAACGCCAACACACATGCTAGAATTGTTCAGCTACTCCCATTTTGCAAATTAATTAGAGTTTTAATAAAGCAGTAGCTTATTTTATGGATGCTGAAAGTTAAAATATGTTTTAAAGCAAAGCTTTCCGAACTTAACTGCCAGTAAAAATAAAAATAAATTGTATTGCATTTAATAGAGTATTGAGGACGTAAAGTGTCAATCTTAATTTCTCATCAGTTGTCTATACGGCTATTTCTCATTGTTAAATTTATCGGAATTAGCGCGTTATATCATGTCTTAAATTCGCTATCATTAAATTATATACCATTATGTTCATTAAAATTTGTTGACAGAAATAACCATTTCTTAACCATTTTTAATAATTTATATTTTATTAATTTAATTAAATATCTCTTATATGAGATTATGGTGCATTAAAATATACAATTACTAAAAGAAGAAATAATATTAATACAAGAGATGCATCTTTGATCGAAATCAAGGATATAAAGAATATTTTCTTGTTTGAACCTATTAAGACACCAAGTTTACATAATAGTAATCGAACCCACGTTCGTAATATTTGGTGCACTCTACGTACTCGTACTTTTTACTTTGCATTATAGTATCACTCTTTATATTTACTAACTATAGCCAATCAATTACATGTTTATAACTATTATTATAGATGCCATTACTTATTGTTATATCATATGCGCTGCGGCATTGATATAAAGTACCTTACTATTCCATAAAAAGATCTATTCATTGTTTGTAACAATTTTACCAACACTAATAAGATTGAATTAAATTAGGTTAAAATTTAGATCACATTATCGGATACCTTCAGCGCATTCAAATACCATTGATTAAATCATTAATATTAAGAAAGTATACGCGAATATTACCAAGGACGTAATATTATCCTCAAATTCTTTCATATTTCATGCTCCGATCATCAGTCATCTATAGTATAACACATATTTTGGAACTTTGATCGTTTATGGAGTCCTAAAAGAGATAATTTATGAATAAAAACTAATTTCAGGCATTTGATATACTACTAAAAATCGTATATTATAGCAGAAATTACCTTTCAATTAGCAATACTACTTTTAAATCAAATTAAATTAAAATCATCTAAATTGGAGTAAATATTGTTATGAGAAAGAAATTTATCATAGGTCAATGTATTGCTATAATGTTTATAAGTACAGAACAAGACGAATAACGAATTTTTTATAACTTCGCCTTTGAAATCTTAGACTATAATAATTTATCCTTCTATTTTCGATCGTTTTCTTTAAATATGAGTGCGTTAGTAGGTTTAACCTACCCTGGCATCATGAATTGTGTAAGGTTTTACTAAGCGCTTCTATTATTGCGAAGAGGATAAAGCTCAAAGCTTGCGAAAGAATATTGAATGGATTTATAGCATGATGACTACTGCTCTGCGATTAAAGTGCCGGTTGTTATTTGCAATTTTGTCTTAGTATATAAGTCTGTCTTAGGATAGCTTAACATGCGAATAAGGCACCACAAATAGCACTAATAAATAACCAGCGTATCGAAATATCTATAAATTATGATATTGTAAAGCAAGATATGTTAACAATTCGGAAGTAGTTTGCTGTCCTAGATTAAATAAGGCTAAGCACTTATAGACTGTATCATATTTAATTCAATTATGCACATAGCTGTTTTACATAAACATGATTGAGATACAGTAAGATATTATATACTGGTACCTTCTACAAAACAATATAAAGAAGCATACTTATTACTTTTAGTAGATTCATAACAGCTTTAAACTGGTCTAGTAATAACAAAACTAGAATATGCCGGAATTGTAGTAAATTTCCTAAAAATTTTAGCCTGTCGGTATTATCCTCAGAAGCATATTTACGGTAAACTGCTTTCTGCCTGCCATTATAGGGAATTACTCACTCAAAATAATAAAATTCATCTTTCTAGGGACAGTAACACTACAGTATGATTTTTTCCTAGTTACATTAAAGGGATTGAATGCCTAACAGTATGTTATTCAATAATCAATTAATCATGCCTTACAGCAATTGTATTGCTTACCGTATGTTCTCCATTCACTGTTGATTGCTTAATTTCATCTGCAAAAAAATTATTTTGTTCTTATTAATCGTTTTTGAGTTATATGCCCACACATTGGACTTACCGGGAAATAAATTTTGTGCTAGTTTATAAGAAAAGGTTTTAAGAGTAAGTTACAGTATATCTACTTGCCATCTTCGGCTTGGCTAGCATTTGACTCATTAATATTGGAAGACGTTATGTTTTCATTTTCTATCATTTTCAGTAAAGTTAAAATTCAGTATCATGACATAAAAAATTACTTTACATAAATCAAATCATGCTTGTATTATAAATTATGCCATTAATTGTCCTTACCTGGAAAATTATCAGCTTGTTGCACCGAAGATTGAATAGTCGAGGATAAATCTTGGTAATGCTGACGAGCATTATTACCAACAAATTTGGATATGATATTCAGTTTAGATTTTGATGTTTTTGGAGAATATTTACGATTCATTATTTTAATGATACGGCGAACATCGACAATTTGCCTATGATTAGGTCTTAAAGACTGTGTGTAAATATTGACCGATTTCTGAAGTGATTCTATCGCTTTATCATAATGGCGCTCATATCTATAAGCCATGCCAATATTATAATATGAATCTGCAACATATCGATGATTACTGCCAAGTAATGCTAAACGAATGTCTAGCGAAGCTTGATAATCCTTTAATGCTTCCGTACAATCTGATAGATGATATTTTATTACTCCGATATTATTATAGACATCAGCTGTACTGATATGGTGTCCATCAAGTACGGTTGACATAATTTCCAAGAATTTTTCAAACATGGTAAGAGAATCTTTGTAACAAAACGAAATAAACTTTACGTGAGCAATATTTCCGTAGCACTCAGCTATTCGCATATTATTAATATTTGTTAATTTTTTCTGTCGAATACGCAAAGAGAAATTAAACATGCCTATGGCTTCTTCATACTTAGATAGATTGCAATAGATGCATCCAATATTGTCATACGAATTAGCTACTAAATTATGATTTTCTCCGAATATTTGCTGGCGAATTTCAAGCGATTTTTGATATAATGATAAAGCATCCGTACATCGATAGATATTCTCACAAATGTTACCGAGGTAATCGCATGAATTAGCCACAGATACATCAACATGTTCAATGTTCTTTAATAGTGTTTGCAATGCTCTTTGATATTGAGAAAGAGTGTTAGGATATTCTGTGCGCGAATGATCATCATTTTTTTCAAGCCGGCACGAAAGATAATAATGTTGACGGTTTTTTCCCCATATTTGGTATCGAACATTTCGTGATTTTTGAAACAGGCATAAACTGTTCTCATATTTAGTTCCAGCTAAGCGAACCACCCCAAAATTACGATAAGATCGATAGATGCCTATGTTATCAACATCGATCAATTGTAACCTAATCATTCGTAGAGTTGATGCGATAACTTCATGCATTGAGGTTAGCTTTTTACCCAAGTCTTCATTTCCACTACCAGATGGAGAAACCTTGGCATTTTTACACGCGCTTTTGTCCTTCCCTAAAACTTTACTTTGAATATTGAGTGATTGTTGAAATGCAGTTATAGCTTTTGGATAATGATATAATAACCGACAGACATTGCCAATATCGTCATAGGATTTTGAAACCAGCAAATTATGTTTTCCTAACATTTCCAAACGTATAGTTAAAGACTTCTCATATATAGATAATGCCGAATCATAATCATGTTGGCATTCATGAATTTTGCCTATGTTATCGTATGATTCAGCAATAATTAAATTATTTTCTCCTAATTGAGCCAGACGAATGTTTAAAGACTTTCGATACATGGACATAGCTTCTATATACTTTAATTGATGACAATAAACATCGCCAATCTTGTCATATGATAAAGCTACTTCAAGATGGCTTTCACCTAATTTATTCAATCGAAAATTTAAACATTTTGTATGTAATGCCAAGGCATCTTCATAATTACCTTGGCCAGTAAGCACTGTAGCGATTGCGTGATTGACAGTAGTGATATCGAAAGTAAGCTCTCGATATGTTTTAATTTGAATATCGACGCATTTTTGAAACATAGTCAGGGCATCAGTAAACTTTTCTTCTTTGTAATAAGTAGCTCCAAAATTAAAGTAGGAATCCGCAACTTGCAGACTATCATTACCTACTATTTCCGATCTAATGCTTAAACTTTTGTACAACATCGATAATCCATCAGTGAAATTTACTTGCTTAATGTAGAGGCAACCAATTTTTTCGTATGAATCTGATACATCTAAGGAAGTCTTTCCTAGCACATGTAATCGAATATTAAGAGACTTTTGATACGATGATAATGCCTCTTTGAACTGATATTGGCAAAAGAATATATTGCCAATTTTATTGAATAGTCTAGCCATATAAAGATTTTGATTATCCTCGTGTAATAATTTGGTATAAATGCCCAAGGCAATGCGATATTTTGCCTCAGCATCTTTATATTGACTTCGCTCATAATAAATATCACCAAGGCTAACTTGAGATTCAGCAATTTCTACACAGCTATCATTCTTCATTTCAATTCGAATATCCAAAGCCTGTTGATAAGCTAGTAAAGCATCATCTATTTTGCGTTGATTCATATATACTAAACCGATCATTTGATACGATGTGGCGATCTCTAAATCCTTCTTCTCTAGTAATTTTATGCGAATGTTTAGAGATTTCTTATGCATAGATAATGCTTCTTCATCTTTCCGCTGCTGAGCTAAAACATTACCAATGCTATAATATAATTCAGCAATTTCTAGATTATCATCACCTAATATCTGTAATCGAATATCTTTAGCCTTTTGATACATACATAAAGCATCGTTAAATTTAGATTGATCATAATATACGCGTCCTAGGCCGTAAAATGTATCTGTAATATCTAAATTGGAGCTCTTACATAGTTTTAATTTTAATTTAAGAGCTGCACGGTAACTGTCTAGTGCTTTTTGAAATAATTCCTGTAACCTATTAATATTACCTTGGTTATCCAACAATTTAGCTAAGCGATATTGATCATTTATTGCTCCAGCTAATTTTTGCGATCGTTGACAATATTCAAGAGCTTGAAGTAAATGAAGTTGTTTCGCTAATACTATGGAAACATCAAGATAAAGATCACATTCTAATTCTTTATCGACGATACGATCAGTCTTTAAGCTATTAATGATATTAAGGGCAGCAATGTAATGGCTCTGAGCTTGGCAATAGTGTCCTAATCGTAAAGCCTTGTATCCCAGTTGGCGTAGAGATTGAATATTTTCATTTTTCATTTTGCTGCTAAATTGATACTCGGAAAATGCGTCAAAAAATTTTCTATTAGTGTTAAGATACTTTTTGTATTGCTCTAAAAACTGAGATGAAATTAGAAAAAAAATTTCGAAATTTATCTATAACTGCCGGCTCTTGTAAATAAGCAACCACCCGACTTCGTAGTGCACTTATAGGCTACAATTTAAAGCGCTCTCTAACAACAGCTTTTAAATATTGACTAGTCAAAGAAAGCAAGATCCTAGCTTCCTTGTTTCTTTATTTGATAATTTTTACTTTTAGTTTAGCAATGCCAATTACAGCTTGATTGTGGAATCCTCATACAGGGTCATTACTATATTTTCCTGAATAACATGCAGACTAATATTACTGCTACTTAATCCAGAAACTAAGTAAAACTGCTAGATAACGCATAATTCGTCATTAAATTTTGTTTCTCATTAGGATCACTTCCGGTAATAACTAGTGATTGATAGTTCATATTCTTTCGTAAGCTAATAATTTAAGTCGATCACGTTATAAATTCTCATTATTTAAGGAGATGTTGTAAAGTTATCCAATTCCTGGATATTTATCGCAGTCTTTTGATAAATATCCAGATTGGCAGGGCTAAAATACGATTAGAACTTGAATAAATATAACTTAAAAATTGAATAAGATTAGCTATATATCTTAGAAAGTCCATAAGTATCGAAGATGAATTTCAGTCTTTAATTACTCTTTTCTTGCCCACTCTTAAGTTTAGAGTGGTTCTGAAACAATTTCTTAACTTTAAATAAAGCCCTTATTAAAGGGTCAAAGTGTTTCTAGTAAATTGCCTGATCTATTGCAAGATTGCTATCGTTATTCTTGCAACTATTTTCTTTCCAATTGATTTGTGTATTAGTTACCGTACCTCTTTTATTCATATAAGAGGTAGATACCTTGTTCGCTATACTTCGTACACTATACTATACTTGTATCATTTATTTTACTTTATGCTTTATCATTTACTCACAATTGAATTGTAAGATTGACTCATCATATAATTTATAGAAATCTATTTACTTCACAACAACATATCGATTATGTCGGAGTTTTTCACTCTAAGCTAATACTTTTAGTTCTGATATACACCTGAAATTTTAAAATGCATTTCTCTTACAAATGTTTGAGCTCGAGGACACGTATGTTTTACCGGAAAAAAAAGCTGTAATCGAATAATTTTACAATTAAAATATAATTACTGGAAAATAAATGTAATCATGGGCTACTCAAAAATACGTAGTGGTCTATGATGTGTCATGTACGCATTAATAAAATTTTACGTTATTCTGATATAAGATATATATCTTGACCAGGCGTAGAATTTTTTCCATGAACATTAGTCTAATAATTTCATCCTAGCAAGTATCATAAAGATTAAATTCCATTTTTTTTCAGCTAAAATAGTTACATTCAGCTTATCTTATTGTATGAAATTTATGATATTCACTAGTGAATAACAATGTAAGTGAACATGAATTCCTATTTCTAATTCTCCTAAAGTTGTAGAATAAAAAATATTAAATTTTTTTTAATCGAAAAAGCTCTCTTGTTTGTGCTTTTGATGTTTGCTATCGAGCACAAATTTATTACACCGTACGTGATACGTATATACAGTATTATTTCATATGTCCAATCATGGAGTAAAGCAGCTAAAAAGTTTCGGCTTGATCATGCTGATTTTTTAATGGTAATCAATTCTGAGGTATAAATGCTGTCCATAATATCAACGTAAAACATTTCGATACGCCGATTTTAATTAAATCAAATAATGAGAGGTGAACTGTAACACACTTAAGAAAATAGGAGCTTTCGCTAACTTCACCCAATGAGCATATAAAATTCGCAAGTTAATAGATTCATGTTTCAGAAAATTAGCTCATATTACTAATTATAATCTATGCAATGACTAAAATTCGGCACCTGATCATAATAGTTTTACTCCTTTATTAATTAACTGAAACGCTTCCTAAACCGATAATTGAAGAAATTTCTGTTATTATCAGTGGCATGAAATTAACAATATGAAATAGTAACTGCAGTTGAAGATGTTTGAAAGTACTCTTATATGATCCTCTGTACACTTGGAATACTAGTCGATTTGAAGCAATTGTACTACGATATCGACGTGGCAAAGGTCATGGGCTATAGGAGAAGAATGGTGATGAAGATTCATATGTCACGTCTTCTGACTATAAAGAATTACTTAATTACTAAATACCTGGGGATAAAAGGACCCAGGCTAATTAATCTTGTAATAAATGGCTAAATGAGTACTTTTACATGTTAAGATAACAATTAAAAGACTTAGAAAATGCTTTCAAATTAAGTATTAGTAGGTAAGTTGATCACTAATTCAGGAAGCGATGAACCTAAATACCTACTCGCATTAAAACTATTTACAGTTAGCAAACGTGGGTTTAAATATTAAATGTAACATTTTCTTGACATTCTTAATACAGACTTCGTTTATTGGTTTTATGCAACGAAATTCTGTATTAAAAAAATATCAACATATCAACTTTAGATCATTTTAAACCTTAAAATACAACACAGTGTTAGCTATACGCGTGTAAATTTAGTATATCAGATTGAAAATAATTTTTATTCTAATATGCATTTATTTCATTTTATCATCTTCTAATTTTATCCTTAAGTAACCACTTCGCCCTGGACTCTTTAGATATGCATAGTAGCCGATTCCAATTACTAAGATACAAGCTATAACTGCTCCAACGCTAATGATTGCGATCATTACACTAAAAGGTAAAGACTTAGATTCAGGGTGAGGAGTAGGTGTAGTTTTTACTTCGCGACGAGATTTCGACGATGACCATCTAATGTAGGCCGCAATATTGCTTGTCGCTAAAGCAGACATATGTTGGTAACAACCATCTAGAATAATATTAAAATTTAAATATTAGTAGTATAAAACAAAAAATCTTAGATATGGTTAAAATCGAATATAAAAGCAGCAAATTCACAGTAAGGCAATCATAAGAATTGTAAATGCACAGCATATGCCAGTCCTAATTAACTTTCTAATCGATTATGTGTTAACCAAAGTACTGTTGCTCAATTCACCCGGTAACTTTGTTTCTGGACGATTTTCCAATAGAATGCTCACTTCTGTCTGTGAATTGCTGTAAATAAAAAAATTATGTAGAAACTAAATTAATCTTGTAAATACGATAAATTCACTTATCGAGCTACCGAGAATAATTAAAAATTCGTATCAAAGTGATATACAACGAGCTAATTAAAGCTTTATCATCATGTACTTATTACAACTTAAATAAGCATTATTATCATAGCAGTACTATTTTGATCTCTACTGGTAAACAATTTGAGAATCACAAAGCTATTTCAATTTTCACCCAAATCATTGGTAGAACATTATATTGATCTTCCAGATATATTATAAGATATAAAGTATTGGAATGACTTCATTGAGCCATGTAAAGATGCATATAACATATATCATGTATGTAGAAATATAAATTATGACGCAAAAACACATATATATAGGTGTAGATATCCAATAACTGCGTCTATTTATGTTACTTTTGAATTATGTACGTATCGAATAGGTTAGTATCTTTAATTGCAATAGTTCATAAGTATTTTAACAGCACAGCGTATACGATGCCAAAATATTCACGATTCGATAGTTTGCATAGCAAATTGGGTATCGCATAGAATGACTGTGCATCGTACACGATGCTCGATTGAGTATATTGCCTATGGCAACATGAAGTTGGTAGCGTAGGACTACAACGGTAGATGAGTCTCTTCATACCTGAGATCTGTTACATCTTTGTCACTATGATTAGATGTAAAGCAACCACTTTCCAACTGCCAGCTCATAATGGTCTTGATATATTCCAATCGGAAAAATTCAACGAAACCATGTAGTGTTCCACATACATAAATTTGTTCTAAGAATAAATCTTTCTCCACATGATGATTGAAACCCGATTTCAAGATTTGAAGCATTGTACGATGCACATGACTACACAACATATTTTGTAAACCTCGTAGACCACCAAATTGAACAAATTTCTTCTGTAATGATGATTGACAATTAAACTGGCGAGCTACTGCAAGTGCTAAGAGTTGATGATTGATCAAAAATGGCTTGCCGCTTAAGTGGGTTACAAATCGCCAACAATTATCTATCAGCCAAATATTGTGATATAACGAGATGGAAATAATCATGAATGAATATCGAAAAAGCATTTCTTTCATAATAATTTTTCCATTGCAAATTAAACTCACTAACGACAATATTATTTCCCAGGAGACTGACTTTAAATAATAATAAATTACTTCGAATACCATTATGAATATTTACTCCGATACCTTTCCTAATGGTTCAAGACTAGAAAATAGCGTAAAACCTATTATATGGCGGTTATTTCTTCGGTCAATGACTATACTATTTCTCAATTTTATTACAAAGACTCTCCACTGTTAGCAAATAACTGTATTTACGGTATGTTAATCTCCTAGAAGTGTTTTTCTAGCTTTGATAAGAAATTTCGACTTAATATGGTCATAACCCGGCGGTGCACAACAGGATTAATACGTACTGCTTGCTGTGTGATATTATCAACATTTTTTCAAATTAAATTATTCTAGCGTATAATCCCACTGCGTCGCTGTCGGTCTCCCTAATATTTTAATGTACAGGTTAAATATTCGAATAGAATAACGTTCTCTTTTATATATCTTCTATACTATACGATAATGGTACACTAACTTTAGAGTAAAAGCCGTATTTGAAATTAAAATTATAGTAATGCCAACTGCGGAGACATCTAGTCTGTATTGCGAAGCGTTTCTGCAAGTCCATTTTACTTTACCTGAGATTTGGCAAGGATTGGAATCTAACGTAGGCCAACTGCCTATTAGCTCCCATACACATTGATCGGATATATTATCGGTAGAATGTGAATGATTCAATGACGCTTTGGAAGTGCCATTGAGGTAGTAGATATTTTGTGGTATTGCCATAGGCATCGAATATAACTTAGCATAATGAGTTATATCTTCTGTACTATAGTTCATGTTGGGAATGGTTACTTGTAAAACTTCGTCGGTGTCAAATAAGGCATCGCGTATATTTTCTACTTGATCGTCGTTTAAAATAGTTTCGCCAGCAGCACTTTCATCCAACGTCGCCTGTAATATCTCTGTTTGCAAAAAAATATATAAATCAATATTACCATTTGCAGACGAATGTTATTTTACAGTATATGCTATGAAAAGTGCAACAATGATGAGTTAATGAAGGGGATTTCTAAATTTTTCCATGAAATACACTATAGCTGATGGGCAATCCTTTCATTTAATATTTCTGTTTCATTGTCCAAAAAAATAGAAAACAATTTCAAGTAATAAGAAAGGCAGTAGATATATTTATCGATCGAGATTCATAATTATAATTGATCTCCAACGGAATGAGAAAAAATAAATAAATAAGATATGAGATAGTCATGGATCAAGGGATCAAAATAAACTGAACAGAAAGTCGAAATGACCAACAAATATGATTGAAGGATCAAGTCATTAGCTAAGGAAAATATTATATTTCTACCATAAGAATTAATGACAGCTGAAAAAAATGTTCTTTCTCACTACAGTTGTTGGTATGTCATTAAATTGATCCATCTTGGACTACTTTAGTGAAGTAAAACTGTCAATTACCTTTGGTATGAAATAGGCAAAAGGCAGTATCGACAATTAGATCAGGAAGATCTCGCTTATAGTAAGCAAGAGCATCTTGCAAACTTTCAATCATGCCATCAATGAATTTACTATCAATGGGTTCCGTTTCTGCCGCACCAATTTTTAACCAAGTTCCTAATATCAAGGTGATGACAACTGACCAAGAAATGCGCTTGAAAGCCATGGTGGATAAGGTAAACTTTGACCCTAAATGAATTGGATAGAGAGAAATGATGACGTATAAATACTTTTGGCCGAATAATTTACTCGGTCACTGGCCAATCTCGATAGCAATACAGTACTAACGTCAGATTATCCAATTAACGACTATATATGTCATATCCAAGGCAATCACGATAAGATAGACAAATTTATCCATGTCTTCACTGCTGTTATAACAGCAGGCTAAACGCAAACAACAGTGATTTAGCATGGCAAAATAGAAATATCATCGCTGCAATGCATGGATGATAGTTAATTAAGCTCATTTGCTTTGCTTGAAATCTTGCGACAGATGCTATAACGGTCAATCAAGAATCCATAAGCCTAATTTGGGTAAAATATACGTATACCATTAATATATGCAATGACAATCATTTCGAAAGCATTTTTCCCATTCCATTGGTACAAATCAATCTTACGTTTACAGTAATTTAATGAGAGGAAAATATCTATCAAAATGAAGGCTTGCGACCTCACAGTGGTCGAGTTTTCTCAAGTTGAAACAGATCCTAAATTATCTGCATCAACTTGAGAAAGCGCAAACCTATCCATGACTACCAATATGACATAATATAAATCTTTCAATCGGTACTACTCCTATTCCATGATAGATTTTTCATGTTAGTCATACCCGACTACGCCATATTTATTCCAACTATTGATTAAGGAATACTACACTTAATCCATGTTCTATCTTGATACGCAATATTACTTCTGCTTCCAGAGCAGATTTCGAGATTATTCGTCGACGATTACACTCCATTCATTTAAACTATCCACCAAGAATAAATAGGACACTGTCCTTGTACTACCTTGATAAGAATATTGCTTCTACTTTTACTATACTGACTTTATGTGTGAATTAGTGCTGTCGATAATTTTGATGTTGGTCATCTACTGCTGCACTCCATTAAATCAAACTATCGACCAAGAAAAACTTCTATACTGTCTATCTTCAATGATGAAACATATCCTTATTTTTTTTTCACTATATACAGTATGCTACGGCTATTTCTAAGACTGATTTTATCCTAAAGATTAATCTTAAGGACAAAGTCAGTCTTAGGAATGGCCGTAACATATACATCATTGAGTATCTCGGATTGTTCATGATGATATTGGTATTGGTGTGTAAATTTGTGTTATATACCAATGACTAATGTTCTCTGATTCAGAGTGGATAATAAACTGTCATTGTGATATTGCAGATGAAAAATGTCGACATCTATCGCCCATTCGCTATGCAACACTTGATTTACTTTAGTGCGATGCTAAAGTAATTCTACGAACTATGCAGTCATATATAATCATGTACGTATACCGTAAAGAAGTTTCCCTACTCTCCAATTTAGGCAAAGAGAAAGTAAATCTAGATGAAATCGACTTATTGCGTTCTCTGAATCGATTTGATTAGATTGGGCAAAGAAGAGTAAATTCAATCAATAGGCCATAGGGTTTTTCTAGAAGTAAGAATGAGCATCGTTGAAATTAAGGCATTGACGATACTATATCACCCCATTACATTAAGTAGACATTAGTAAGTGAAGGAATGATATCATCTTCAAAGGGCTGAAACTAATCATCCATTAAGCTATTCTTTTTTTATGGATAACTTGCTTCAACTCTTTTCGTGTCCATAAAAGCTCACATATATGCAGCAAGAGATTGATTTAGTCAGTCTAACAGAATTATTCTCGATCATCTTGAGGCCACTCTAGTACTGCATGCAATTATTTTAATAATAGCAGCTACTGTACAGTGTACAACTGTACATCACAGTATTTCTATTATTTATTGTATATTGTTGCCATTTAGTTACTTTTAACAAGTTATATCCCCATAATTGCAAAATTCTAAAGATGAAAACTATATCATTTGAAGTTCTATATTGGATAGAGAGATGCAAATAAATAGAATAAGTACTTAAGTCGCAGTAATAATAATTTCCCTCAAAATGAAATCAGCAAATGCTGGCGGCCATGCAGTGGTTGACCAGACGGCAGGACTGCAGATGAGAAAGTGGAATGCGATATTGTCTGTCTGTACGGCATGTACGTATCGCCATGAAAGTTGCCTCGAACATCTCTATAGTAACTATAGTCTAAGGTACTGCAATAGCTACTCTACTACAGTACTACTGTATACAAGAAACGATTCATAAATTTTAATTTCCTTCTTCATTAAATTCGAAGAGGAAATGGTGGTTGTTGATTTAGCAGACAGTCAATAGCAGAAATTGATGATAGCATTTATAGTCGCTCTAGATATACTAATTTTAGCTATAGATCAACCATGCTTTCATTGGTAGGGCTTTCCATCACTCTGTCCAATGCCTCGCGCCAAAAGTCTTTGTCTGCGCTCGACCGAAGCAAATCCTAGCCACACACAAGTGGAAGAATCGATCACGTGATTTGAATGGCCATTGTTACTCTCCATTTCCCGCCAAACTTGACCGCATCATTTAGAACGCTAGCCAGCCATCAGGCAGTACTTTCTACTCCATCACGATTAGTTGGCTATCCCTTGACTTGTGTGCTCTATGGTAACCAATTTGGAGCTACTGATCCCATTCTGCAAGACCACTACCAATTGGCAATTGATCCAAGTCGCCACGTTAGCCTTCAAGCCAACTGTTGTGATAGAGATCTGCTAGGGTATGTCAACTGCTACAGTCTGGATAAGATTGCTATAGTAGAGTGATGAATCGATGACGATGTAGGAGAATGGATTAGTCTAGATGTTGTCGGTTTGCATGTTGCATCGTTATTGGCCGTTCTAGCATGGATAGGCAAAAATGATACCATACAATAGTCATTAGTTGATCGTTTGATGATTACATTACTTTTATCAAGGTTTTATCTAGTATTTGATCTCGCTAAACTGTTCTAAATCTTATCATCATATTGCCATTAATAATTATTCCTCTCACGATTCTTCATTCAAATCAATATATCCTTAGTCAACTGTAAATACTATTATCAAGAAATTACTCTCGCCTTGCCTGACTACAACGTCAATATATATATATTCAATCGAAAATTTCAACATGCCTGTTTTTGGTGAATCTGCTGATTGGGTCAAACAACCATTTTCCATCATCGAATCCATTTTTGGTAAGTGTTACTTTTGACATCCTGATTGATGCAAGACCGAAATAATGCTCTACAATGCAGCTAGTACAAATGACACTAATTGATATCCTCATACTGTACAACGATTGAATCTATTTTGTTCAAACTAAATTAAAGTCGATAATGGGTTACATAGAGAAGTTGAAATGGTTGAACCAATGCGACTAACTGATAATACTCTAATTAGCGTATGCTGTGGCTTAAATTCGATATTTGATTTCTATAATGAAGCCTCTTAAAATACAACAAAGCTGTTCTTGTAACTGTAACTTCAATGCGGTTAAAGTTAGCCAATGATTAGAATCTGCGCGGTAGTAATTTTCCTTTAGATAAAACTGTATAAAATTTATCGTACAATTTCGTTGAATGCAATAATTATATAATTAGAATTGATTCAATCTTTGCATTGCTTTTTATGGACGCATACTCTGTATTTTTATCTATCTATGTATTCATTCGTTAGCTTACCATTTATGTTAACTGATTCTACTCGCTATTGAAAGTGATCGTGACTGGTCATATTCTCAATGTTTGTACCATCGATGAATAGATCATCACCGCTGACAAGTAACAGCAATGTCTTGCTCTTCTGATTCTAGAAAAAAGTCTGACCGATGGATCTACTGATTATGGCCAATCTAAGATTATCGATCATTTTGGTAACCTACTCTGTAGTCCAGAAGCTGTCAAATGGGTATATACTTTATTTTGTACTCGATTTCTGTAATGATTGACATGACCTTTAAACGTGATTTACTGTAGGGTGAATAGCCATTAACATTAAATGATTTTGTAATATATTATAGTAATTTACCAGTAATGGATAGCTATGACTAAGTAGGTCTTGCTATAAAGTGGATACGCTTGCAGTACAGTTCGAAATTAAAAATGATGGCTTAGATTTATTTTATTACGGTACTCTTGCTAGATTATGAACGTTCAGCTTAAAATCCACGTATTGCATTGCGTAGTTTATGGCCTTGATACAGTACTAGCGTATTTGAGCCTGTTTTTGTGCAGACTTGCTAATGGAACGTTTGTATATTTCTTCTTTCAGGTTCCATCACTCAATGATACTCCTATTCATCGATTGCCTTCCAATTCATTAGTAAAATACAGATGTATGGTACAAGATATGTTTGACCGAGAATTCTACCTAGGTGTTTACGAAGTTCATAACGAAGAAGTTAATACAAAGGTCAATATTTCATTATTCATAATTTTAAGAATCCGCAGCTATGTAGGGTTTTCTCGTACCAATGTTATTGAACCCGTTAATAACTTTCAAATGATAATGCCGTATATCTCTTATAGAAATAATTTTTTATATAGTTTTAAAATCTTATACACGTAATTCTCTTATTATGATTTCTAGTAGCATAGTTATTGCATTTTTATTTATTTTATCATTTGCTTCACTTAATCAATTATAGGTTCTTAAATGTGGAAAATACTACGATGTTGCTCGCTGTCCGGTATATATAATTTTCTTTTATTGATATAATTTTACATCACAATATAATAGCTCAACATCGAATGATTCTTACATCTTGAATTTTAGAAAAATTCTTCAATAAATTTACAATCTGATCGTAGCGTAACGCTGGATCGACAAGTGTTATACTGCGTTCCAATTCCTGGAGAAAATCAATGGGCAAAAGATATATCCTATTTTGTATATCAATAATGTAACTTTTCGTGTTTCCTGTTTTCTATGTTATTCATGTACATGATGCATGCGAATATAGTTTACCTCGATAACCATGAAATTATCGAATCTCTGCAAATTTCTTAACCAAGACCAAATCTTTGCTGGAATGACTACGTCCGTGCCAAGCCCAAATGCTCGCTATGTACCTGAACCATCATTTACTTCTAACAAAAGAAGGTTCGATGAAAGTGATGACGACGAATCTTCCGATATGGCGGGTACTATTGTGGATAATTTATTTATAAGTTATAAAGCTATGTATTAATTAATAACATTGACTTCTAGGCATGAAAAAGCAACGGCCTGTAAATACCCAGCAAGGTTGGCTAAGACACAATGACATAAAACTATAGTAAATTAAAAATAATTTTCTTGTTCTTTTATAAATTAGACAACAGTTCCAATAATATACTCCCTAATTTAAATTTTCCTCTGCCAAACGAAAATGGACCTGCATGTATAGTCAAGGTAAATGTTTATATTGGATCCTTTCGAAAGTATATTAGTAAGGTACAACTTTTATCTTACGGTGTTACAGATTTATGAAGATACGGATAATATCAAAGTGAATGATATGATTGAGTTTTTTGGAATATTATCCGTAGACCCGGCATTGAAAGCACCATCCAATACTAGGTTAACAAGGTTTCTTTATAGTCCATTTGCTATTAAGTTATCCCCAATAATTTTAAGGAAATACTTGTTTGTAACTAAATTATTTTCAAGTGTTAATAACTAGCTATTGCCATAACTATTAATATTATAGAGACTCGGGTATTTACGATCCTGAAATCGATATGGATTGTGCTGAGGAAACTGCAGCACACTGTCCAGCTCCATCATTAGTCCCTCGTCTGCATTGTATTATTGCCAGACATTTACCGCATTCAAATCCAATATTGCCATTCGATAGTCCATCAGAAATAAGTAATACACAATCTCGATCTAATTTAGTTATTTTTGTACGCGTTCACCGAAAGGCGCTGATGCGAAAATTTCATTCTTCTTATAGGTATCAACAATACTTTAGAAAAACCAGAATTAATTCGATCTCAGTTGATATCAACACTTACGGATTGTATTGGTGGAGATGCACTAGCAGCTGAATATACGCTACTAAACCTACTATCGAAAGTGTAAGTATATCGGAGTCACTATATCCTTTGAAATTTAATGATGTCTAACTAAATTCGTATGTGTCTTGACTCAATATTTGATTCATAAATCTGTTGTTAGTAACTACAGGCACGATGTTGTTCCTGTTGGCAAGTTTTCCGTTAATTTGGCTGGTTGTCCTGTTGGAGGGACTATTACACATCAATTATATGAATCTATTGAGGCATTAGTGCCTAAGGTTGGTACTGTGCGTACATTTGCTAATAAGAGATAATGTTGCTATGCCAGCCGTTGCTGTATAAGGGTTACAACTTACTGTTTGTTACCAATTATTTTTCTAGAGCTACTTTTTATCAATGACCCTTTCCGGTATGAATTCACTGCTACTCTCCCCTAAAAAGGATTACAATGCTAATCGATTACAATCTGGCATCTTACAGTTAACCGCTGGTAACATAAAACAGCAAAACATCGTTAAAGTTTGTGTACCTATGTAGCAATTATAATAATTGATATTAATTAACTTTGCAAATATTAAAGGAACCCATTTAATATTGGATGAAACTGTGTTAGAGCCAGGACAATTAGATCCCAATGGTAGGTTACTGTAAGATATAAATTCTTGTCGTAGTTTTTAGTTACAAATTTCTCTAATTTTCGTATAATAACATTAGGAGTAAAGAACCTAACAGCTCTAAGTAATGTCGTCCGGTGGCAAAAAGTTGATTATGATTTCAGCTATCATCAAACTGAATTTCTTTGTGATTTGGTGAGCTATTTGATTGTTTGATAGTGATTGAATATTATAAGCGCATGCATGTGTATGTTTTGTCCTGGTTTATATATAATGTACTCGTTTTCGTTGCTAAAGACGGTCTTGGTTCTATCGGAGGGAAAATCGATTTTACCGGTAAGGAACTCTATGTTCGTTGAAATGGATCTGCTATTTAGTAATTAACCAATGTCATTCATAATATAAAACTATTACTATCTTGTATGTAGTGTGATATCGTAATCCCGATACGACAACGTAATTCTGTCACAAAAGCCGAAAGCAATCCAATTCGTGAGATTCCATTTTCGTTTCTTCAAGATTTTCGAACCTATCTTGCTGTCACTCGATCTCTAAATTACACAGTAACGAATGAAATGCAGCAGGTAATGGCAGCTACTTATATGCTATGTTTAGACAATGATTGTAATCTTGTATGAGGAATGTTTTACAGGCACTTCAGGAAGACTTTGTGAATTCGAGGAAGCTGGACGATAAAGCTATGACAGCTGATGACTTTCACTTAATGTTAACCATGGCCAGGTTATTACTTCAGTAGGCAATGCATTCATCATAAACCTTACCTTGACTTACGTTCTTATGTGTACCTGTTATAGGCTACTTACCCTGAGTTTTGGGCAAACCTTATTAACTCCTGAGCTATGGAACAGAGTGAAGTCATTGGAAAGGCATCGAAAAGCTCGTTCTCCTTCTCAGTAGTATTCTTCCGCAATATTATTAAGATTACTCTTTAACATATATACGATATATGACTATAATTATTTATTTCAAGATCATATATAAATTTATTACTTTGATTTTACATGTATACTCATTATTGAAAACTGCGCAGTAGAAGTCGTTTTCTTAAGTTAAAATTGTATATTTACTAATTACAATACTTAGATTACATAGTTGGTATAAGGTAATGAAATACCCATAGATTTTTCAATACCAAAATATTGTGCAAAATATGTATTTATTGCAGGGATTACATTAGTTATTACTGATAGAATGTATCGTACTCTTACAAAAATTGAAGTGTAATATATGTGGCATAGAACCACTGTAAATCGTGATACTCTTTTGAGTTGTATAGTAAGTCTTCAGCTATTCTGTGCGTTATAATATAAGGTTCTAATGCCTTGATTTTCTTTGCTACTTGACCTCTTTAATAATAATGTATTTTAGAAGCTTGATTAAAATACCTAGATCGAGTAAAATCTCAAATAAATATGTACAACTGCGTGTGTAATACGACCGTTTTAGATAACTTAGCTCGAATGAATGGTGGACTGACTTTAAACCCTAAAGTAGTCAAGTGTGATCAATGATTTATAATTATTAATGACACAAAATGGATTGGATCAAAATTAAAAATTTCACTTTGGCTGTTTCAAATATACATAAAGCATTTCGCTTAGAGATGTGTATGCGATAATAATAGGAAAGAATCTCTGATACATCGACATTTAACTATCAATTACAGTGTACTGTATACCATTTATAGTGTCTACAATTTTCGAGAAACTCGTGAGTACGTGTGCTATTAACTGTATAAGAGTATTGTGACGATCAAATCAGGATAGATATCGATAGGCGTAATGAAATTTTGCCATATTCGTAAGCCTCTGAATATATTTGTAGTTCGTGAAGAAATTACGGACCGGTTCTGATCACGACTATCCAATAAACTTTGAAGTATATTTAGTTCAAGATATCTGTATACAGAATAATTGTCCTAAGATTGATATTTATACGACTGATATGCAATGTAAAAGAAAATTTTTTAGAATGCTCCACTCCGCACTAACAAGAGATATTCCTTTACCTAGAAGGGGGTTATTCAAACTCAAATTAATTCCTGAGGGCGCACATTTTATTCGCCTAGTCTCAACAATGGACAACAGCAACATAACAGTACGTCTAATGATGATAAACATTGTATACTATACAAATAACACTTAATATCTTCAACAAGAATAACGCATGTTGTTGGGTGCGTAAGTAAAATTGCGATTGATCCAAAATAAAAAGTGCTACTTTGTAACAGAGACACTTTAAACCATAATGAGCAGTCGTCTTTCATGCGATTGATGTTGAAAATGAAGTGGCAAGTTTAGTCATGTTGCTTAGATGATAAATACTCGTATGATCTTGTGTGAAAGATAAATTGTTACCGATTATAAGTATATTTGATATCACAAATTAATCACTTGATGCTAGCTTTATCAAGCTAAACTGTTTCAGCTAAAGTCTACAACTTAATAATCGGTGCTAAATACTATCTTGGGTGATAGAATAACATAAGTAAAAATAGTTTTCATATAACCTCAATTAATTAATTACCAATGTATCACTCTTAATTCATGAACTTAATATAAATTTGCAATATCAATTAAATCATACATTCAATTCATTTAACTGCTTAGAAAGTTGGAGAACTCGGTTCTAATTCAGAGCGACTATACAATTTTCGCAAGATAAAGAAGGCGGTATCTTCGGATGTCCTGCAATGCAGATGTTATCATTAGTCGTGGTACAGTAAACTAAGTAGTGATTACAAGCTATAGAAACAACGGTTATGTAAATAGCCTACCAATAGCAGCAGTGGCTTGATAATGCGAAAAGATATTCATTTAAACTTTCAAGCGGAGCTTCTTGCAAAACATAATCAATGCGATTGCCTTCGTTTAATTGGCCAATTTCAACATTATCTTCTATTTGATCTATTACAAGCAAACAGGTAGCGAGTGTTAACTGTCATGGCACAATATCAACTAAAATACTTTTGTATATTATAGCCCAATATAATAAATGCACCATTCCAATATCACCTTTAGTATCAATTAGTTCTGACAATTGCTGCATTTCACTTTCATGTTCGGTTAGATCAGATCCTTCCTCCTTCTTAGTACCGGTATGAGCACGAGCAAAATCTTGTATTGCTGTGATTGTACTTTGCACAGAACTAATTATATTTCGTTTAAAGTTTTTACCCATTTTGGTTAAATTGTCTTTGAGTTCTGTAGATGACATAAATTACATTAGAGACAAATTTATAAACGACATTCTTATAGCGTAGACTGAGACAAGGAATGATACCTAAATGAAAGCGTTTCCGGCCCTTATGATGCTCCATCATAACTGGAAGGATATCTCTTGCAGTTTCTTCGATAATTGGTTCGATACGATAAGCCTTTGTGATACAATCAGCACGTAAGCTACTTTTAGAGTCATGAAAAAATATTTGATTGAAAATCTGGCAATAGACAACTTACCACTGGATCGTACTGTTTCGTTTTCGTAGGGAAATAATTATTTCAAAATTAAAGTATAATATTAGCTAGTAGCGTATTTATTACAACAATCGTAAATTTAGGTACTTTAAAATTTGAAAGAATTACCGGATGGAAGACATTGTAGAATCTTGAACAAGTTGGTAGTTTGTATTTTTCGTCAATATTGTCGATGCCTCTGTAATTCGGGCGATATCATATTATGTATAAAGCAAATCTTGGCAAACGCCTAATTGAAATGACAATTCGAAGATAACTTTGCTATTGATGGGAATAAGGTGTTGCACTAACCGGACAATAAGAAACAATCCTATAGGAGAACCTAAGGCGAAGAAATTTGCTTGACGAAAATCAAGGCGCGGATAATTGACGTAAGGTTGACCTGTACCAGCTACACCTTTCTGATAAGTAAGTCTTTCAACGTTCGCGTTGTGAGAGGCTAATCCTTGCCTAGACAAATCGATACTCTCCGATAAATTTATGCTTGGTTCATTTTCCGATACTTGCATAGTCGACACAGCAGATTTTTTCGCTTCCTTTTTTTTTGCCGCTTCTGCTGCTGCTGCTTCTTGTTTACTTTTCTAAAGATAATGCATATTAATTTCGACAACTGGAAAGCAACTACTTTAACATTAACTCCGTAATATTTCTGTACAATTACTTTACTGTACTAACCTCTTCTAAAGTCTTTTTTATGTAATTAGATAATTTTTTTCGATGACCTAGCGGTAATCCTAAATCCTTCAAGTCTGATTCGCTACACATAACCTACCAAATAGATTCACTGGATTTAAGAAAACAAATAGTACATCTAAAATTGCATTAAATCTGAAATATCACTTATTTGCCTTACCAATGCATCCAGGTCGATTTGCTCGTTTTCAAATGTTTCTGTATGAGCACTTAGGTTTAACTGCGCTAAAACTGTAGATATACTTTCTTTTTCCTCCTCCTCTTTGTCAGATAGTTTATTTGTTTCTTCACCAACAAGACTACTTACTTCGGATTTTTCCGATGCGCTATCGGCAGAAACTAGTTCGTTTTCACTTTTGCTGCTATGAATAAATATTTAGAATATTATTTTAGTGACAATCGTGACATATTTACAAATTCAACATAGATCAAGCTGCTAATTGATCGCTACCTAAATGATCTTGCAGTCTCAGATTTATGTCCAGTTACAGTAGAACTTTGATTTATCATTTGTTGCACATCACCCTATCGAGGATTAGATTGCGTAATAGCTCAATAATAAAAAAACAGTTAAGCGTCACATAAGTTGTCTTGTTATTTAAAGCAAACAAAATTATCAATGTAACAATTTACCTGATGCCTTAGTAGATCAAAAGCTATACATGAACCTACGACGACAAATGTGCATCATTTTGAAATAATAATTAGATATATTATATATATTAATACTACTGAAGTAGTATATAATATGATTAGCAAAAATTGACAAGCCTTCTAACATACCGAGACTATGGCCGGAAATAGAGACCTGGCCAACAAAATTAGGATTGCGTTCCCTGAACAATTTATATATTCTATTCATTTCTTGAGTGACATAATTTACTATTGCTTGGCAGTAAACAGGACTGGTATAGAACAGAATATCTAACAAATTTTCATTCGTAAAATTTCTCATCCTTGTTATGCTTGGCAAGGTGATATCTTTCATTGCGCTAAATTAATCGTATAGACATTTTTAGATTCTCGTCAATAGGCTAAGAATTTTAAGTTAGCAAAAACCAATCCAAAGAAAATAAACTACCTATCGACTCCATTATCGTCTCCGTGTAAGGCATATCTCCATATAATTGGTAGAAATTCAACTCGCCCGGCACGATTGTTTTCAAAGCTCGCATGTGTTTGCTGCAGATTGATACCATTATTTCTTAAATCTTCAACTGAAAGGATTATATGACGAATAAAAAGTAATTTGGTATTATTATTAAAATGTTATATTTCGTAAGAAATGGTACAATTCAAAATAAGATACACATTTCAGTATAAACAAGCAAACGAAATATCTCGTATGTAAATAATATGCAAGAAATTGGCACATACAGAAGCTCTGATTGCATTTAAAATACTGCCATAATAGAGAACAATTATTGCATCATGATAGTTCTACTTACCACAAGCTACTATATCACGCAGTTGAAAGTCAGCAAACTGACCAATACCATGAATGACCAAAATTAAATGATCAATCTGATCCTTTTCACCTAGAATACGGTATATTAGGGAAAGAGATTAGAAAGGACAGCAGTAGCATAATATAATTTCCGTTCTTATTAAAACAAGTGTAATATAAGCATATAGGTTTATCAGTAGCATAACCCGAACCTTCAGGCAGTTGATAGTATATATCGGCAACACTCCTCTTCACAGCACGCGGCCTCAAAGTCGACTCCTCTTGATTCCATACATTATTGGGTCTCATATGGATCATAACTGTAGGACTGTGGATTACAACACTCTCTCCTCCATCTAATGGTAGTGATTGCTGCCATCGGTTTTCATTGATGCAGTTATGAAATAACGCCTATCAATAATATAATGATGGAATGCAATCATGTACTCAGATACTTATCTCATTGTTGCTCAAAACTGCTGTATAATCAACAAAGTAAGCAATAGCTCATAATTACTTCAAGTTTCTCAGAGACAGTTTCTTCATAGGGAATTAAATAGGAATTTTGATCACTTCTATAAAACCAAGTACCACGCCTAACTTCTACATTAGAACCATTCCAGTATATAGGGTATCTTATACGTTGTTTAACATCGACATCGAATCTTCCACCATCTGTCGTAACTACACCTTGAGTATTATTTATATAGTGCTCTTCAATACGACCGGAATCGATCCTAGTAAAGGGCACCCACGCGCCGTCTTCTCGCTTGTAGAACCAGTGCGCTACCATAGGTTGTAGTTCGCCACCGTAAGGGAAATGTTGCTGCTGTTGCTGCATCGCTTGCATCGAAGCTGTTTGGTGAGAATCATATTCCTGTTGATATTGTTGTTGTTGTTGTTGTTGTAGGGGATCATTACTATTATTGACTGGGAAGTCATAACGAGTATCAACATTGGTATTTGTTTCAGGGTGAAAAATTTGCGTAGTCTGTTGTTGAGGTAAGTGCTGTGATGGATTAGCTGACGTATTTGCTGGCGGCACCGGCCCAGCCATGTTATATAAAGGTACCTGGGCTGATTGAGAGCTACCAGGCTGGTATGTTGGAACTTGTTGATATCGTTGCTTGTTTGGATCCTGCCTAAAATTGCTTAGACTTGCAGTAGGAGGAGGTGGCCCTGTGTTACCACCGGAATATGTAGCTTCTGTAGATGGTAAATAGGCCTTTTTGGACTGCCCAAAGCTATCGTCTTGTCCAACAAACGCTTCTACAGGAATATCTACAATGAAGTTACAAGTTATATATAAATCAGAAAGCAACGATTGCGAGGATGGTAATATACATGTATATGAAATACGCTTCAATTGTTTCATTCCTCATTTTCATTTCAAATACACATTAGGCAGCAAAAGTATTAAAATATTGATCTACTGTCATGCAAGATATTAAGGTCATGGTACTACTTAACATGCTCTTACTATTCGTATACAGTATATTCTATTCTATTCAAGCTACCAGTACTTTTTCAGTATAGGCTAATCATGAAATGAAAGTAAAGTATCAATATTCCAGTCAGAGTTCAATAGGAAGAATTATTCTTGTGCTGCCATGAACATGACCGGAAAGCCGATACTGTCGTTGTAGGATTACTGGATAAAATGATCAGATATGAATTGTATAGCCAATGCTACACGATCAGTTACTGAAGAGATATTTCTGGTGATGAATTCAGGATTTATTGGAAGCATTCGCTTCGTTGCAGTGCTATCTACTTGCGATATGAAAACTACCTTATTGGTCCAACTGAGCACTCTTAAGACTGTCCTGACTATACAGAGTAGAATTGGGAGAAGGCTCAAGAATAGACTACTAGAAACATTGGATGTATCTATCTTGTCTTTCACGAGACATAATTTATAGCATGTTGAGAATAGTGTAGAATAGTCATTCTATACAACCATCACAGTAGTGTATGGGATATGTGAGATCAATTCAATATTCAAAGCCAATTCGACAGAGGAATGTTGAAGACAAACAGTGCTAACCTGCGACGCTTGCATTCGCTAAATCGGAGTTAGTCGATGCTTCTTCTTTCCTATAAGAAGAAAGTGTTTGATCACTTTGAGACGTAGTCTGTTGGCTTAAGCTTATATCTTCTGTAGGAGGGCAAAGAAGGAAAGGTACGGTAGCAGCATGACTCCCATCATTAGAAAAAGATGATAGAGGATTAGCATCAGTATCTTTGTCCGCCATGTTTGCAGGATTCGCGTTTGCGCACTTTCAACTTTTCAATTGCGATTACGTTTACGTGTGAAAGGAACGTTTTGAGTCTACAGTACAGTACAGTGCACCATGTACTGTACACTGTACACTGTACACTGTACAGTGGAAGGTCCTGAAGGGAAGCTCTTGGACTAAAATAAATAAATGTCACCTTATTGCTGCTTTGTAGGCGCTATACACGGCATTATGAGCTACTCGAGAAATATACTTGTCTACTACACTGCTGATTATGAACTATGTCTTCTTCCAGTGAAAAGTGACATCAGCTACTCGTAGAGTCTTGCATAGTGCCGTACAATAGTGCAAAAGCCTATACAAAACCTTGATGTCACTCCACTATCCAGTTAACAGTACTGTATAGTAAAATAAAGGTATACTAAAATAAATGTCACCCTATTGCTGCTTAGTATAGGCTATTCTTAAGAGTGAAAAGTGACATCAGTTACTCTTAGAGTCTTGGATAGTGCCGTACAGTAGTGCAAAAGCCATTACGTACAAAACCTTGATGTCACTCCACGATCCAGTTTGCAGTACTGTATAGTAAAATAAATGTCACCCTATTGCCGATTTGTAGACGCTATTCTTAAGAGTAAAAAGTGACATCAGTTACTCTTAGAGTCTTGGATAGTGCCGTACAGTAGTGCAAAAGCCATTACGTACAAAACCTTGATGTCACTCCACGATCCAGTTTACAGTACTGTACACTGAGTGTACAGTATAGTAAAATAAATGTCACCCTATTGCCCCTTTGTATAGGCTATTCTTAAGAGTGAAAAGTGACATCAGTTCCTCGTAGAGTCTTGGATAGTGCCGTATAGTACTATAGCCTATACAAAAGCTTGATGTCACTCCATGATCCCAGTTTACAGAACTGTACAGTGTACAGTGTACAGTACACTGTACAGTACAGTACAATGTGGACGGGCTAATTTCTATGATTTTGGTGCAAACAGATAGATTAAATTTTTTTTTTTTTTTGGACAAATTTTATATCAGTCTATACAGTAGTGCAAAAGCCTATACAAAACCTTGATGTCACTGCACGATCCAGTTTGCAGTATAGCATAGCGATGGAATTAGTACTGTATAATCTCAGACAGACAGAAGACTTGTCATTTTAGAATACTGGTTTAGCTAAGCGAGCGCTGTATCCGTATACTGTACGCTGTACAGTGTACAACACTGTATAAGACAGTACTGTACACTGTACAGTCGACACTGGACAGTGATAGGAAACACTCAGACAGACGGACTATTTTGATACCAAATGAAGTCAAAATGTCGCAGAATTCGATCATTACAGTAGTTAGTATGGATCTTGTATGTCTATTTTTCTTCAATCATTTCTACTCTTTGAAGAACATTCATGAATTGATAGAACTGTTTCCAAGCAGAACTTACAATAGTGGAATAGAATAGATTTCAATAGAATAGTACTAATGGGTAAAAACAACCCATCTTCAACATAAGTAGATGGTGTAGTTAAGCAAAGCACAAAATGGAGCCATTGCTTTAACGATATGGTAACGAATAGAAGTGTTCTACAAGTATTTCGAGATTCTTGTCCCTATCATTTAGTAGTCACCTCTCGTAGTCCATGCTACTCCATGGTCACTTATCCTCAAGGCATCTGAAATGGCCGTTCAGTGCCTACAAATAAAAATAGTAGCAAATAAACCGCAGACTACGACTGAAAAGCGAGACATAGTTAGCTCCCATGGGCCAACAACCTTGATCGGACCGATGAGGACCGCGGTACGATTGTACCGTTCCGCGCTGGATAGGTTGCTGTCCAATCAGGGACTAGTGTACTTTGTTACAGTACAGTAGCACACACATAGCGTGTACTGTACACTGTACACTGTAGTAATGTCGTCTCTGATCCAATGACGTTACAGTGACGTCACAGTGCACAGTATACAGTACCATCAAGGACAGATTCTGAATACTGTAGAGCTAAAGGAAAAAGCTATCAGCTGCAGAAAGTTGCAAAAGATGGCGGAAATGTGCTGGTAGTAGCCTTGAACTGTATCTAGCCAACGGGATTAACAACTGCTATTTGCTTCAACAATATCTCAGATCATGTTAAGGAATCGTATAGGGCATGCATGGAGTGAGTATAGCATCCCTCTATGGAGAAGATGGGCTCAATCTTCAAGCAATTGGTATCGGACGAAGACAGCTTGGACTCCGGCAGCAGCCAACTTGCACCGGCTCTACACATCTTCTGTCTTTCCACGGTTTACCACTTTCGCTTGCGGCCCGTCGTTTCGTAACCTTAGCGTTGATGTAAGTACTTGATGACGGTAATAGCTGACCTGACAGGATGATCGGGATAGGTTGCTTTTCATTGCAAGCTTAAATAGTCAATACCTCCATAGATCACGCATAGGATAACCAGTGTTCCATATCAGCCTGATACCATCCATTCAAAAATTCAATGAAATAGCGATCCAATGGATTGCACTTTGTTTGACTGCCATTTGAAATCGAATTGAATACAGGATATATTGGGACTATTTTAGGTATTCAAGCCTGTTCATTTAATTGCGACATGGTGCAACCAAGGTGTTGCTAGCATTCGCTATGCGAGTAGCGAGGCCAAAACCTCTCCTAATCATGCAGAAAAATTGGTCGATCTTCACGGTAAACGATGTCCTGGATGTGGATCTATATTTCACTCACGAAACGAAGATAAATTTGGCTATATTTTACAGCGTAAATTAGTGGATGTGCCTGCCAGTCAAGTATCGTCTATTATTTGTCAACGATGCTTTTGCTTAAATCATTATAATCAGGCTCTAAATATGAATGCACCTGAAGATGATTGGAGAAATCATATACAAAAGATTCCGAAGGATAAATGTATTGTCATGCTAGTAGTTGATATCTTTGATTTTCCTGGTAGCATCTTTCCAAATCTATTAGACATCATTGGGTATAAAGTACCCATACTTTTAATTGCAAACAAGATGGATGTCCTTTTAGAAGATGGCCCTGGACATATAGAACGCATTCAAACTATGGTCTGGGAAGGTTGCAAAAATGCTGGATTAACTGAGGGTAACCTGGTAGATATTTGTCTAGTCAGGTAAACACACTCATTAGTTTCTTGTACACGTTTGCTTATTATAGCTGTTGAGTCTTTTATACAGACAGCCATCTCTTCTATCAGGAATAATTGTTTCATGTCAACATTCTAATAGTGCTAGAAAAAATCAAGGCATCAAAGAAGTTGTTGACAAAGTCCTTCAGCACAGACCTCCTCATGGCGATATCTTTTTGTTAGGCTGTACTAATGTCGGCAAGTCTAGCCTATTTAAATCTTTATTAGATTACTTGTATGATGGAAAGCCCAAAACGTTGATGAGGTATCCAACTATTTCGGTTTGGCCTGGTACCACAATTGGGTTGTTAAGGTACCCTATTCGAAAGAAAATCAACAATCTAGGTAGAAGGGCCCCAAGAAGAATTAGAGGTAATGCACATACGAACGCAAGCAGACAAGAATAGATGTATACTTATGCAATAGAAAAAGCTATAAAGTCTGCCAGGCACTAACTTAATGTTAATAAATATGATCTTATTAAATTTTACTTTGTAGGCTTAAAGAATCAGTATATTTACGAATCACCGTATTTGGATGACAGTAAACATGATGAAGAATCGAAGCTGAGCGATATTAGTACTGTAGAAGGTGATGATATTATGTTAGCTTCCCATGATGGAGTCTTGACTGGTTGGAATCATGAAGGCGACGAACGAGGACCATTTTTTTATGATACGCCTGGAGCTATGAGTCAGAATATGGTTTGTTATGCTAATATATCTGGCAAAATTTTTCGGTAGTTATTGCTGTACACTGATCTACGCTGAATGATGTTAGTGTTTCTTGTTTAAATCATGCAGTACACCGATTTGTTAAATACGAGAGACCTTTCGAAAGTCTTGCCTTTAGGTGGTATTACTCCACGAACTTTACGCTTACAACCGTCACAAAGTATTTTTTTGGCTGGGTTAGGTCGTATAGATTACATTGAGGTTTGCCTTGGTCATTGCTTATATCTTTCCTTACTGCTCAATGTTGAAAATGCATTTTATTTAGATAAGCATTATTATAAAGTTGTATATTATTTTCATTGACATCCTTCCAATTAGGGCCCAAGCCGAGTATATTTCACCTTTTTTGCCTCCCGTGAGCTACCTTTACATATTTGTCAAACGATGAAAGCAGATGACATTTATGATAAACATTTCGGTTATTCATTACTGAAGGTACTTCAGAAGAGTGATTATTCAATTTTTAATTTCTACTACTCTGATGAAGCCTTGCGATCCTACAATGTAATTGCAATGACATACAATTTCATACTTCAATTAATACTTGTATATCTAGATACCCAACAATATGAACAAACAATATCAAGGTAAATCATTTCCTAGACTACAAGGGAAAGAATTTACTTTTAAGTGCCATAATGGATGGAAGTACAGTTCTGCAGACATTCTCCTATCAAGTGCAGGTTTCGCTGCTATTACTGCTGGCCTAGGTGATGAAATTAAAATTAAAGCATATACCCCGAATGGCCTTGGTTTGATATTGAGGCGACCATCAGTAATGCCGTATAGTGTAAACTGGAAAGGAAAACCACATGGCAAGAAGCAGGGTTATTATAAAGGACTCTTCTCGCGACAGAAAATGAAAGAACAATTTCCCTTTATACAATCAATCAATCCTTACACTGACGAATAACTTTTAATTATACTTGAGATAGAGTGGATCATTTCTTTTAATTAAGCCGCTATTGCAGAGTTTGGCAAGCAAGTATTAATTAGAAACTATGCCTCTCAAAATTTTATGTTCCAGCTGAAGTATGCACGTATTTAACAATAGAATACGTATATTCATTTATAGCTTAAAATTGTATTGATTTTGTACAGTCTTGATGCATCATGGACATTTATATCTATCTATGTGTTAGTAGAGCTGTAATCAGATCACATTTGTATAGGGAATACAGTCCATATCTTTGATAAGTTAAAGGTTAAAGGACATGTAAACCCACAAGGGTCTGGTATTAGTTGGAGCGATAATGATAAAAGCATTATAAATATACATCGGACTGTGATTAAAATGACATTGGCTTTTTTCGACACTGATTACTTAAGCTTAGTTAGTTGACTTGATATACTATAACTAATCCGTAGATATTAAAAAATATGTATGTGCCTTTAAAATTACAGTATGTAGTACAACAGTAAGGCATTTGCTATTAATCTTAATTAGTAATTCTTCTTCAATATTATTTTCCTTCTATTGTAATTCTGTGTAAAATTTTAAATAATATTCCAGATCGTTATAGTCGTCTTCGAGATTGAGTCTGATGAGTATTTTAACGCGGAAAATGTTCATAATTAGCCGAATAGACCTGCTGCAACGTCATTTGGTAGTCACCAGTACAGCTATAAAGTACCTATAGCGTGCACTTCTATCAGTAGTGCATAGTACGTTTCTAAATTTGTACTGTATAGTGTATTGAACTACTAATGTTGGTGCTCTACAATGCCAAAACATATTTTTACTTTAACTGTGTACATACACTGCCAACAGATATATTCGAATGTGCATATGTATGTATGAGATAAATTTGCAACTGAAATTTACTATCTAATAATAATAAACATTATTGGCTGGTGTACTTCGATATGGACTATTCCATTAAATGCAATCATTAGACTTGGTATTGTAGTCAAGAAGGCGAACTGTACACCTTACCACTACTTCTTCCATACAAATAGGATCATACTCAACGTTTACTCCGAGTTTTACCTTAATCTGAAATGGTCAGTAGTTTTATTTGAATTGACTTTGTAGAAAGAATGCATGTAGCGTACGATCTAGAGCTTGTTGATGATTGGTAAATATAATGCACCTTTAATCGGCTATTGAACTTAACTTTATTACTAGTATTGGTAGAATAACTTTGTACTCAATTTTCTCTCCTTGAGCTAGATATAGCTCGTCATGCAATGTAGTAGTACTATCGTGGACTCTCCTACATTTGATATGTCCGACATGGAAAGGTACGCTCAATACAGTACAAGGATTTAGTGGCTAAATTTTGATTACGTCAGCGCCTACTGCAGTTTCTGCTAAAATAGTTGCAATATCTTGTCATAAAATCCTTGTTAAAGATTAGTATTCATTAAGGGTAGAATTGATTACAATTATTGCGTTTATTTTCAATCTCATTGCCATACAGTTTTTTACTTGGAAAAGCAGGGTCTGTCAGCTGCAAATAGCTCATGTAATTTATATATGGGTTTTATCCGAATTTAATTGTAACATTTCTACACTATCAGCAATTAGCAATAGGAACTATACTACAATTTGTACGTGTGACCATAGCAGGCACAATGTTAATCCAGGATTAATTAGATTTGTACTATAGAACCAACCAAAGACAAAGTTTGGCTAACATCGATAAAAAGCATAGCCATATAGAGAGCATACGTACACACATTAAACTACTAAATACACAATGTCTAGCTACATTACATCTATACAGATTGCCTGTCAACGATACGAGTGGAAATTGCTATACTGCAGCTACTATGTTAACGTGCAATTATTCAACATTTGGCTGAAACAATCAATCTACATTTTAGAGGATTCCGATGATAAAAAATTAATGACAAGCTCTGCAATTTCAGTAGGTGAATCTTCTTGCATAAAATGTAGGCCTTTAACAGTTGCAAACTGTTGATTTTTCCACGACTTTGTAGCACGTTCGATATTAGGAGAGAAGACGCCAGGCTCAGCAAGGATACATAGTTTAGGTACTGGTGTCTCAGAAAGCCATTTGATATATGAGTTGACAATTTCAGCCACATCTTCTGGACCATCTTCTACAAAAGGAATGTCGCGAGGGAATGACAACATCGGTTGACGGCTTTCACCGGGAGTAACAAATGGTTGTCGATAACATTGCATTTCTTCTTCGCTTAATTTACGCATAATACTTGATGGTAATAACTGTTCAACAAACATATTCTTTTCGAGTACCATTTTTTCGCCAATGTCAGGCGTTCTCAATGCTTTAAAGGTTTTAGCAAAGTCTGGTTTGGCAAACTTCCATGATCCAACCAAAACCATGCCTTCCATATGAACAATGCAATTTACTCGCTCAGGATGTCTACGGCACCAGTTGAAAGCAATGTTTGTACCCCAATCATGGCAGACAATATTTACCTTGCCAGTGGGTAAAACTTGATCCATCCATTGATCAATGTATCTATGGTGGTCAATGACTCGATAGCCTGTCGTTACTTTGCTTGAATTACCCATACCAACAAGATCAGGGGCAAGGCATCGAAATTGTTTACTAACCAGTGGAATAACATTACGCCATAAATAACTTGATGTAGGGTTGCCATGAAAGAACAAGACTGGATAACCATTACCAGCACCTGTAATAATGATAGTTTAAGAAAACACAGCTCCATTACGCACTGTTTAAACTGCTACTTTATTGACTGATCACGTTAATGAGACACTAGCAGATACAGCTATATCTACAGTAGATAAACGATTTTAAAACAATAAGGACAATTAAGCTGTCAGTTCCTTTTCGTGTAGGACAGCAAAATCTTGCAAAATATATCAACATATAAACTAGGTCAGGCTATAACCTCGTATATATAAATACTCGTATTGTGCAATAATAAAAAAGTCGTGCAAAAGTCTAGCAATTCTAAATCATTGACTTATACTTTGTAACAATCTGAACAGTAGCTTCCTACAGTTGTGTTTTGGCGATGTGCATGGATTAAAAATATGGCTTTATACTCGTAAAGCATTGCGTGTATTCTGTAACATTTATGTTTTATTAATGGGTCAAGGACTCAGACAGGGTATGAGTGAAAAAGAAAAAGTTGTTATGTTTTAAATGCTCCTATAATTTCTCTTAATACACACTGCATTCTAAAGAACTTGGATAGGTATGTAGATCAAAAATAAAGGGGCTTTCAACAATTGAACACCCTAGTAGCCATATACGTACGTATCCGATGTGCAAGCTACAAAAGCAAAGCATTGTAGGTAACTAATTTTGCTCTATCATATTCTATCTTTATTTCGTTCTTTTTATATTACCTGTATCCACATAAGCTATCTCTGCATTCAAGACCTTCAACTTTTTAATCATATGTTGAACACTTTGATCAGTAGAAAACGTACTGATTGGGCAAACAGATTTTGTATCCATCTTCGAGCGTCAATAAGAAACACCTAGGAAAGATAGGAAGATTACGTTATAAGTTATCGGTCAAATTTTACTGCTTGTCTAATAAAACTGTTAAACTAGTCAAGTAGTTACAACACCAGAAAAAAAAAAAACGCCTCAAGATTGAATAATGTGTTTCTTTGTCACAGTATCTAGATTCTAGAACTACTAAAAATCCTAATGTAGTACGATTTGATGCAGCTGTTGAGGGTTAAAAAATTAAGATCATCTCCTATTATCACTCGTGCACTAACAGATTTTCGGCGTGTGTATTATTCACCACCGGAAATTCACTGTATTCTAAACTAATTTGATTTATATGATAGTCCATCATGACTTTACCAACCTGCGAGCTAAAGTAAAATGGCCAAAATGAAATGTGTTTCTAGTGAAAAATGTTTGCGATTCTTGGCTTTACTTTGTGAATAGGTAAGGTCATGACCTATGCAGTACTATACTATAAGACGTACATGACCGTTTATTGATTTATGTTGATTCTTACTATTATAACGGTAGTCAAAATGGATACTAACGAAAGATTATTGGCAAGTGCAGCAATCGAGAGCTCTTAGTTAGTTCAGGGGGTACTTACAGCAACAAAAGAGAAGGAGATTAGCGGTTCGATTGATAAGTTTAACAGTTGGAAACTAGAAATAAACGAGTTTTCGGTAGGAGCAATGTTACCGACGTGTGGTAAGAAATCAAGGAGTAGTAGCTGGAATACCTTTAAGCGCTAGCTGAACAATCGTATGACAATCATGCGTTAAAGGCTAATGTTACGTCGACCCAATGGCGATCTGTTTGCAAACTCTAGTCATAAATAAATTATCAATCTATTTGTCAATTTTCTGCATACATTATTCTATGTTAATAACTCCATGTTATTATTATTTTCGGATACACCGACACCACGCCCTTGGAGCTATTGCATTTTGTATTTTGCAAAAGTAATTGCTTGACCTCTGTTTATTCCGCAGCATATAGTATGCAAATTGGAGTTCAAGGCAAGACGATTATTTTGCACACTACAGTACTAGGACTACGAATCTGCGATGATTGATAGTAATTGATAATATGTCAGATTGAAAGGATATCTTAGCGACTGGACTACTGTAGGCTTGAATAGGCAAATGCGAGATTATGGATGCCTCCATTCTGTCATCAATGGCTGCAGTGCCGCGTCTATTTTGAAGATTCCTTCAGTGTTAACTAATTAAGTAATACTCTAGTACTTGGACTGCGAATCTGCGATGATTGATAGTAATTGATAGTATGTCAGATTGAAAGGATATCTTAGCGACTGGACTACTGTAGGCTTGAATAGGCAAATGCGAGATTATGGATGCCTCCATTCTGTCATCAATGGCTGCAGTGCCGCGTCTATTTTGAAGATTCCTTCAGTGTTAACTAATTAAGTAATACTCTAGTACTTGGACTGCGAATCTGCGATGATTGATAGTAATTGATAGTATGTCAGATTGAAAGGATATCTTAGCGACTGGACTACTGTAGGCTTGAATAGGCAAATGCGAGATTATGGATGCCTCCATTCTGTCATCAATGGCTGCAGTGCCGCATCTATTTTGAAGATTCCTTCAGTGTTAACTAATTAAGTAATACTCTAATAATTGGACAGCGAATCTGCGATGATTGATAGTATGTCGGATTGGAAGGATATCATAGCGACTGGGACCACTGGAGGCTTGAGTAGGCAAATGCAAGATTATTGATGCCTCCATTCTGTCATCAATGGCTGCAGTGCCGCGTCTATTTTGAAGATTCCTTCAGTGTTAACTAATTAAGTAATACTCTAGTACTTGGACTGCGAATCTGTGATGATTGATAGTAATCGATAGTATATCGATTTGGAAGGATATCGCAGCGACTGGGACCTCTGAAGGCTTGAGTAGGCAAATGCAAGGTTATTGATATCTCCAGGCTGTCATCGATGGCTGTAGTGCCGCGTCGATTTTAAGATTCCTTCAGTGTTAACTAATTAAGTAATACTCTAGTACTTGGACTGCGAATCTGTGATGATTGATAATAATCGATAGTATATCGATTTGGAAGGATATCGTAGCGACTGGGACCTCTGAAGGCTTGAGTAGGCAAATGCAAGGTTATTGATATCTCCAGGCTGTCATCGATGGCTGTAGTGCCGCGTCGATTTTAAGATTCCTTTAGTATCAACTAATTAAGTAATACTCTAGTACTTGAACTGCAGATCTGTGATAATTGATAGTATGTCGAATTGGAAGGATATCTTAGCGACTGGACTACCGGAGCCTTGAGTAGGCAAATGTAAGATTATTAATGCCTCCATTCTGTCATCAATGGCTGTTGTGTCGCATCAATTTTAAGATTCCTTCAGTATTAACTAATTTAGTAATTCTCTGAAGATAAGCACTTTGTGAGATACAGTAAGATAGTGTTTCGCTAATTTTAACAAATTGATCAAATTGAAGTCAAGTGAAATAAGCGAAATCTTACAATGGCGAAAAGAACTACCGATTTCTTAACAAATTGAGGATACACAGTTGTTCTTGACATAGCTTAGAATAGGCTAAGATCTTGTACCAATAATATTTTATTAGAAATACAGGACAAGTATTAATAAAAGCAGAGACGACGATGTCCCAATCGTAGCCAAAATGCTTGTCAGTCTTCAGTTAATGTTGTGGATGCGTAAGGTCACGAGTCGCGATCTTCAATTTATTTATACGATCTATGTTGTAGTATGCGTATATATATTGATTAATTATTACAAATGACGATGGTCCAAATAGAGATTAAAGTCGATCGAAAATGCACAGGCATTCCCATCAACTTCCGTGACCTTGTCTACCTACCTGCGTATACACCTTCATGGCTGTATGCAATGCTTATAGTAATTATTTATGCCTGCGCTTTGAATAGATAAAATGCTAGTGCATTAAAGTGTTCCTAAGAAAATGCAGAGAACTAGTCTTATACGCTTTCTACAGCAGATCAAATAGAACCTCTTCATGGTTAACCTTAAAAGGATAAAGCTCGGCGTAAACTGCCTTTCGCTCATGAATGATACGCGCATCATGAGAAGAAGGACTAAGCAAGCACAAGTACTTGAACTTCCAACTACAACATCAATAATAACTAAGTAACCCCAGGTACTTTCACTTCTCATTCTTACTTTACTATTAGCAGTATACCAACTGGATAAATAAAATCCGTCTTATAAAATAAAACGAATTAAACTAAACAAAGCTCAAGTACTTTAACTCCTAACTACAACATCAATAATAACTAAGCAAGCACAGGTCCTTTCACTTCTCATTCTTCCTTTACCATTAGCAGCATACCAAATGGATTAATAAAATCCGCCTTAAAAAATAAAACAAATTAAACTACACAATGACGACATTGATGCAAACCATTCACTTTAATGGGCCAGGCTTGACCTGCTTTCTAAATTTTGTATTATTATTACAAAAATGGCTAGCATTATAGAGCCAATTTCATCATCATAACAGTTAACATATCAAGTAAAAATTGCATTATCTCCCAACGCTTATGTTATACTATACATACGTATACAAAATAATGGACTAATAATGGGAATATAAAATTTTTAGCTGGATAGCAGCATTAAAAGTGCGTAATTACTTTGCTACGCTAGATTGCAACACTTTGTATAACGTTACAAGCAATTCCATTCTGACTAATAGCTAGACTAGGCCGTGCCGTTAATGTTATTAACTGCACAGCTAGGCCAGAAATTAAAATACAAACTGTGATTCTATAAATGATAGAATGACAGATGTTGACAAGAAACTTTCGATCGTTTGTACTCTTCCTAACTATAATCTCGAATGAAAGGATGGCAGAAAATCGAGAATAAGTTGAGCAATTTCTTCTGGTGAATCTTCTTGCAAGAAATGCAATCCTTTGACTGTAGCAAAACGTTGATTGTTCCACGCTGATGTAAACTTTTGAATTCCCTTGGAGAAAAAGCCAGGCTCAGCAAGTATGCATAATTTAGGTACGGTACTTTTGGATAACCATTTGGAATAGTTTACGACAATTTCGAAAACATCTGCTGGACCATCTTCTCTAAATGGAATCTCACGAGGAAATGTCAAGGTAGGTCGGCGTGCTTCCCCCATTTGTACGAAAGGTCGACGATAACATTCCATCTCTTCGTCACTGAGTTTACGCATGATACTGAGAGGTAAGAGTTTTTCTATAAAAAAGTTGTCATCAAGTACCATCTTTTCACCTTCTTTTGATCGTAGTCGCTGGAATGCCTTACGTGAAATTGATGGAAATCCTTTCCAAGACGATGGTCCAACTAAGGCTTCCATAAAGACGATACTGTTGACACGTTCTGGATGCCTATAACACCAATTGAAAGCGATTCCAGAGCCCCAATCATGGCATACAATATTAACCCTACCACTGGGTAGGACTTGATCCATCCACTGCTCGATATAATTATAATGATCGGCATAACGATACTCTGATACAATCTTTGTCGAGTTGCCCATACCAACAAGATCGGGTGCTAGGCATCGATATTGATCGCTCACAATAGGAATAATGTTCCGCCAAAGATAAGTTGAAGTCGGGTTGCCATGAAAGAAAACTACAGGATCACCTCGACCAGAACCTAAGATTGAGAATTGACATAATCATATTAGAAATCGAAGTTCACAATTTCATTCTTATAACATATTATTCATGCAAGTTTTCCAATTGAATACTTTAAGATTGAATTTGTAGTAATCCATGATTGATTATTATGTTGAATAATTACTTTGACGTTAAATTTGGATAACAACATAAGCTACAGCTAGGCTCATCACAGTTTATTCCCTTGTCAAAATTAATGTACAATCTGAAGTGATTACTGTATTCTACTTCTAGAATGAACAGTTCTGAGTCATAACTACCTGTATCAATATACGCCATTTCAGCATCGAAGATTGTCAATTTCTTGATCATGTGTTGGACTTGTTTTTGCTTTGAAAATGTGCTAATAGGTACTCTACCAGCCATATTCGCAATCGTTTTGGATGCCATCTTGCAGAGATCTCAGATACTGTAGGACTTCTGTCTCACTCTTACAGTACCCAAACTAATATACTGAAGCCTTGCACTGTGAAGATGCTTGCTCTTGCGTCCGTCCGGAAGTCTTACTCCATATGAGACTTTATGAGACCTCTACGATCTCGGCTTATATATATATAACATATCAGATAATATATATGTATTTATATATTTATATAATAATTCGCTACAATTTAAATTAATTATTATATATATGCTAAGATATATATATATATATAACATACATGCGTATCATTTGTTGCATAGAAAGAGGAAATTAAATGGATGACTACATGTTTTTCAAGGCTAGTAATAAATTGCTTTGAATCCTGCTGCTCGTGATATGTGGTCTAGTTGTCTAATGAGTAGAATAGGGAATGGAATATTTATAGTTCTGTCTGGGATGCTTGAGAGGAATCGAAATTAACAATTGTAATATCCATTCTGTCTTTTGTATCTGACTTTTAATTTGTTACATCGACAGTAAAAGTAATAACTATTCCTACAGCAATAGAGAAAAGTTGCTACTCCAATCTAGTGAAGGTTATACAAATGCGATGAGTGGCAATGAGATTGTTTCGACGAGTACAAAAATAGTCTGAAGAAAGCGTTATTGGTATGTGTAGTTTATTCTATCAGTCATGGTTTCAGTCATAATCTTTCGCTTTTCGCAAACTTTTAATTAAGGAAAGAATTATGAATTTGCAACCGTGACAAGATGATATCGGTTTTCGCCATATTATTGACGATATACAAAAGAATCCTAAATAACAAAAGAGATACAGAATAAATTACATATTAATAAGTTGATTAGAGGCTATACTATTCGCTACATATCGATTTATACATCAAACATCGTAATACTTATTTCTACAGTATCATAGTATAACTGCTATGCAAGTCTACTATGGGCTAAATCAGCGCCATGTGTAAAATTAGCTTGTCAATATTAGTATAAAAGCGGTCTGAGGATGGTGTAACTTGTACAACTTACTTTACCAGACGTGGTCATAACCATTAGACATTTTCTTTCACTTTCTGCTCTTTATCTCAGAAATAATTGCTATATTGTAACGTTAACGAGATGATATCTATTTTTATCACATTATTGACTATATTAATAGTCCTTGTTGTTAGTTTAATATTACAGCGAAGAGATGATATTCGCCAGTATCTTGAAATATGTAAGGCGCTCAAGCAATTCCCTAGTCCTCCCAAGCATTGGTTTTTCGGCCATTTAAAAGAGTTAACTCAACCTAACGAGCAATGTGTTCAAATGCTTGAAAAGCGATCTACCGAGTATAAGACTTGTTTCGTTCACTGGTATGGCCTCTATCCCTTTCTATTCTGTAATAACGCTGATGCAGCTCGAAGTATTATTAAATCATCCGCGCCAAAAGGAGATTGGAGTTATGCTTGGCTTAAAACATGGCTAGGTGATGGATTAATCGGCGTCAATGGTAATAAATGGGGTAGGAATAGAAGATTATTAACCAATGCGTTCCATTTCGATATATTAAAGTCATATGTTTCCATACATAATCGCTGTACCGATGTTCTTATACAGAAATGGAATAAGCATGCCGACAATCATGCTAGTTTCAATTTGTACGAAGATATGAAATTATTAGCCTTCGATGTTATCTTGCAAAGTGCTTTTTCACTTAAAATCGATTGTCAAACAGCTCATGAAAGACATCCGTATGTCAATGCTGTTTATCAATTAAGTTATCTAATTACAGAAAGATTATTTCGGATCACAGGTTACGTCGATTGGTTATATCGATTAACGGAAAGTGGTAGACGATATTATCGACTTTGTAAATTCGTCCATCAATTTACAGAGAAAATTATTCGTGAAAAAAGGCAACTCTTGAAAGAAAATACAAATCAGTATGACAGTAATCAAAAGCGCCGTTTGGATTTTATTGATATTATTTTACAAACACGTGATGAGGATGGTAATTGCTTAAGTGACAAAGAAATCAATGATGAAATTAATACATTTATGTTTGCTGGCCATGATACGACCTCGAGTGCGTTATCGTGGACGCTATATTGCTTAGCAAAGAATCCCGAGCATCAAGCTAAAGTTAGAGAAGAGGCCGATGCTATATTAAATCATAAAGATGATTTAGAGTGGGACGACTTAAATAATAAATTAGCCTATACGTTAATGTGTATTAAAGAAGCCATGCGTTTATATGCTGTTGTACCGAATATTGAAAGGAAATTAGACGATTACGTTGAAATAAACGGTAAAGTATTACCACCTGGTACACATATCGTTATACAACTGTATATTCTCGCTCGCAGGTCAGAAATTTGGCCTGAACCAGACCGTTTTAATCCGTTACGTTTCTCAGAAGAGAATATCCAAAAACGAGATGCATATGATTATATCCCGTTTTCTGCAGGTCCACGTAATTGTATTGGAAAGAATTTTGCGTTAGAAGAACTTAAAATTGTTTTAGCCAAGATTATATACAATTACGAAATAGAGTTAGATCCAGCTCGACAAGTAACTCGATATTATTCAGTCATAAGCCAACCAACAGACGGTATATGGATCAAGATTAAGCGTCGCTAGTAATTATTTTCTCACTTCGTTGTATTAATTATATGCCATAGTTTTCGTGCGTGCGAAGAGTCTAGAGTAACTCTGACCGCAATTCCGATACCGATCAATTATGCCTGTAGCTTTTACATGTTTCAATGTAACACTTGACAATCGATTACCTATATAATTAAATTAGTATTTACCATATCATCTAATTATTTATTTGTTTTGTTATACACAAAACGATTAATTAATGTTCGTGTAGATGCCTTATTTTGCATAACTAGTAATCATTCTATTATTCTTTTAAACCTAATCCTAAACAGCTTTTCATCTAGAAGCAGTAACCATATCGATGTCGAAAATAAAGTTTGCGAATAATTGCATAATGCCAACTGCACAAGCCACCCTCCATCCGCCGTTTTCATAACAAGAGCATCATATAATTATATAATTACAGATTTTACAAGGGTCTTGCTAAAAACAATTGTCAAAATTATTTTTTTTACTAATAACAATTTAAAGCAATAAATAGTCTTCATACCCTCGTAAGATTAAAACTAGTAAAAGCCTTAAGGTCTTTAAGGTGACAATTATTATGTTCATGTTATAACCGAAGTTAAGCACGGTATAATGTGAGATGATAGCAGGTTTCGTTGATACGAGCAAAAATAAGTACGAAATTTACATACAAATAAATTAAGATGCTCAGTTACAATAACGATATTTTACTTACATATTATTATCATGCTGTGACACTACTTGCCAGTTGAAAAATAATTGAATAATCTAATTAAAAACTTTTATAATGACTTTTATATAAGGTCGTTGATTGGCAACTATGGAGCATTTATAACATATATATTTGTTCGATCCAACTCGACGAATAACTCGATATTATTCTGTCATAAGTCAGCAAACAGACGGCGTATAGATCAAGATTAAGCGTCGCTAGTAATTTTTTTATCTCTTCCTAACATTTTTATGCTCTAGTTTTCGTGTATGCAAGTATGCAACACAACGTCGTCTGTTGCAGCTCTGATCACGATTCCTGTCTATACCTTCTACATATTTCAATTTAGCAATTGCTAGTTGCTTCCCACGTATTTAAATTTAGTATTTAAGTAATAGAATATCGAAATATGTTAATAAGTTGATCGTTATGTTATACAAAAAATGCTTAGTTAATGTCCGTATAGATAGACTATTTTGTGTTGCTAGCTATCACTGTGTCATTCTTTTATAACCTAATCCTGTGACAATGTTTCTTATAAAAGTTTTCAAATCATGCTAATGTTATGAAATTCTATCCATGCCTATTTACCGATGGCGATTTAAAGCAAAATGCGAGTGTAGTCCTCATACAATCGTACGATTAAAATAAGCCAAAGTGTTATAGTCGCTAGAGTATTAAGTATTATTTTTACGTTGTAACTGACGTTAAGCACCGTATAATGTGAGATGGTAATAGATTTCATTGATACGAGCAAAAATAAATAACAACGCAACCCCTTACGCAAAAAATGATATAAATTACAACAACAGTATTCTACTTACGTACGTTTTATGTTAGCAAGACTATTCACCTTTGGTAACAAATTGAATAATAAAACTGGAAACGTTTATAATGACTTTTGAGTAAAGATAAGGGTGACAGGTAAGTGTGTTTGATGACCGTCGAGCTTTCATGTCAGTTAATTTATAAACTGAAAATTTTTACCTTCCCATAGCTGCAATGTACTGTATTCCAATGATAAAGTTACTATAATTATTTTCAAAGTAAATTGGCATAAATTATTTAGCAAAAAAGCGTACGTTAATTTTAGAACAATAATAATGTTTGTATCTCATATATTTTAACTTAATTTGGCGTGAATCTATGATATATAATTAATACAATCTGGTAAGAAACTTATATACAAGTGTAGCTTAATTTGCTTCAGACAATAATCCATTAGCTATTACTATGACCTATGGATATCATGTCAAATCATTAGTACCATATAAAATCACATAGTACACTACGGTTGCACTACATTTTATCCGTCGGAATCACTTTTATTTATATGATTGATATTTTGATGCTATTTATTAATTATTGACAAAATTCCAAAATCATAAAAGACGTTACCCGTATTAAAGCTATAATTAAATATTTAAATTATTTATTCAATCATACGTATGTCAAATGATCAGCTAGTTGTTATATTTAGATATCCATCATCCGACGCTGTAATTGTAAAATTGTAGCCAAAATAAGATGGTTTAACTCATTCAGTATTTTACATAGCATGGTTGAAATAAATACGAAAAATCATAAAACTTGGTTAATAACAGTAAATCAATTTCGCAGCGTAATATCTTCAATATGATTTAAAGTTACAAATCATATGTTATCCTTTTGACGACTTTAATATTGATCAGGAATTGTCTTGTATGGGTTAAGGATACCCTAAAATTTGTAATTATAATAATTGTTATTCACCGAGAGACGATACTGTTATTCTATAGTAGTTCATGATATGCATTGAATAGGTTTAATGATAATTAAATATTTATATATCGTACTTTAGGATCTAGTAATTGCTTGATGCCTTTCATGGTGTTATATGCAGCCTCAGATTTAGAGTAGTTCATATATTTTCTTTTAATAAAACCCATGCCGTGTTCGGCGCTTACACTACCTTTATATTTACCTATGAATAAATTCTATTTTGTTAGATTTTAATATGTCAAATCATTAATAGACGTTGTTAATGAAAGAATACCTATCCACTCGAAAATGTACGGCTCTATAGCTTTTTCTAGTTGTTTATTGTACTCCTCGCATGTAATGTTGATATGTAAATTTCCTAAGATAAAACAATTGTGTAAAATTTTAAATCTGATTTGGTGTTGCAATTGATATACAAGTAGTATGTACTTTATGTCACTAAACATTTACCGTCACCGATATGGCCATATCCACCAATACTTTTAGCCTGAGAGCCTAATCGTGATCTTAGATCGTCCACAATATTATAGAATACACGTAAAGGTAATGAAACATCATACTAATAAAACAAAGAATCTTTCTGTTAGCTTCCGATATCATAATCTTGATTCAAGTCCTCCAGCTAATATGGAAAAATTTTTAGCTAAACTGATTACTTTGAAAACATAGCCATCATGCTGGCAAGCTTCCAACACCCTCTCCCGCAAAGCCCAAACATCTTTTATCTATGAAAATGACAATATCAGTTTATATTTACAGTAATCAATAAGCAATGACTTAGTATTTTAATAACCTGAACAGAATTATCTGCGACGATGCCCTCCTTAATGACTTTACTCTCTATTAAAGTTTCTAAAAAATCTAGTAATGCCTATATTAGATGGAAAGCAAGCATAACCAATAATTAGATAGTAGTAGTGTATCATATTTGAAGTTGCAGATAGACAATGCAAATATCGTCAGCTTCATCATGACAATAAGTTATCAATATGAAATAAAACCTAATCAAGAATGGTAGTTACCGTTTTACAATACTGTTCTGAGGATCCTGAAGCCTCGATTAAAACATAGAATGATGAAGTCTGAACAGGATTAGTTAGCTTTAAATGATTTTCGACAAGTGACATAATTTTGGAATCCATGAATTCACAAGCTAGAAAGAAAATATTTTCTTAATTCGATATAATATTATCTAGTAAACTAGTTACAATCATTAACTGATTACCTGAAAGATATTCACAGAGATCCTTTCTAGCTGATGAGAATACTTGTTTAACATTTTCAAAGTTGTTACAACCAATAAGAGCGACACATTGAGCCTACAAATATTACCCTGATTAAATTACACTTTGCCATGGTTTACTACATTGTGTCTGTTATCATTAACTTGCGGGATTAGTACCCTTGGTTTCTGAGCTAAGGCAATAGCAACTTTAGTTATGATGCCAAGAGTTCCTTCAGATCCGATGAATAATTGTTTTAAATCGTAGCCTAAAGTGAAAATTGATTACAGTGTAGTATTTATTATTCACATTTCAATTTAATTTCAAAAGCTCAAAATTTTATCAACTCCCTACCAGTGTTATCTTTTCGACATGTGGACATACAATCTAGCACTGTTCCATCTGCTAAGACCTAAACGTTGGGTAAAAACTTCATATGACGTTCTTGACATAATCGGTGGTAACATTTGTATACACCTCTAACGGTAACTTTCAATATCGATACACACGAAGAGCTTACCGCTTCAACACCAAGAACGCTACCGTGAAGAGATCCGTAACGTACTAGCCTAATTCCTCCAGCATTAGTAGATAAATTACCGCCAATATGACAACTAGATTAGCAGATAAATATAATTGTCTTTTAGAATAATCCATAAAATATTTAGCTGTGTACAGAGCTCTATTCAAGATAAAAATAAGGAAATACTACAGCAAGACTGCAAATTATTGATCATTCAAAGCCTGAAATGAAGCTATCTACAAGATACCATAAACAAGATCATATAGTAAAATTCTGATGTAGAAATATTTTCTATTTCATGGGTAATACAACAAGCAACTAGTATTCTACTATGAACGTAAAAGCTACAACATTAGATACTGCGCTAAATGGAAGAAATAAACTTTCAATAATGTTAGACAGGCAATACCTTCCACGCGCACCAAGATCATATGGTAATATAAAATTATCCGAATCCAGTCTATCTTCTAACTCTTGCAGTATGCATCCAGGTTGACAAACCAGTGTTCCTGTAGAAAAATAGAACTTGATGAAATACACCTATGATTTGTACGCCTTCCTACTGTATACTAGTCAATCTATCACATTACCTGATATTTTATCGACATCAATAACATTATTCATTCGCGAAGTCGACAGGATGATTTCATCAAAGACCGGTACACCACCACCTTGAAGCAGAAAATAGCACATAAAGTAAACAATTGATTCAATATATTTACACAGTCTATCTCACTCAAACAGGAGAAAATTTTTGCAGCAGTTGTCGTGGTTATTAACGTTGAGACAACAACAAAAGTATAAAGCTTCTCATCATTTAGTGCACTCTCGTACAGACACACCTACAAGTCCAGTCTTACCACCTTGAGGAACAACCGCTAAACTGAATATAAAAGTACAATAGATTACGTATAGTATATTGATAAGACATGGCAATATTGAAGCATTAGCTGTACAAATTACTAGTACTATCCTTATAATAATTGAATTAAATAGCATAAAGCAGAGATCTGATGAACGATCGAGTTTAACGGAATTTATAAGAGGATTGAAAGCTACGTATATAACTACAACGAGTCAAATCGATCAACACTTTACAGCTTATTGCGATCACACTTACTTTCGGTTGTTGCAATATTGCATTATCTTTGAGACTTGTTCCGTATTCTCTGGCTTAAGTAAGACAGGGCCTGATCCTCTGTAATACACAATAGTTAAGTTTTAATTAGCATAGCAAATTCTTAGACTGATTTATCGTTTAGTTATAATGAAATATAGATAAAGATGAGTTAGCATTTTAATTTAGATGGACTAAACAAGCGATTTACAAGCAAATAGTCAATTGCTTAGCACTAGCGTTGAATAATATATCAGTCTCAAATACCATAATTATTATTATATTGTTGAACTATATATCATGAAAAACATAACTGTATTGATACTACTGCTAGATGAAAAATCTGATGCTTTCCTATGATCAATCGATGACTAATATTAACACTATATTCATACCTTACAACTCGTAGCCAATCGGTATTGGACCCTATCAATTCTTCTGCATCAGTAATAACAGCAGACTGGGAAGACAAGATATCTTTAAAATAATTAATATCTTGCTGAGTGGCCTATTAAAAGAGATATACCAACTATGAGTTGAATCCTCAATTATTGTTCTTGTAGATTCTATTGGTGGTGTACTGTATATCCTTTGATAACAAATTTAAATTTACGTGAAGAACCATTGAGAAAGTTTATTCACTACAATAGCATCCAACCTTAGCGAAATTTCCTCTTTGGATATCATAGCGGTTAGATGCTAATTCAACATTGTCAAACAGTAAAGGAGATTTGCTCATGTGAGATAGAACGGTAGAACTCAAGCATCTCCATTGCAATTGCTTCAGATAGTAGAGGCTACGCTTTGCGAAGGCTTGTACATTGGCCATGTCAGGTATCTATTTTCTGCTAGCAAAAACATATTGAATAAAAATTACAAGAAGTAAATCGATAGCACTGTTGATTAAGATAGTAATTCTAGCAGTATACGAATCTATTTGATCACAATTCCTGTATCTGCCATAACATCGTACAACATACAGTCCATAAACACAGTAAGTACAAGACGTCGTAAATTAAGTCAAGAAAACCAATTTGATTTTTTATTCCAACTATCAATTTTAACTGACGTTCAATATAACGTCACGGTTCAAGAAATCAAGCAAATATTGCATTACAATGTTAAATTGGCAATACCGGAGCCTTGATAGTAGACGATGCAATATAGCTCCGGCTTAGAAGTCAACGGATTTAGGTTAATATTTAAACACGGTGTTGCAATTCGACCTTAACAAAATGGCAACGTAACTGGTTCCAATTCAAGATGGCTGGAAGCAAAGTTCTATAACATGACAGTCACTACTTTCCCGCTGTATAGACTCTTCACCAGCTACAAAAGCTTAGACGAAGTAGAAAGGCACTCTGCGTTCCACTCGACGTAGTCATTAGAGATTGTTATGGTAGAATATTTCTTGATCAAATGCAATGCAACTGGGTGCTAGCCACTGCTACCTTGACGACCTGGAGGCTCTACTTGTTGTTGTTGAGCTATTACCGGCCGGCTGTCTCTCCAGTCTGTCCGATACGGCAATGGGGCAAGCGTGATGCTGTACGATACCATACTGTGCTATACACTCATGTAGAATACAATGTATTGTATGGAGTCTTGATGTCTATGATGACACCGTATGACAACCCATACTGGTTGCAATGACAACAGCAAATCCAGAAGGCAGAGCTCGCATTGGAAATGGCGATGAACTCTACATCATCTGGATAGCTGGAGGAAATTCTACGCTTTCTTATTTAATTTAACTCTACTTTATCTCCACATATGGAGGAGATCTGACGCTTTCCTTTTCAATTTCTGTAGCAAATTAGATAGTAACCCAGACAACACTATAGATTAACTACTCCACTTTGAGCTAAACGCAGCTAGATTGAAGCTGAGACCTGTTGAAGATGGATGATTAAGTGATGCCAAGTGCTACAATCGATAGTTGGCTAACAAGATGATGATCAGACCATCAGCGTTGTTGATCTATTGAGAATGGTTATATTCAATTATTATTCAGTTTAATCTACGGTTTTATGCTAGTAATCCACATCGACTACACAAGTAAGGTCATGACCCATTGGCCTACTCGTAGTTTTTCTTGCATTGCCTCATTTGGGCCTAAATTGCCTTTTATCGCCTGCTCATTTCATCCGAGCAAGACAAAATTATACTTGCGATATTCAACAACGATTGCAGCCATACGAGGTCCTTATAATTATATTAATCAGCAGGATAAAAACAATTTCTACGATATATTAAAACATAAATCGCGTCTACTGGACGATCAAGATGTTAGCAATTATGTTGCAGATTGGCATGGGTATTACCATAACAACACTAAGTAAGATTGAATTATGATTACAACGATGACATAGGACACTAGTCAGAATGAACTCAAGTAATACGGCTGCAAGAACTAGATGTAATTTTAGATGCTGTTGATAGATCTAGAAATTAAGTGACTTGATTCTTGAGTCGCAAGATGTTTATGTTGCAATAGTCATAAGTAATTAGCCGTATCAAGTAACTGGATGCTGAAGTTCTGATATGTTATAGTTTAAAGTCTACAAGTATCATGATATATCTTCCATTTCTGAATTATCTATATAGGAATTTTACTCATATTGCCCTTAGACCAACAACAACACAAATGGTGGCCGCCATAATGAAACACTGCTACAAAAGAAAGTATGTTGAACAAATTTATAATTTATGGTCAATTATAAGATTCTTGCTGCTGATTCATTGATAGCTAATTAGCTTAACGCTTAATGCTACTGGTTGTAAAGTAGTGTATATACATTTCTAAGCTATTAACAGTTAGATGTTCTTTAGAATTTTCTTTCAGTAATAATAGGAGATAGAATAAGCAAATGTTAAAACAGTAAACATAAATTTTTACCTTTACTTATGAGCTATTCAAATTGGATAGGCTTAATTTTATATCATTTATCTGAAATTACACATGTTAGTTTAGCGGTTGTGCCCCAAGGTGGAAACACTGGTTTAGTAGGTAAGCATCACCTTTCACTCAGATTGATCTGCCGTCAGCTTGCAGTGTTATTGAAATGAACGTCCTTTACCTTGTAATACAAGCTATCAACATTTAAAATTATTGTCATACACTACAGGTGGTGGTACTCCCGTGTTTGATGAAATTGTTTTATCAACTTCTTTGATGGACGACATTATTAACTTCGATCCTCAATCAGGTTAGGAAAAGTTGATAAATTTAGATCCAGAAATTGATAATAGTTTAGAACTATTGTCTATTAATCTCTTTTGTACGAATGAATTATGTAATATCATAGTTGACAGAGAACTTCGAAAGACCATAATATGCTAATTCTATGAAACAAGCTTTGTACATGTACAATACTAGTCAATAGATTATAGCAGTTTATAAGGCAAAATAACAATATTCTATTCCTCGTATACCTATGATATTATTACCAATATTATATTAAAATGGACGATAATCGGTAGAAACTTCTTAAGAATCTATGATATAGCTAAATTTATTTTCCATACTCTTAGCATAATCTTAGACTCAATTCAGCTACTAAAATTATTAATATATGACGGCAATGATAGGTATTTTGATATGTCAAGCGGGTTGCATCCTTAAGAATCTACAAGATTATGTTGGAAATTATGGATTTACCATGCCGATTGATTTAGGCGCTAGAGGAAGGTATAATAGCATCTTGCGTAATAACTTGTCTTGGTAATATTCACATTGGATTGATAGTTTATTTAGTGAAAGATTTAAGTAACAAATGCTTCCTTGCTTAGAGTTATTAATTTTAAAAAATTTTTTTGTAGCTGCCAAATCGGTGGAAATCTCTCCACAAATGCTGGTGGAATCCATTTTGTTCGATATGGCCCATTGAGAAGATATGTTACTGGCGTAGAAGTGGTAGTTATGGAATAAAATGATATTTTTATCACTCTATATGGTAGTTTGTCTTTAAAAATTTTATTTTAACGAATTCATTCTAGGTTCTAAGCAATGGCGTTGTATTAGATATGATAACACCGCAGCCAATGCAAGACTCTGGTAAATACGCTGTATAATGTAGTCACATTTATAGTAGTAACTCAATAAAGAGTTAGATAAATTTGTATATAATGAACATGCAAAGTTAGTATTAATATCGAAATAAAAATTATTTCTTATTTTTGCAGATTTTAAACAACTATTCATAGGAGCTGAAGGAACACTAGCCATCTTAACGAAAGTTGCTATCAAATGTGTTGAGACTGCAAAGGTAACCCATACTCGACGAGAGGATTAATTTACGTATTCTAACCATTCATTAACCATTTTAGTGTTACAGTGCCATAATGTTAGGCTGTAAAACTCATCATCAAGTTACGTCAGTTCTAATGGATGCTAGAAATGTTTTAGGTCATACTGTATCAGGTAATATATGATCAACATTTCTTGATACTAATTACCTCATAACATTTACATAGTCACGTACTGTGCTCAATATTTAGTAATTTACTTCCATCACTAGCCATTGAAGTTATGGATTCAGCTGCTGTTTCTGTAGTTGATTCAAAGTTAGGACTTAAATGTCCACTTTCTCCGCATCCATTCTACGCCCTGATTGAAACATTTTCCAACGATGAAGATCAAAATATCGATGTTGGTGTAGTAGTTTAATTTCTGTACAATTGAAAACATCTTCCTGAAACCTGAAAAAGTGCACACCTACTACTAAAGCATTTATATATTTTCGTAATAATCTATTTGTGTAATAGAAACTTAGCCATATCTTGAGTCTACTTGAAAACAAATTTGGTAGCATGGAATCAGCAGTTAGTCTTAATCAGACTCAGGTAGCTGGAACAACTATTCATTAAGTTTTCCATCAAAGCTATATATCACAGATGTATTTGCTAGGTAGCCCTTTACTAGACGTCCATTAAATGGCGATGTAATGCTATGGAAATATTAAATATCTATTTAACTTAAAGTTATCACAGTTATGGTCCGTACGAGAACACATTACCGAAGCACTAAAGCGCGATGGACATGTCTATAAGGTATAAGAGCCTTGGGCATAAATGCATTAATATTAATTTGGAAAGTATCTCACCTCAGAATACTATAATAATAGCAGTAAAATGAATGCTTGCGCTTGTAGGAATATTAAGCTAGCAATTGAAAGTTAATTACCTCTTTATTCCCGATGGTATTCTCTGCAAGCACAGTATACAGTAACATCCAATTTTATTCTCTCTTGCGGAATTTTATAATTATTCTACATGAGTATACAGAAACTTTCAACTTAAATGTCGTACAAAAATTTCCTGTATTGTATTATATCATACTATCTTAATTTGGTATTAATGTGTAAAAATTGACTACCCTAGTTTGATATCTCTGTTCCGATCGCAAAGTACTTCGATCTGGTTGATGTGATGCGGCATGAAATTGGATCATATTCATCAACCATTTGTGGATTTGGACACCTGGCCGATGGTAGAAAAATTACAATCCTCAGCTTAATGAATAGCTTAACAATCGATTATAACAACTAAGACAATCTAAAATTACTTATATACTATATTTCATCGTAGGAAATTTACATTTGAATATAACATCAAAGCAGTACGATAAGCTACTTCTGAATAGAATAGAGACAATTCTTTGTGACTGGTTAGGTAGGCATTAATGTACTTGGTCGCAGTTTGTAAAAAATATTGCCAATATTAGCCAGTCAATTTATTGTGTATCACTATGGATTAAAATTCGGGCTTCTATACATGTATTACAGTTCAGAACGGTGGCAGTATTAGTGCTGAACATGGAATTGGATTTCACAAAGCGCATCTCATGCATGGTAGTAAATCATCAAATAGTCTGGCCATGATGAGATCGATCAAGGCTCATTTCGATCCGAAAGTGAGTAAAGCTAACGTACGAGCATTAAAGCAATTTATAACGTAAAGAAATTAAAAAAATTGTATTTAAATGTAAACTCCTTCAACCACAGTTTATATATAAAAACCGTATAACTAATTCTAAATATCTTGCAAAGCTTTGTTACGCATTCATCCCTGTAATAATACTCGCTCAAGAATATTCTAAGTTGTAGAAAATTAGAACTTTATTAGATATAACACAAAGACTAGCTACACACAGCTCTACTCTAACCAAATACAACTACTGAAAAACTTCTAGAAAGAATAAGATAATCAGCTACAATCAGCGTAGCAGCATTCTACCATAATTTACACATAGATAAATTATTTTTAGTAACAACATTTTACAGCGGACCATCATTAATCCAATATGGAAACAACTACAGTATTTTCATAGATATTATTCTTAACAGTCAAAGTACGGGTAAAATAAGCATAACCTAATATATGAATTACTTTTCTATTTTTACCTCTAGCCTTAACAGTAACTCATCTTACACTATATTGTCATCTGTACTGTAGCATTGAATCTATCATTACAGTCCATAGTAGCGAGCTACTAAATACGTCTTAATAAATATAGAAAGTTGCACTTCCGTTTATCTTACTAAACATAGCTAAAATCACAATACTAAGTTTCGTTAAAATCCCTTATAGAACATTCTGAATCCATACAAAGTTGTACAAGTTTAAGACACTTTATCGGCTGGAATTTCGCTTTATCAAAGTTTTTTATTTTAACGATTAGAAGATACCAACATTTGTGTAAATATGTTATTAATCAACAAATTTTGTTAGCTATTTTGCCAGCAGGCTAAACAAATTCACTGTAATCTTCGGTTTACAAATTAAAACAACTTGCTGTTATCGCGTAATGGTGTAAGCAAAAGATGTACTCTACTGTACAACTATGCCTCTTAATAATATTTTTTTTATCTTATCTTGATATTATTTTTCTTTATATAAGTATAAAATTACTCTCCATTGCATGCATGAAAATGTACTTTATGCTTATCATGTATGACAATTATTCATCTTATATTAACCGGAAATAGCAGAACTGTGCAATGCATAGAAATGGAAATACAGTGCATACGTATATATAGATATATACGCAAGTATTTTTATCAGCATTCTTAATAAAATATTTATTTGGTCTACAGTTTTGTATCATTTGGGTACACTACATAATGTAATATATTCGCATTTACTTCATGAAAATCAATAATTGTAGCTACATAACCGCTTACACAAATGATACTCTATCGGATACTTTTACGGTAACAAAATTGGTATCGTAAATAACGCTATGGCTACTTTTATACATATCCTTTTTAGATTTAGATTTGCCTTTACTTGGTTTTTTGTCACGACTTTTTCTTGATTTCGAACGGCGCCTTCTATGCTGCTTAACTACAACCATTAATATGATTATTGCTAAAATTAAGATAAGTCCTCCAGCAGTACAAGCAATGTAGATATAAGTGCCAACATTAGAGGTTTGCGGATCAACTCCTAGAGTAGATGAAGAAGTGTTTACACTGCTTGTATCGTCAGTAGAGAACATAGTCGAGATTTCACTACGACTTGAAAAAGTAGGTGGTACAGATTTTTGCGTAGTAGTAGTAGTTCTCCATTCCGTTGAATTAGTTGGAAACAGGTTATCATCAGTAAAATCAGTAATTTCAGTTGTGGAATCATTTTCAGTCGTTGCAAATGGAGTGCTTGCCAGAGTATCTGTCACTAAGTTTTCAGTAGTTGATGGTTGCTCTGTCGTTGGTGTCGTTGGTAGCTTTGTAGTGGACTTTGGCAGCTGTGTCTGAGGAGTAGGTGTTAATACCGTAGGATTTACAGTAGCAACAGTTACTAGAAATAAAATGAAGCATCTACCCTCAATATATTTACACGACTTATTTTATAAAAAAGAATCATAGCTTGTAATTGAAAGGTTACTACCTGGTGATAGATCACACCCATTTTCAATGCCAACATCATTAACATATTGCTGCAAATTAATTTTCTCGCTGCTTATTTCTAAGTTACCAAAACAGCCACTAAATGTTCGGTTACTAAATTTTTTTACATAAAATAAAATTTTATACTACAGTTGCGGTAATTTTATAAGTTTAATTTCGTGACAGCGTTATAATTACCCGTGAGGATCTTTCCCTAAAAAGATTGGTCCTTGAGAATCAAATACAGATAGTGGACGTTCAATAGGGTACTCTGCAGAAACTTTCTTTAAATTATCCACCTGTAACTCAGCTGAGTTATATAACAATCTAAATCGTACACTATGCCATTCATTATCATCGAATCCTTCATGGTAATTTTCCGTCTGCAGAATACTGACAGTATTATTGCCCTGATTTAAGTTATATCGCAGCAGTATCTTATGCGGAGTATAGGATAGAGTAAAAAAATTACTTAAAGCTCCATCATTGTACATCAAGATGGCTTCAGGCAAAACAGTTTTGAACTTCAAACTAATATCTAAGTCCAGCTTGTCCTTCCAGTCAGATAGAGCAATATGAGTTTGATTGCCAAGATTGACGACATCATTTATTGCTAGAAATCAAAAAAAAAATAGTTATCAATTTGCAAATATATAAACAACAAGAACTATTCCACCGACCTTGTCCTCCACACCTAAATGGACCCAATTTATAGAAACTGAGAGTAAGACTCGTAAATCTTTCATAGCCAATATGAATTTTTTTAACCGGGAGTAAATTTCGATCGTGGATAACTCCTTCATCTTTTAACGAGGCATGGGAATTACTGTCACAATTGCATCTAGTCCCAGTTCCACCATGGCAAGTGTCGGTTAAACCGCAGTCACACATGCTTGAATTAGCAGGGGCTCCACCCCAGCTGAATACGCTGGTACCCGAACGCGAAGTCCACCAAACATAAGGCATTTTAGGCCAATTCAAAAGTACTGAGCGTTGGCATTCATAGCCGATAAATTGGGAGCAGTTTTGTGATTGTTCGGCTAAAGTACCTAATTGATCAAAGGTTGCACCATATCCATAGGTATAATTCACTTCAAATTTACCAGGCCCCACCAACGATGTATCAGATGGAACTTTAATATAGTTATGCGATTGATTGTGTGCAATCTCAGTTGTAGTAATATCATCATCTCTGCAATGCACTTTAAATGGTTTGGTAGCCATTTTTGGTCCATCAGGATCAATTACATAGTCGTTACTAGTTGCATTTGGATTCTTCATGAATATGTCATGGCAAGATCGCTGATATTTATCTAATGGTCGCAAGAAGAAGTATGCATTAATAAAAAATATTTCCCTGATGAATAGCGTGATCAACTAGATACTTACAATCAACACAATTAGGCTTGTCATAACTATCAGGGCAACTGCAAGTGTAGCTGATACCATCTGGCGAACATTTACCACCATTGTAACAAGGATTGTACGGCAAACAAGCATCCTTTAAACCGCATCCATGAGGGGTAATAAAATATCTCTGCAGCGATGGATCATTTAAGTTTTGAATTTTGTTGTTGATCTCTACGTCTTTCAAGCATCCATTAAATCCATTATGTGTTACGCCTGCTAAATGACCCAGAACAACGCGTACACTTTTAACTGTATTTAGTCGAATAAATTTCATGACACCAGTGAAATTATCTACTGTCATAATAATCTGATTATTATCGACTGTGACGTTGATACGATGCCATTGACCATCGTAAGCTTTGACCTTTGAAAATGGATAATATCTATTCTCAAAAGTCGACATAGCAATCATGCTCGGTACATTCATAAGTAGCAATGCTTTATCATCGGCTTGGCTAGTTATTGTCAAGAGTCTGGTCACTCCTTCTGGTGCATCGGCTCCGAAAGCACGGAAATAAAACTGAATACTGTTGGGCTTTTCTTGTTGATAGGTCATATCGAAAGCGATGGAAGATTTATTTTGCGTGGCAAAACGTGCGGCAAAAAAAGTTTCAGCATCGCACATGCCATTTTCTTGGACAGCTTCGTCTCGCGAGTAGAACGGATTATCATTAATAGTCAAATCTCGCATACAACCACGGTAAGGGCGTTGGACATAGTTCCCTTCGCCTTCACGAATAGTATTACCTTCACTTTCACGAATAGTATTACCTCCGCCAACATAATACTTAACTTGGTTTGATTTAAAAATTGTCAAACCCTTGGATAATGGAATAGTCGACTCGTAAGAATCAACAATTAATGCAGCATAATTGTCCTCTACGCGTACACGAACATCATGCCATTCTTCATCGGCACAGTAAATGCCATTACTAACGTATGTTTCACGTTGGCTGCTACCTTCATAGTTGTAGTAAAGTCTTAAATATCCGCCATTTAGCTCCATTCGTATGTAACCAGAAGTCGAATTCGAGCCCAACAATACTGAATCATTGTCGGATGTCCGTATTTGCATGTGGAGATGGTAAAGATTAGTAACTGTACTGGACATCTCCCTAAAAAAACGCGTCAATCCACTAAAGTAAACCATGGCGATGATTTAGTGATGAATTTATGGGAAAACACTGATTTTTAAATTTCAGTTGCGATAACTTTATAGGTTACGGATGATTTGATGGAGCTATGTGGAAATAGAAAAAATGTAAAATCCGGTGACGAGTTAGCATTATTATATAGAGTACATCATCTATCTATAAAAGCATACGAGTTATATAAAATTGTAATCCTTTCGTGCACAGTGAAAAAGAAGTAACTTTATTAAGTCATAAAGTATACTATCATTTATGGCGTACAGCTGACGTAAATTATAATGCTAGACACAAGAAGTTATTTAAAGCATTCCTAATATAGCACGTTGTAAAGCATTCCTAATATAGCACGGATACCATAATTCAAATTAGCATTAACTACAGCAAAGTTCAATAATTGAGGTTACCAACAACCCTTCATTTGATGTCATCATGATAAATACAAAGAGTAAATATTTTAGCTTAAAGTTTACTTTTTGACAAGATAGTATTTCAAATGAATAGATCGCCAATACCTTGCTGACAATAGGATTTAGCAATAACAATGAGAATGCGGTAAACTTGATTGAAAGCTTGCCAAAGAGATTTCGTCTTGTTAACGTAATTTCTTACGTCTTGAGTATCCTTCCTGCAAAGACAGAAATGATGAGAACCTATTGCGCTGACAGTACATTTTATAGTCTCCACAACTAACACCTAACGCCAAAATTAA